TAAAACTGTTAATTAAATCCCACACTACGACAACCAAACACTACATTGTCTCACTCAACCCAGAACGGACTTGGATCACATGAAAAAAACCACCCCAGCTGATTTCACCTTAAGATTAACCACCCCAGCTGATTTCACCTTAAGATTAACCACCCCAGCTTATTTCACCTGTAGATTAACCACCCCAGCTTATTTCACCTGTAGATTAACCACTAACCCCACCGAACTTAACAATCTAACCTAGCAACAGGGAACGGGTCTTCACCACAGTAATACCAATGATAAGCAAACTCATTCCAACCTCTACTGATAACCGTGTTTGTAAGTACACTTTTATCATTTAAGTGTATATAAGTGGATAATTACTACGATGACTGGTAATTCTACTTTGGATAGTTTTTTGTACTTATAAATTTTTATTAGTGCGTACTTTTTTATATTTAAGTAGTTAAGTGGGTAATGAGGATAGATTATGTTTATTTTAGCCTCTACTTATGATCTTACTAATAAAACAGTTCGTCAGTGATTCATCCAGTTAGTCAAGTTTGGTGCAAGATTGATATTCATGGCGAAAATTTCCCAGTCAGGCGTTCAATCAATCAACCATTGTTAAGATTGTTATTTCAGAGAGTTGAGTAACGTAGCTGCTATATAAAGAACAAGACCCCACACACACACACACATCACAACACTGACAAGCAAGACCCTCTCAGAGCATTCATCTTGCACAACAACAGAGCAGCGATCTCCCGTATAGATAAGCCAACAGAAATGATCTCATGTGTAAAGAAAACAGAAGCACATAGCCTCTGTTGACTGTTATGATGGCTACAAAAGTATGAAAACATTAGTGAAAATAATCCTTTAATAGTTTTTTTTACTTGTTTATTATTATTACTGGATTAGAGAGATGGATAGATATTTTATACAGTCATTGTGTAGCATTAACTGAGGGGAGCATAAGTTTCCACGAGACTACTTTTGGGACGTGTGTGTGTGGAAGGTGAGATACAGACCAATGGGAAGAGAGATACTGAAAAAAGTGACCAATGGGAGGCAAGCTATCAAAAAAGTAATCAATAGGAAACGAAATACAGAAAAGTAACCAATTGGAAACGAAATTGCAGAAAAGTAACCAATAGGAAGCGAGATACAAAAAACAAAAACAATGGGAAGCAAGCTATCCAAAAAGTACCCAATGGGAAGCTAATAATATAAACAAGGTACTGGAAATAAAAACAATGATACTCTAGATGTGGGGAGGGGGGAGAGGGAGGGGGGGATGCAGGAAAATGAACCAATAAGAAACGAGATGTTGAGAAAGGGGACCAATGAGAAGAGAGGTATGGGGGTGAGAGTGGCGGAGTTAGTCGCAGAAAACCACAAGTCAATCAGGTTGTGTTGGTAATCTGACACGAGGGCAGCCCACCCACACTACCTGCACCTTCTTCCACCCTGGCGGTATACCTAGATAGATTATTGTAATGAGGGCGTCATTGTGACCAGGGAGGGAGGGTGAAGTGCCAGGAAAGGAGGGGTGTCAGTGAGGGAGGGAAGGTAAAGTGCCAAAGGAGGGGGGGGGTAGGAAGAGGGACCAGGGAGGAAGATGGAGAGGTAACAACGAGGGTGGAAAAGACGTGAACGAGGAAGAAAAGAGAGAGAGAGAGAGATATTGACCACACACACAGACACACTACACCCTGGGGACACAACAACATACCCTACACGGCATCAGGTAACAAAAGGCACCTTGGACGAACGAGCTGTGTCCTGAACCCCAGTAGCGAGACGGGGGTGCTCTCTCTCTCTCTCTCTCTCTCTCTCTCTCTCTCTCTCTCTCGTGAGGTAGAAGGAAGGTGAGGAAGATAGGGATTCTGGGAGTGAGGGAAGTGATGGTAGAAGAACGAGAGGAGGAGGAGGGGGTAGAGAAGCCAGTGAGGTGAAGGAAGGGTGAAAAAGGGGGTAAGAAGGTGAGGAAAGGGGGTGAGAGGGTAAGGGAGGGTGTGGGAGGGTGAGGAAGGGTGTGGCAGGGCGTGGTAAGGTGTGGGAGGGAGTACAGTTGTGTTATTAAAGGGCAAATCTTCTTGACCCTGGCATTAAGAATCAAGCACGGAAACACACTCAGTATGTCAAGCCTTACCTTAAGTGTGTCTGTCTGTATGTTTCTCTGCATGGTTTACCTGTCTGAATCTTTAGTTTGGCTTCTCCATTCCATCTTTATTATCTTCCTACATTAATCGTATTCTTTCATCCAATTAAATATATACTCCTACAAACGGTTCAGCCATTGTTGTTGTGGTGGATTTTTTTTTTCTTAGTCAACAAATCTAAAATAGAAATTCACTTCCTGGATGATAATAGAGACGCGTCCCACACACATACAGTACACATATGTGATGATTGTGTTGACAGCTTCACCAGGTGTTACGTGACAAGACCTTTCCGGGGCTGACGAAGTAGATAGCGACGTCATACCGGTATAACAAACTTGTAAGTAGCCTCAGTACCACCAAAACGATTTTTTTTACGTAATTTTCAGCAGCACTTCTACAAAAAAAACGTAACATACAGCTGTGTCAATGCTATTAACCCTTTGAGAACGATATCTTAATCATTTGAGTAAAATAACTTAACCCTTGAGCACGATATCTTACCACCCTTCGAATACGATAACATTCCTCTGAGAATACGATAACTTAACCTCCCCTCTCCTTTACATATTATAATTCATTCCTCAGGGAAATATTCTGTCACTAGAATCAGGGGACGCAATGCTTTCTTGTCACTCACGAAGGACAACATTTCCGGAGATCTTGGAATAACCGACCACCGAGACGTTAGAGGAAGGAAAGAGGATACGTGGATAACAACAACAAGCAAGTTAACCACTCCGTCAGGAGCCTTCCAAATACAACTGGGTTAGGGAGTTCAGATCGTCGAAGACATCCCTGGGGGTGTCAGTCTACAGGTTACTGCTGGAGGAATGAGGAAGAGCGTTCTTATGATAGATAGATAGATACACACACATTTGATTGGATCAGGTTAGGTTCGGTTAACTTAGCATTAGGTCTGATTAGGTGAGGTCATGTTAGATTAGGTCTCATCTGATTAGGTTAAATTTGGTTAGATTAGGATAAGATAGCGTTAGGAGAGTCATCTTAATCTTAAATAAGACAGGAGGAGGGATGAAGCAATATGTTCATTTGCCCCGTTAACACAACCTTTCTGTACTTATGACTCAATCTCTTTCGTTGTGACACTTCCTCGTGGTAAACAGACAAAAAACCTTTATACACACTATCCCTGAGAGAAGATAACACGCCACTTGGACTACTTTAAAAACAAAAAACAAAATTAATTTATGACACTTTGCTTACCTACTTATCCAATACCTTCTTTTAAAATAATAATAATAATGACAACTACAATCTTAATAAAAACAAAAGGTGGGGGGGGGGGAACATTGACGGTATATTCCGACGCACACAAGGGGGCTCCGTCACCCAACACTGAGGTCTACCGCGTCCCTTTACAGCTCCCTATTCAAGACTACAAAACTAGTTCCCGCATATCCATACAAAAGTTAATCTAAAGTCTAACACCCGATACATCCCCGAGAGTCTCAATATCCTGGTTAAAATATTCGGATCACCTGAAGAATTGATACCTAGTCTAGTCTAGTTTTGTTCAGTTCACCTGTTGATTAACCTAATGTTAATTTAACCCTCCCCAGATCTCGATAGGGTGGTTAATCTTAAGGTGAAATAAGCTTGGGGTGTCTAATCTTCAGGTGATCCCAATACTCAAGCTTATATGGCTCGTTTAAGCTTCTGGGGCTAAGCTTTTCAGTCAATTCGCCTTAGTGTTAGTCATCTCGTTCAATGGAAAGGTCAGGGCGCAGATGTAACTGAACTCCTGTTTCCACACACATACACACAAAATCTGACCACTGTTTACCAGGATGTGAACGAATATAAGTAAGTTAACAGTTATCGTCATTGTCTTCATTCTTTTCCTATTATTTTCATCTTTCTCTAAGGTTTATGTGTCCCTTCATCTTCTATATTTAAATAGGAGAGGGAAAATAAGTAGTAGTAGTATAAGTAAAGGTACGGCAGGATACTATTACTATTATTATCACTATTATTTTCATTATTATTTACACATACCCTTGTGACCTCTGACCTTTGACCTCCCAAATATTAACGGGTGTATAATTATGCAGGAACACTACAACAGAAAGACAAAACAATAATAATAATACAAATATCACCCCTGTATCTGTGTATATTATTTCATATAAGCTTGGTCTATGTTACGTATTGTTTACGAGAAGCCTAGTGGTGTTGTGTGTCTCTAGGGTGCTTCAATAACTAAGGTTTTCTTATTGGAATTAGATAAAAAACTATATAGAATATTGGTTAAGAGATATTCTTTCTTGTCACTGGTGTTGGTAGACAGTAACAAAAAAAAAGAATTCTTACTTTTCACTTGATTGTAATAAGTTGTATTATTTATTCTCAAAAGCACTCATGTCATTTTAACCCCAGAGTATGATGTCAAACCTGAGTACAATGATTTAGATTATAATTATAACTTGATTGCTCTATTGTAAATTAAAATGAAGGGATCCCACACACTCCCTGGCCTCCTTCCCTTAGCGAACAAGACGAATAGGCACTCGGTTGTTCAATACATGAGGCTCATATACTTAAACTTGTTAATATATTTCACATGGGAGGTTTTTTAGAAAATTAATTAAGTTCTTTTTTGTTTTAATTATTCTCAGAGGTGTTTTTGTCACACGAATGAGTAGCTTTTAAAAGGCATCGAATCCAAATCGTTCATTTATATTCCAGAATATTTCTAAAATGTTCTTTTAGCGGCCATTCTCGTCAAGTTGCATAATAAGTAAGATAGCAGTATTGCAAATTAGTTTATTACGCCAATATTGCCCCAATAATATACTTTTTACGTCATTCATAAAGAACGTCACTTACCTTATATTTTGTGGCGTCTCTTCCTCAGTCACACTGGATAGTCAACACAGATCACCTTAACGCTGCCCCTTTTCACATAACCACACAATATTAACAGCTAATTAATATGGTGCACCTTTTAATAACTCTTCAATGTAACGTTTCAATAATGTAACTCAATTTTGGACACCTCCATATCCCACTGTAATAATCCTTGATAGCCTGGTCGACTTTTTTCACGAATTAATTAGTTATTATATATTACACTGTTAAAAGATGGCAAGTGAAGTCATACAAGGGGTATCCTGCCCCAGCCAGCAGCCAATGACTAATGGCTGCACATGGCCTGCCCCAGCCCGACCTTCACATGGAGTCGGTCAAACGTATCGTACCGCACACAGCCCTTCCATATTAACAGACGTGCAATACACTTCTCGAGCGTATAATCACCTTTGTTTACCTAATTAGGAGATCGGGTTATTTTTAATTAGATATTTATGAGATAACTGAATGATACTTTAGTAAACGCAGGAGAAAGCTGAGAGATAAAACGGGTATATGAGGAAGTAATGTATGACTAAGTTTTTACCCGGAACGAGTAGATCCAGCGTCTTCCATATATGTGGCGCCTGGACGTTGAGCAGTCTTGGTTTTTTTTTTTTAACTTCTTAAGCTAACTTCTAGGACGGCTTCCATATTTAGACTATTGACTCTCATTCTACATTGCTGAATTCTTTCTTGCTGATTCTGGTATCATTTTGTTGGTGTTTTTGTCTTACGTAATATTACTTCCTTCGTGAAATATCTGCACCACTGCAGTTTTGTTATAATTTTCCTTATCTGCCTATTTATAGTTCTCTCTTTTATCATAATATTAATACAAAATAAATGGTAGAAATGTGATGTTGATCGACGATACAAACATATCGTAATGAAAGCTACAAGGTCTTTCTCTTTATATGCAAAATGGCGCACTACTTTCTCGTCGACAAACGCCAGACCTTCCAGTTTATTGGCACCAAAATATTAGGTAACCGCCGAGTCACTCCATAAACGGGAAGAACGCCGTCACAACTGTTGCACGCGGAAGTGAAAATGAATAATGCATGGCGTATACCAGGCTGAACTAGGCTGTGCAGATAACTAAACTGTCGATTTTAATTGTATCTACTTTAAAAATAAACCCCCTGGTGTGTCAGTACTTGGAGGTGAGTCACGACACGTAAAGTTGCATAATCATATCAGCAATAACCAGTAAAAACTTCCTTACTCCAAACTTATTTATCAAAACGTGCAATTTTTGTATAACCACCGCTTGTGTGAGTCTGGTGATCACCTTATCATAGTACCAGCGTGTGAAAAGCCTACTAGAAACACGAAAACATTTTATTAATATCGACCCATCATTAATACAAGGATTTAAATACATAGGGCAAAATATAAATTGTGTTTAGAATGTGTTACCTCACACTCGGGTGTTCTGGTGTCTAAGTTTCCTGTTGCCGAAAATTTGGTGCTGAGGTTTCTGGTGCCGTAATTTCCTTAACCCGCCCGGCTATGTATGTCTTATTTGCTTGTATTTTTATGTTTTATTCGGTTGTATGTGTTTGTACAGGAAGGATCCTCACCAAGGAATATCATAAGGAACTGAAAGTCTCTTATACTTTTCTCTATGCCCTCGACACAGATGGGCAGGGGGGGGGGACCTAATTGAGATGTATAAAAATACCTGGAGTCTCACAAGGTTGAAGAAGCCACAAGTACAGAAAACTGTGAGGGCAAACTTTTTTGGAGTGAGAATTGTGAACTCTTGCAATAATCTGCCAGAGTGTTGTGACGGCACCGAGTGTGAGCTGCTTCAAGACCAGACTTAGACAACACTGGAGCAGGTTCAGATACATTCAGGAGCCGGTGCATACCCAGTACTTGGCAACAGTGCGTGACAGAGACATGACTGATCGCCCAAGCAACTAAGGAGCCTATCAGTGGCGAAGAGGATAAATGTAAAAATAAAATAGTTATCTATTGGACAAGCCAGATATCATAGAAAATGGTCACAGTGCTCTCGAGAAAGCCGTTTGTTGAACGATAACTATAGTAATGTAAAAATGGAATTTTGGTTTCAGATTTTAGTGATGAATACTGTATGTTGGAATCCCGTTTGTAAATTGGGCATTTGTAACTTGGGGAACTGCCTGTATATCAAATTGATCCACGATTTTACCATTTTTTACTGGATATAATTATAGAAGTTGAACATATTACAGCTAGTGACTTGACTGAAGTAATTACGCAATATCTGGCAAATAGCGATATTAATTAAAATAACTTCAAATGCACCTCTGCCACATACCCAACATCACAGTACCGTAGTGAGGTCCTTACCTTAAGACTCTAGGCCATGTCTTGCTCTGAAAACTTATTCCTCAGTGACCAGCCCATGTATATCACAGTGCAGTAGTGCTCTCCTGTGCCTTGCCCAGCTATGACATCAAGCTAAGTTCTCAGGGATTGAGAATCCAAAGCACTTCTGCCCGAGTTGAAAAATTTATAAACAAAAATATAATACAGAATGCACAAATCAAAGCATCACTTGTTGTCCATGAATTATGTACAGTACAGTACAGTAGTTGAGATGGCAAGAAGAAATCCGTTTATTAAAATCATCAGTGATATATAAGAATGTTGTGAACTAAATTCAACTTGGTGAAATGATATTAGATCACTGAAAAAGTTTATTGCCATAGATTTACTTTCAATTAAGTACATATAGTCAGAATAAAAAAAAAGGCAATAGACAAACTTTTTAACAAGCTCAAATTAGTCTCACTAAAATTTTTACTTTTATCCTCATTAGCCATTTGGGCAATCAGTCACATCTCCATCCTCAAACGCAGGAAGATTGTTTGCATCCTCTCTCGTGAACACCGAGGAAATGAATTTGTTCAACGACTAAAGATAAAGTTTCTATTTTCTTTTCAACCCAATCATGTCAATGGGGATGCAGTACAGGTGTTTAAGTCACGAAAAAACAATTAAATTATATTTTATTTCTTATCACACAATTGTTACAAATGTGGCCAGGTGAAGTGCAGATTCTCATAGCTCTTACAACCTAACCATGTCCTGACCATTCTGCCCTGCCCCTACAGTAGTACCCTATATTTCCACTTGCAGTGTTAAATTGCAATTAAAGATTTTACCATGACAGTAATCAGCATTAATTAAGCACGTAGGAAAAATATGATGGAAGTAAAAGTCTACCTGGATAAACTAATTAGTTTTTACAGATATAATTTATTCTGTAATTGTAATTAATTAAGCAGAATAAACGTAGCTAATCAGGGATGTAATACTATCAGTACAGTATCACAGTGTTGGTGCCCAAATATTTATGCTTCCCAACTTCCTTCCAAAAGAGACCTTCAGTCCCTCTTTCACCACTGATTGGGTAAAACCTCTGGCATCGCAGCCCCTCTTTCACAATAAAATTAGTTCATACAGGTATTTTCCTCCTAAGTTCTGATTATTTTTCCCTTTATTACATATTATAACTTCTCTACCACATATTTTACCTATCTACCTACCTGCATTTATCTATCCAGCTATCAATCCATCTACTTATCTATCAACCTTACTCTAATAGCTACTGAATGAGGTGGAGGAAGTGCACTACTCCCCACAACAAACAAACATAAACACTATACATTTACCTTTGCCACACCCGGTCTGGACTGAGTAACAGCAATAAGTGAAATACATGCACTACAGTACAGTAATACTTTTATACCTCTACTTAAGAGAAACTGAATGATATTGTAAACAAGGCAAAGAGAACAAAATGGTACAGTAATTCGACCATTACAAAAAATATATTACTGTAATAATAATTTGGTTTCTATTCTATAAATTGGAGATAAGTTCTCTGTGAAAATTTTTTTTCAATGTTTGACCCCTGATGAGTTAATGCATCATCCTAAATTTCCGCTGCTCTCTTTACATGGTAAGAACATTGCCATCAGTCAGCTGATGCTGGCAATATCCACACCTCCAAACTTTTCTTCACTTCCACATTCCACACTATAGTACCTCTTATAACTCTACACCTTAATTGTACATATTTGCCATAAAAAATTTACCAATATGTACACCTGTACAATCATGCAACTGACTCAGTGACTGTGTTGGTGGAGACAAGTCTACTTGTTCCCAGTTAGTTTGAGGAGTAAGTTATGGTGGTGATAGATTGATGACATACTGAAAACTTATTTGTAAACTTAGCAGCATTGTGAGTGTTAGAGAATAAGTAAATAATTTAATGAATAAGTAGATATGTTGGTAGTAGAAACAAAAACAAATGCATTTTCATTATTACTTACAAAAAAGTTAAATATGACAAAAAAAACGTTTTTGTAACTTCAGATTTTTCTATAGTAAATTGAATCCTGGGACGAAATTTACTTTTTCGTAACTTCAGATTTACATAATCCGTACTTTTGTAATTCAGGGACTGCCTCCAATTAGCTATGAATTAAAATATTTTACAAAAAAACTAATAAAGTACTACACATAAGAGGGACAGGCCATACAAAATCATCTCTATCTACTCCTGGCAAAATGAAGGTTGGCAATTTATAATCCAGTACAGTACAGTATTTACAAGAGCAAGTGAAGATACAGTTATTCTGACAGTCTTCTTCAATGCAGTAAAAAGTTTCCACCGAGACAGTTATCTTCCCCAAAGCTCCAATACAGTAATACGTGTGTACCATATATTTTGTTTTGTTTTAGGTTCTCTTAAACAGCTGGTAAGGGTTTTCTTGTCTGGCCCCATATGTGCAAATACTGGAATGCTGAGAACATGATGATCGCCATTTAAACTCTTCGTTAAGGGACTAATAATATTTTATTTGGCTAATGCTGGCCAATTTTATTCAGCACTGAGGGAGGCCCGTACACAAGGGGTTAAGGGTCAACTGATGTGTTTAATTGTTCAAATTCATTTACTAACACAACATGACCACTGTACATCTGTTTGTGAAACACTATCTGGCATTCTCTCATTTTTTATTGGTTGGGTTCATTAGTTGCCTCACCAGAATAATGATTATTTGTAAATAAATGTTTTATACTTATATGAATAGCAGTAACTTGGCAGATATTTAAGCAAATGAATCCATTAGAGTATTTCTCACATTTAAAACCAAGTTAATTTAGCAAAGTTTTACCCAAAAGGTAGCAATTCCAGTGTTTACACATATATACTGTATAACAATTACACTGTCCATTTAAAAAATTAAGATGCAGTGCGGATACTGAGTCTTACGTAAGAAGCATTATGGCCGTCTCCGCCGTAATGCAACATTGTCAGAATAGTTAACCTCCTGCCTCTCCTTACTTTTTCTATTATTACCCAAAAGGATTCAGCTGAGATTCATAATCATCTTTGGCAAATGGGTTTATATCACCAGGAGTCATATTTCTAGGGGAGTCTTCTGCAAATGGGTTTTTGGATTCATCATACTCCTCTGCAAAAGGATTATTTTCCATGTGCTCTGTCTCAAAGTCATCACCAAATGGATTAGAAACACTAGCATTATCCTCCTGAAATGGGTTGTCGGTCAAAGTCTTGGGTCGTGAAATATGAGTGCCGGTAAGAGCTGTTGATATGCTTTCCACAGGGGAGGTTTTCTTGAGGTCTCTGTCTAGGGCAGGCGTGGGTGACCCCGTGATGTGGTCGTGCAGGGACGGGCTAAATTTACCGGCACCGCCTCCCATTCTCTTAGCTTCATTGGCTCTTATTCTACTTTCAGCTGTGGGGACGGCCATGCTTGAAGTTATCCCAGATCTCAACCGACCTTCTGTAGGACTTGTCAATATATCACTTGGGTTTTCCTGACGCACTCTTCCTTCTGCAGGAGCATTCATGGCTTTTGAAGTGCCATCTGAAGGAAACTTTGCTATTCCACCACGACCCTCTGTACGCAGCCGGCCCTCTGGTTCCGACTTCATTACCCCCTGTCCATGACGCTCACTCATCCTCAGTCGACCTTCCCCACCAACACCTGTGGAAGATTCTTAAGCTAATGAAAACTTTAAATAACACAGTACACCCAACAACAAAGGACAGAACCTTAACATCATTAATTCACCTCCTAGACCCATTCAGATGCTAAGCCTGATGTGTCCTGTGGTATTTTCATCCAGTTATTGCAAGGATACACCGGGAAATAAATACGGAATAATACCAATAAAAAACTAAGGTAAAAATGAGTTCAGGGATTTCATTAAACATCTTACTGAACAGACAACACCAATAATAAACACCAGCAAGTCACTAATTTTACCAACCTTAATGGCAGTATCGATCTATGAATGACAAATGGATCACACACACACACACACACACACACACACACACACACATATATCATCCAGTTTCTTATTGCAAACTCTATAGCATAAAGCTTCACTAAGAATGGAGTACCTTAGTTCATCTTTCAAAACAACCCCTCTCCCTCCCTGACAAAGATCAAATTAAATACAACGTGTAATTTTTAATGTAAGATCACAAGACTCACCAACTGGTTCCTGGCTCACCCTTTCTAATGCTCTCAATCTCCCCTCAGGTTCAGGAACTGTAATGGAGAATTATAAAATTTTGTCAGTGGAGTTGAATGGTATTTAATTTCTTCTGTGGCTTCATGTATCTCTTCCATCCCCTTCGGTTAGTAAAAGAGTAAAATAGTTAATGATTTACAATGTGGCCTTCATTATAAAATGTCTCCAGTAAATCTATAAACAAACTAATAGGTATCACTTATACATTAGAGATTTATATCAGGGTGTAAATTCTATAAGATATGCAAAACAGAATATAAAAAGTAATCACTGAGTACAGTAAATGCATATGACAATATTCAAACAACACATTTACTTTGAACTATAATAGTTTTAAATACTGTACAGAGTAAATGGGTACAAGTGAATTATCGTAGCATAATCAAGTTTCAATTATTCTAACATCTTAATCTAAGCTGTCTGTCATCCTCTCCTAGACTTGTTAACATTACAACAGCTGAAGAATCAAGAGGTACAGTCACCAACAAAAGTCCTGTTGTCTCTCTTACTGTTCCATGAACCCTGAGATTCAGACTCATGAACCCAAAGCAGTAGACACTGTCCATAATGCTTCGGATTCACTAGTCTGAATCTTGGGGTTTGTGGATCAGGAAGAAAGGTAACAAGGTTTTTGTGGGTGACTGTTCATATACCCTATGTGTGTTCAGGACAGTCTACCTGTAAGTTCTTGTTCCCTCCAGTATTTGTGAAGGGTCCAGAAACTAATAACGTGTGATAATCTCAACTTACCTGTCAAACATTACAACAACTTGAGAAACATTTGCTGAAGAATTCTTAACGCTTGCTTAGTTTTCCCTTGAGCAGTCACAACATGCTAACACAAAGATATGGGAAAGTGGATGGGAGAATAATTCCTTCAAAAAGCTTGTAACGCAAGCAAGAACACGGAAGTAGCAAACATAAAACATAAGAAAAATATAAAGGAAGAGTGACAGGCAAATAGATATTTGGATGGCTACATCCTTTAAAGGAGCTGGTCACATAAGAGAGCCACTAATCAGAGGAAAGGAATCCCCTTTATTGTACCCACTGATGTAGTTCCTGGGTTAACAAAAACCAAAGACTTCACTAACAAGTGGTGCTGGTGTAACTCACTGATGTTTGACAGTTGCCATAATGTGTCCAGCAACAGTTTCACCAATCTATTATCTTTCTTTATTACTTATGGTTAATATATCTATAAATTATGAAATCTAGCAGAGTGACTCACCAACCAGCCCCTTGCTGAGCTTGGGACGGAACTCAGTGGTTCTAATGCGGGCCTCTGAGCCAGAGTCTGCCACATCCTGGCCTACATTAGTAGCTGCAGCTGCTTTGGGGACAACTTTACTCTGGTCTAGTGAGATGAAAAGGAGGAAAATACCAAAATAAAAAATAAATGTGAATAATAAAGTGCAGAAAAATTTCAAAATGCTTTAGGAAACCTAAGAACCTTTTTCTAAACAAAAAACATTTAAAATGCAATCATTCATACACATTTTCTCACACTCTTCCATCATTATATTTGCATCATTCACCTAATCCTTAATTTTCTTATGTCACAATACTCAGGACCTCTCCAAATATAGGTTCTCAATTCTACTTTTACTCAATTTCAACTCTATACACACATGCCAGAGGGTCCATTTTACCTACATACTAAAGCCACATTATTGTTACTGACTCAACTCACTTGGATACGCTAGTGAGCATTATATCATCCTATCCAAAAAGCCACATAACAACTAGTGGCTCAGTTTTTTTTCCTTTTGTTTCTCTACTTTCAACTTCTGGTAATTAATGAGCACCTCTTTATAAATTCCTCTATGTCAGCTCAGCTTCCATAGTGTCATTCCATCACTGGACCCCTCTTCAAATTACAGCCTTTTAAGATCAATAACTGCCACATTCTTCCTTTCCTTTTTTCTCAACAAACTCTCTTCAGTCACATTATACAACCTAAACGACCAGTAAGTTCTTCCCATTGATTAACTAGGTAATTGTGCCATCGTTGTGTTCAGTCAGTCTTACATTCAATTATTTAATATACTGTACTCTTCTGTTTAAATTCATTCTTGAACTTTTTTCTGTCAGTGCATCAGCCTAGTCCTCAAGCACCTTACCTTCCTCTCATGCTGTCACTAAAAAAGAAAGGCCTTCATGCTTCTCATCACCACTTTCTTAACACTTACCACTAAAATACTCTTCCGGAGATAAATAATTAATTACTTTACCCAGAAGCAATAAGTTTCATGCATTCATTAAACTCATAACATTAAATAAAAAAGTAACATTAGGCACAATGATTCAGTTCTTTAAGTAAAAAAAATTTAATAAATGCTACAGAAGAATTTAATTATACTACAAGCATAAGCATAAAACAAACATTATATCGTAAGTACGCAAGACAAATTACTTTTAGTAGTATTGAGCGGAGGATACATGGCTGCCAGGGAGTGAAGGTGAGTGAACACCCCTCGTCCCAAGTAGTCCGCAACCACGGAGAACGAGTCTGTCGATCGTTCCAACTGTTCGTGGAATTGGTCGTGCTGGCTGCGGTGAGTCTCCTGTAAGGGTAAAATCACACCATAACACTGAAAAGGAAATGAGTGTGTCTCCGTTATTCATTTATTACTTCAGCGGCATCTTTTCCCATGTTAGAATGAGGCTCACATAAAATGCTTTTGACATCTTGGTCAGAACCAGTTTCAGTGTGCTCACCTGGGCAAGATTTTAGTATGTATGAAATTTATACACTAATAATTGTTGCTTTCCATCACCAAATTTTAATGAATCCAATTTACAGCGCCATGAATACCATCACTAAAGACTTTAAATTTTTCCTGAGTGTTACTGAACATGTAAAGTGAAGAAGGTTCCAAATGTGTGTGCGTGAGTGTATGTGCCAACCATATCTCCCCATTACATTGTAAAGTGGTAAGAAACAAGTGCAAATACACACCAGTTTTACTCACTTTCATCCATTCATTTTATGTGCCTTAATATTCCCCCAAAATACTCATTAGATTGGGAAAAAGAACGTCCATTATAAGTGACAAAGAAGAGCAAGATATAAAGTACTGTACATAAGTGTAAGTCAGGTTGTTGATGAGTGGGATACAGGCAATACAAAGAGATAATAAAAACCACCAGACAATTAGACAGAACAAGCAGTGGCAGTGAAATAATTGGCAAAATAATAGAGTAGGAGGTGAGCTTATACACAGACGTAAATGACATAAGGACAAGAAAACAGAACTCCTTCAGTTAGGTAATATCTAAATATATTATATAAAAAAATGGACGAGAAGAATAAGCTGGAGAGAATTATACTGTATACATAAACAACATAAGAAGTAACATTATTTTTTTATAGACCTGACTGACACAAGAGAACAAGAGTGATGGTAAGTGCAGTATGTACATAAAGATTTAAATGTTTATAACAAAAATGGTTTCAAAGAGAAGTTATAAAATACCTGTACAGTATTGTCAAGACCTAAATGGTGTACTAGTGTTGGTGCTGGCAGCTTGACGACTATATACACTACCATGTGACAAGTGAGAGAGCGTTGGGAGCCACCAGGTGATGAGAACCAACACCTGTACCTTACATGATGTTTTATCTTAGTTTTTTATTCTATTATCATCACCCCTCTCTCTCTCTTGTGTGGAGTGTATCAAAGAGTGCAGAAACAACAAGAAATTGGGAGTAGGATGGAGAGACTGGTGCAGGATAAGTGCCAAAACCAACAGCGAGAGATAATCTGGTGTTCTTTCTACCTTATTATAATTCTTTTGAGTGCAGGTGGAGGGGGGAAGGGGTGCTAACAACAACAACAAGCACACTCCACAAAGTACATGCTTTTTGTCCGTTATATTTGAATATGAAAGTTTACTTGATAAAAAACATATAATAATCTGATTATCTGTTAATTCTGAAAAAGTATATAATAATCCCTCTAGCTTCCAACTTTAATACTGATTAGTGTTATAATGTATATCTCGACCCACAGACTTGATGCCTTTGACCAGAATGAATAAAACTAGTGAATAAAAATCAATCCTACCAAAAACAAAGTTGTCGTCCCCATGAGCACAAAATAAACTAATCACCTGTCAAGAGCCTACATGTATACCACACTGTTAGATTATTCCTTTAGTGGTTTATGTGTATTAATCCTATTAGAGGAGGAGATGCAAGACTCACCTGTGCTCTGATAACTTCCAGCATCTTCTTGTTTTCAGGTAAACAGACAGGGCACTCAGAGTCACTCTCACTGTAGCTCTCAAAACAACTGGACAAAGAATGTATACGTATATATATATATATGTAAATTAAATATACTTACGGACACTGGCAAAACACATGGAAAATACTGTATGTACTGATGTTAAAACTAGTAATATACTCATGGTTAAAGAAATGAAAAAAAGGTATTTATTTCCTTCAACAAAGCTTCAGTATAGGGTAGTCTGAATGAAGAAGAAAAACTCTCTAATCTGACAATTCTTTTTATCATGGATGGGCTGACAAAAATAAAATGTGAACAAGTAACTTACTGTTGATGGAAGGAGTGCCTACAGAGGAAGTGTACAGACGGCAGCTCCAATTCATTGTTACAGATGTTGCATTTTGTGGCTGTGAACGGCGTGGCACTGCAACACATCACAAGGAATCCACTAGTTAGAATTCATCTTTGATAAAACTGGGAAAGAAAATTTGCCTAGTACAAGTGATGTAACCTACTCTAGGGACTCGAAGATTTATTTTAATGAAACTCCTTTAACTCGATCAAGGCGGCGATACACCCACTGATGTCATGGTTGACCGTAATAACTCTACTGGACAATAATGACAATACCAAATTCGTAAAAATATATTTTTATATTCTTAGAAAACAGCTAAAGTAAGTATGTTCCCTTGACCTAGTGAGGCTCTTCATCACCAGCTGGTTCACTGTCACATACATCTCAATCCTGTGTCAGTGCCTCCTTACTCTTTAACACAAATGGAGTATTTTAGAGCACCTGAAGGCATTACAAGTTCTTTCCCTTAATTAGAAACATTAGCTCAAATATCATGCACGCAATAATTTCTTAACTGCTTCAGTACGGGGACACCATTTTTGACATCCTATTCGGCTACAGCCGGTGATTTTATTCAGCAGAGAGGGTAGCCCGTACACAAGCGGTTAAATGTATAAGTATAAAACCTTACCAACCTAGTTCTTAGCTCACGGATGGTCTCCCTCATCCTGGCCGTCTCCTCAGAATACTGCTGAGTGCGTGTAGTCTCGGAGGCAAGGGTGGCCGAGTGGGTGGACACGACCCTCAGCAAGTACTCTCGTACCTGGCCCAGGGAGATGTGTGGAGATGTGGCAAGTTGGTCCACTACTTCCAGTGGTGGCAGTAAACCCTTTTGCTCTGTGATGGTGTAGTGTGAGTGTCATTAATACCAGAGATATACCTTGTCTGCATATATAGTGGATTCACTGATTTATGCCAAAGCAGTAAGGTTAATTGATTTACATACCAAGATAATCTATTCATTTACACAATAAGTTGAAGCACGTAAATGTACAGAACAAGATTACAGCTTATTAGTTTACACAACTAGAGTAAGGCTAATTATTTATACAAAAGGGTAAAGGTTAATCTGTTTCATTTACACAACAAGTTACAAATGATTTATTTACCCATGAAGTTAAGTTTAATTAATTTACAAAACAGGCTAAGAATAATTTATTTACTCAGCTAGTTAAATCTGCAATAATTAAAGAAAACATTATTGAAACCAGTCTTACTACTTCAGAAAGAATTCAGGACACTATTTTATCAGATATCCAACAACAGTGCTCGGAATATGTTCTCACAAACTTGGCTTGATGTTACATGCCAAAAAAATTATCTGCCTTTTATAGATAAAAAAATAAAAACATCTTTAAAAATAATCACAATCTCTCACCTATATTATTAAGGCAGTTCATGAGGTGTTGTGGATCAGGAGGAGTGAGAGACGATTCTGATGTGAGAAGTTTCAAGGCTGAACACCAGAGACGAGGCTGCTGCTGTGACTTCCTAAAACAGACGGCTAACATGCTGTCCATGTCTCCAAGCTCGGCATACCAGGCCAGCAATTCCTCGTACCTTCACCAAACATGGGGGGCGAGAAATTAAAAACCCAGCCTCATTATGGGATATATTAGAACCTGTAATGCACATAGGTAAATCAGGATGGGTCGCCTTTAGTCCACTGTGGACCAGTGTACAGCTGCCTGACTGCCAACCTTGGTGGTCTGGGTATGAAAGTAATTACTGTATTGTATAATCAGGGACATGGACACATATCCTCAACCAACTGATTTAAAACACAGCATCCACCTACATTCCAGCTTGTTCCCACAGAAGGAGCTTTCCATCATGAAACTTATGCTTATCACACAGCAGCAGCGCATGATCTCGACAGTATTCGTTATCCGAGCTGCGTAAAAGTTCCATCACCTTCTCCCCTAGTGCCACTTGTTCCTGACCTGAGAGAGAGAGAAATACATTTATTATAACCAGTCTTCACACACATACATGTCAGAAAACTATGTTATTCCAAAATATTAAAGGTGAAAGGGTAATTCAACAGATATATAGTATATACCAGTACATAAACATTTTAATATTTTCTAAATCCATACTTTTAACCTCTTGAATATGATGGTTTCACCCCTTGAGGAGTTAATCCCTTGAGAACAATGACATTAACCCCTTGATTACAATGATTTAACCCCTGAATACAATGATTTAACCTGTAGGGTATAATGATGAATTAACCCCTTGAGTACAATAATTTAACCCATTGAGTATGATGATTTAACAATGTTATCATACTCAAGGGGTCAGTCAACAAGACATCACAAACAGGATTAAAAAACAGAGAGGATGACCATGAAGTAAACTCACCCATCTCCTACAGTACAGACCTTACAATGTAATACAATATTTTCTTATTCCCTAAAAGTTACAGAGTGTCAAGTGAGTCAAGCATCTAAGCAAAAAGCCTCCCTACACCAGCCATCTCTTGAATCACAGGATAAAAACAATCATAGGTTCGACACAAATCATAGGATATCAATGCAAATTTACCTTCAGGAGCAAGACTGTACTGGTGTAGGTATTCGGCCAACAAAGTGGTGTATAACTTGATGGAGAGTTTGCCAGGTATGGTGGCCATCTTCTCCAGGAACATGATGGCTTGTTCACTGTGGCCTACGAGCATATACTCAAAGTCTTCAGGATCTGCATATACTGGTTCCTCTGGGGTGAGGTACCCATCCAAAGATCCCTACAAGATGATGACCATCAGCAAGCATCAAGGAATTAAATAATAATGGTCCTCTCATAACAAATTACAGTACTAGTCATTTCTTATCGTTACCAATAATTAATTTCTCATATTTAACTTCTCCCTCATCCTCTCTCTCTCTCTCTCTCTCTCCTTGTACCATTTGCTAGTATCAACTACTATGCATAATAAGGCACTAATTAAATGCACACTATAAATCATTCATGATTAAAAGCTGATGAATAAAACTTAGTTGTTGAAACAGATTTTGAGATGTACTCCAGAGATAAAAACCAAGACATAAATCTATATAGAAGGGAGTATGGATTGGCAACACTTATTTTCACATGCCCTTCCCAACTTCATGAATGAAGGATAACAATATTGGATATGTATATGACATCTAAATATAATATAAGAAATGGTTACCTCTTTAATGATGGGTGAATTAGTTGGTTTATAGTCGGTACAGAGTCTGATCAACAGCTCTGTAGTCTCGTCCGCCACATGACTCAACAGAACTGACCCATAACGCAAAACATTGGCCTTAGCTTCTTCCAATTCCAGTGTTGAAATGTATCTGTTGGGAATATTCAATACAGTTACAGTATATGTTTTATCATATCGTGTTTTACAGCAGATCTCTCTCTCTTTCTCTTTATCCAACGCTCTTCTTATGATCCCTATACAGGATACACCCCTCACTCTCTTTATGACTCAATCCTTTAAACAATACATAACATAAACACATGAAGCATAATTCAAATAACCAATAATCTGTTTCTAAATACTGTACACTCCTAATACATGTCTTAATAGTCATCCTGAAGGGTTGTCATCTGAGCACCCTTGTCACCTATTTTACTTTAAGCCAACCTGTATATACTGTACTGTAATAATAATGCCCACATACTTTAATAAAGAAGGAAACACAAAAAGCTCCAAAAAATATCATTACAGTATTCATAGTTAAATTTATATACACATATGAAATTCATACCTTAAAGCAGCCACATAATCTTTCTTGTCGTCAATTAGGATTGCTAAATGGTGGTGATGAAGACTGTGTTTGGCTGCCAGGGCAAGAGCATGGTCATAGTAACCTGCACTACGGCACACACGCACACCAAGCTCCACGTCACAGTCAACAGCGCCGTCCTTGCTCTGTACAGTGTTAAGAAGTGCTTTGAGAGAGGTTGTAATGTAAAAGATCTGCAGTAAGTGTCAGGACAGTGAGATAGATGCTGAGTATCACATCATTATAGATCCACCTCCCTGAATATACAGTTTATACAGCTTCATAAATTTATCTCTCTTTGTTGAAATGACATAAAGATGAAGTGAAATTACAGTAATAAGAACCAAATCTACGGTCAGTTCTTACCATGATAAATTCATCCAGTTGCTGTGTGTCTCGTAAACGTGTGTAGCAGTTGAGCAGAAGGCTGGTGTGGTCGGCAGTGGCTGACCCAGATTTGTGTAATGCTTGCAGGTATGTAGTCAAGTTGTTAATATGCTGCGTGTCCAAATACTGGGGGGGGAGGGAATAATAATAATTAAATAAATATAAAAAATTCCTTGGTTTTCAATGGCTTTTTTAATTCATTTTGCACAAATTCACACCCTGTTACTTTTTTAGGAGCCTCCCATATCTCTCATATTAACCAGGGACTACCTGTATTAATATTCCCTTGCCATATAACTTCAAATGTAGGAGACCAACATGTTTGTATTCACTTACCTTCCTTATGACATAGGAAGGCTCAAGGTGGGGGATGGTCTTGATGTACTGATCCATGGCAATTGGGTGGTTCCCTTTGCTGTATAGCCAATCTCCATACTGTCGCAAGATCTCTGCCACTTCTTCCTGGTCACAACACTGGGTCTTGGCCAGACTGAGTACAGATCAAGGGTCATACTTTCCACCAGTCTTGATTATTGGTAACATGACTTATGATTTTATTAAAAAATTTTATCCTAATCAAATACTCCCAATTAGGATTACAACTTCATTACTGGTAGATTTACACAGATCATATTGTAATCCACTTTGTCTTTATAGTGCAGGTATGTTCTTCATTAAATAATCATCAGACACACAATAAAAGAACCTTAAATAATCAGTCACCCTCGCCACTCAACAAACAGGTATTGATAAAAAAAACCTTATATATTTCACACATTACCTTATAGCTATATCAAATTGGTTCTTCTTGAAAAGGAGTTGGAATTTGCTGTGCAGATCTTTCTCAGACATGTGGATCAAGGAAGGTTCTGTGGTCACTAGGTAGAGGCCTCCCCACTCTCCCACAGCACCAGCTAATCCTTGTACTCTGGTACTTAATGCTACTAATTTGTTGGTCAGGTCATAGATTGTGATGCTTCGTTCACTAGCTCTGAAAAAAATTAAATATTAGAATAAGAAGCAGCATTTAATTCTGTGGTGTACCTGTATATATTAATAGTAAAGTATATTGTACAAAGATTTTCCATGACACTAAAACTCATTACAAGGTCCATACACTGTACAGTCGGGGTCAAAAGTTCACTCCCTCCCAAAATGAAGCAGCATTGACCCCAAAAAGAGATACAACAGTCAGGGTAAGTAAGTTTGGAGACTCATTCCCTAACCAAACCTAACCTACAGATCTGGGATAAATCAGGATTGAGAAACAGTAGAATTGAATTTTAATGGTTAGGTTAGAGAGAAAGAAAATGAGAGAGATAGAAAACAGTTTCTTTGATAAACAGTGCATGACTGAGTATGGTACATAAAGCACAAGTTTACACTCATAACCCACCTGCTGGCTGGTACCCCTTTGTCAGCAGCTGCAACAATAAGGTATCCCCTAAACCATGCAACCAACGACTTCTCTCCCTCAAAGACATAGCACGATCCTCTACTGTCACTTGTATAACTGTATATTGCCTGAAAGATAATATGAAAAGTTTCACTGTGACGAGGAAAAATTAATTTAAAGTTACATTGGATAAAATAACATGGAATGGACATATTAATTCAAAATAAAACTCTTACACAATTCCTATGATAAAAATGACAACTTTAAGGATAAAAATAATAGTAACTTATACCGAGAAGTTAGACTAAAAGTTGATAGTCTAAAATATTAAGATGGCAGACATGTAACTGACTATAGACAATATAGTAACCCATCATCATCAATACTGGCCATTTCCCACACTTGCATGAGTTGTGTGTCACATATGCAGAACAGTAAATGACTAGTCAGAGTAGCAAGTAAATCAAAGACTGGAGCAGGTTCCGATACATTCAGGAGCCAGTTCATGCCCAGTAAAAACAGTGATAAAATAAAATAACACTTTAATGCTATTTCAAGGGTACTTACATCAGGTCTGGCCACCAATAAGTGATGCTCATGTCGACCATCTGCCAGAGTTGCACAGCCCGGCTGACACCCCACAGAGTCTAGCTCCACCTACCAGTACACAACATGTTAAGTACCTGTTCACCAGGAAATCAATATACTGTGTTTGCTAAACAATGCATACTTGAAAGAAAAAAATCTCATCTCTTCGTAATATAAGGTATCAAATTATTTTTGAGAAATATAAATTAAATTGCAATTTTTTTTGTTTTGGACAGAATTGTTCCAAATAATTCAATACAAAACACATCTAAATTATGAACACACGACAAATACTTACAGTAGTTTCTTTGTCTCTGACAGTACAGTTTATGCAGTAAATATTGGTGTGACTGGTGACGAAGAGGTGAGTTGAGCGTGTGGTGTGGCGGATGTGTAGAGATGTGATGCCACTGGAAACTGTCAAAAGGACCCGATGTTTGCTACCTCGTTCACGACTCACTTCACCTGTGAGGGCATCAAACAAACCACCACAATGATTCAGGAAAATACTGTTCATGCACAGGGGAGTACGTATGTCATACAGTATCCTGAAGCATTAAAAAATACATCATAAACCAATTCATAAAAGCTGAGGGAGAAAATGAGATTACAATACCTGTACAGAAATAAACTCTAGAAGTCTAAATCAAATACAAGTATCAGATCAGTAAAAACATGGTTTTTGTTATACAATATTGATAATACTGTACAAGACACAGAAGTAATGCTTGACAAATAGACCAAAAATTTCTAAAATATGTTATAAGAACTTTAAAATGAAGGCAAAACGCACACACACACCTGGAAAAGACTGGCGAACAATCAAATCCATTATAACGCTGAAACAGAATGACACTAACCTCTGTAGAGCATTATTGCACCATCAGAAAACCCCACAGCCATCAGGGACAAGTTAGGGTGAACAGCTATGGCAGTTACTTTGGGCATCTTTACTGCCTGTTGAGGTACTGAGCTTGACCTAGACCCAGCATGAGGAGGCCTCGGGTCCGGGCAGAGGGTTCGCAGACATACTGGATGACCATGAACATCTGGCTTGTCTGGAGCCCACACTTTGATCTCTGAGGTGCCATCACTCTTTTCCTATCAGGTGGACACATGAACAGAAACTGATAAAGACAATATTCAACACATCTATGGTTATGGACGGTACATATACGTTCTAGAATGTCACGTCAGCCATGGTTTTGTACATATTTATACCCTAAGGCATTTAAACCTCCTCGTGGCTTAACCCTAGTAGAAACAACTGTTTAAGTCAACTACCGTTTAAGAAAAATATACTCACGGCTACAGTGATGATGACGCTGGCATGATCAAACGTAGTGATCGAGTTAACTGCTCGATCATGTGCTTGGAATGACTCTAGTTTTAGTTGTCGTGTGAGGCTATGGACCCACCCACTCGAGTCCCCCACATATACGTGACCTCTGCCGGCTGCCGTACATGTTACATCTGAATCCTGGCATCAAGGGAAAATCAATCTGTTAAAAAAATCACTTAAATACTTTGTCTCTCATACTAACATTTATAATGATGTACTGTACAAGTATAGAGTGTTGCCTAACCAAGGGTATATACATTCCTCACTGAAAATTGCTTCTAATTCTTACTACCTGCAGATGATTACATAATACAAGGTACCATCATAAAAACAAATAAACACTTATGTTTTTCTTCTCTATCTTGCTATGAACACAACACATGGGATCCACTTGCATTAGGGTTAAAATATCAAAACCTATTTAGCATACCTTCACTGCTTCCGCTAATTTCCCGCTGTCAATGTTGGCCTTAACATCGAAGAAGCCAAACCGCCTCCACTGGAAGTAGAAGAACATGCAGTCAGTACAGGAAATAATTAGGAGCAAAATGACCAGGTTAGGTTAAGATAGGTCAGGTTAGTTTAGGTCAGGTTAGGATAGGTTAGGTAAAGTTCTTTTAGTTTTGTAACCCCACTAACAAAAGCAAACCCCACATGGCGTTGTTTATGGAATAATGACATAACTTACTTAATAAAAGGCTTAGACACTCTTGTTGGGGGTCACACTTAAAGGACTTTTAAGTTACCATTGATTTAAAGTCCATATTTCTGCTGATGGAAATGTACTCACCCATCACCGAAGATATAAATTGGTTAAAAATTATGTTTTGTTTGAGATAAGATAAGAATAGGGGTATTTTAAACTATTATTACTCGGTATTCTAAGCATGAAAACTTTAAATAACCCTTATTAGTGAAGTGTCAGTCGAGAAATAAACAAAGTGGAAACTATATTAATCTTAAGTGTAATTTTTATTTTGTCTTTTAGCTTAAGTTTCCATTATTCCTCTATGTGAAACTTTAATCTTCCAACACAAACACATAAGACGACGTATTTCATGGTGATTGAACACATCCTGGCCGCAGTAGTAACAACACGCAATAATACACCCCTATATATCTGAGTTATCTAATCATTGACAAACTCACTTGAAAGACATGAGATAGATCGTGTTATATTAAGTATTCCTACAAGACAGGGAGTAAATATTTACCCACCTGGAGTAGTGCTGCCATGAGAAGTGACACCCACTGAACAGCACCTCACAACATAAACACCTCCGCCCCTCACCTCAGTGCCTCACCACCAGCTGATTCACTCCGTTTTCTCCCCCTTTAATAGAGCCGTTTTCTCTTACCACTATCTCACTAACTCAAGTAAATATCCAATTGTGGCTGTTAACTATTATTTCTTCTCTTTTCTATCTTTCTTTAATAAAAAATTCTCCTGACCGAAATGAATTATTCAGTTAGTAGATCTGAGATGAACAAGAGTCAATAATTAAGTCACAGGTGGTTAATCCTTTACCTGAGATGAGATGATCTATCTTTTTTTTTTTTATCCTCTTCACCAAAAGATCGGCTCGTTAGCCGAGGGGCGACTCTTTAAGTGAAATAAGCTCGGGGTGAATATTCAGGCGATTCATTGTTCTAATCTGAAGTGGTTGTTATCTCATAAGATACTTCATCTTGACAACGGCATTTATCTGTGGTTTTATCTACATCAGTGCTGCTTCTCCTCACACTCGTCGAGAGTACCACCCTACCGCTAACTTTATCTCCACAGGTAAGTTAGGGTGTTTTATTATCAGGTTGAAATTACCTGATGACTAGTCTTCACACGATGCTTGAAGAAGAAATTTAATCCTTTGATCTTGGACATAAATAAGTGAAGACCAAAAGATATAAATCGACATGAATATTCGTGAAGCAACAGTGCCCCATCACTAGCTGTTCTTTCCACTGGGCCCAAGCTTTTTGGATTAAATGCGAAGAAACTGGGCAGTGTACTGCCTACATAAAGGGCCATGCCACTTAAAGTTTCCGAAGGCGCATATTAAACCAGCGTTCGACGAAGGAGGGCCACCAGACTGGTGCCTGCACTTCGGCACCTCCGCTACCCTGAGAGATTGGAGCGCCTGAACTTGCCGAGCTTATACTACAGACGGGCAAGGGGGGGACCTAGTTGAGGTGTATAAGCATCTCAGGGGGCACTACTCAGTCGAGTGTCCTAACTTGGAGCTGGCGGACGCTCGCCCCACAAGGGGTCACAGCTCAAGATTGAAGAAGCCGCAGGTCCAGAAAACTGTGAGGGCAAACTTTTTCGGAGTGAGGGTTGTAAACTCTTGGAACAATCTACCAGAGAGTGTTGTGACGGCACCGAGTGTGAGCTCTTTCAAGACAAGACTTGACCAACACTGGAGCGGGTTCAGGTACATTCAGGAGCCGGTGCATGCCCAGTATTTGCCAACAGTACGTGACAGAGACGTGACCGATCGCCCAAGCGGCTAACGAGCCGATCAGTGGCGAAGAGGATAAAAGTAAAGTAAAAAGAACTTCGTACTAAGCTGACAGAAACTTATGACATCATTCCGGACACATAGATCAGCATCACTACCCTTAGTCTCTCAGCTCCTGGACTGTTTATCGTCGCACTGTGAGAATCAAGAACGGTGTTGAGGGATGGCATGCACCCCCAGCTCAATTCTAGAGTAGGGAAGGTTAAACTACCATTCTACATTTATCAACATGCTGCGCGACGAATCATATCATTTCCCTCTACAATCTTCAACTATATAGTCCTTCTCAGCTTTCCTTCATCCACTTTAACCTGAAAAACTACACTAATGACAAACGGAAATATAAACAGATCAATATAGGTGTTCTGAGCTCCACAAATACACTTCTCTTGTACGTACCCAACATATAGCCGTACTTAGGCCCAACACACTTGCCTGTTACTACCGACCACATCGTGTTTTCTCCAGGTATTCCAGTTTCCTCCCGTACTAATACTAACTACAAACACAATAGGAACAACGAAGCGAGTAAACAATCCATCGGCCTCCTTCCCATAGTGGTAGTAAGTCATTATCGTCCTGGCGGCTGTGATATCATGCACTTAAATTAAATAAACTTTTACTTTTTATTTTTATTCTCTTCATCACTGATTGGCAAAACGAAGTAATTAAAGCCAATCTAACTTTACCATAGTAGATTATATCTTAAAATCGTTAGGATTTTGTTGTTGTTGGCAATACGGTACTTACAAAAACCATTGTATTACGAAACACCTTTGAGTCACTTGTAATATTCTCACAGATCAACTATGGGATCACACATCCGCACACCACCGTGATTACCTCTACACTGAAGCTGAATACACTCGGCCAGCATGGTCGACGGCCACTCGCCTTTGTCTGACCTCACGTGGCTACTGTCGAGGTAATCTGGGTCATTCAAAGGAATTAATATACCACTTCTTTTTATTATAAAGTAAAAATGAAATAAAAATGACTATCGTGATATTTTTATCATATTCATAACACAAAAACAATCCGAATATATTTAAGTTTTCTTCATAATACACAAGATATAATAACTACTGTAATCTGTATAGCATATCAGTAACGTCTGGCATCACAGTTTGAGTGTAAACAGGACTACTGTACTCTATCACCGGCAGAGGGGGGCATGTTTACATCTTTAAGAAAGATATAATGGAAAGATACAATATATGCGAGTTATTGATACCTAATTTTTCTGATACTTTATGATGTTTTCCTGAGTAAGGATTATCACGACCTACATATATTTTGTTTATAAACATTCAGGTGTGTTCAGATGATTCAGTACAGTATTCTCACATGTCGGGATTAATGCTTTATCTCCCAACAAAGATGACAATAACAGTGAGCTTCAGGTCATGCTTATACTTACACCCTCATTCCTGTTGACTGTGACTTGTTATTATGAAATAATTATAATGCGATTAAATGCAAGTTCTGTTTTAGGTTTGGTAGGAAGTACAGTGTAAGATAAGTATGTGAGCGCATACGGTGACTCCATTTACTTTATCAAGTTTATCTTCTTCACCGCTGACAGGTCTGTTAGCACTAGCAGCTAAAGTGGTCGGTATCGTCTCTGTTACACACTGTTAGCATGTACTGACTCTAGAATGCATCTGTACCTGTACCAGTGTTGTTCAAGTCTGGTCTTGAATGAGTTCACACTTTCTGAGATATTGTCCCAAGAGTTCACAAGTCTCACTCCAAAAAATGTTTCCCTGACAATTTTCTGAACTTGTGGCTTTTTCAGTTCTGGGCATGAACACTCGACTGAGTACAGTACAGTAATGTCATCTGAGGTGCTCATAGACTTCAATAAGTCACCCCTTGCCTGCCTGTAGTATAAAATAGGCAATTGCAGGCTTTCTAATCTCTGGGTAAACGAGGCACCAGTCTGGTGGCCCTCCCTTGGACATTTTCAATTGGCTGACAGTTTCTATCACATCTCGGGGACCAGACGGAGGGGCAATACTAAAACGGGGCTTGGGTGCTGGTGTCTGATACTAAAACTATACCCACAATATTATTAAATTACTTCAACTAGTATAATATTAACTAGAGTACAAGGATTATCTTTAATATGATTATTATCTATGTTGATGAGTTGGTGGTGTTAATAGTGAACTCTGTATGTCAGGTGATCTGTCCATTTAGGAATACAGCGAAGGAGAAATGGCCAATTAAAAAGAGTATCATATTTGGCCTTGGAGAAACACAGTACAGTATCTTTTAAGTAATAGGCATTACTTTTCGAGCCATCAGTTCCCTATGAGGTTTATGTGTGATGTGATTTTTATATGTTGATAAGTTGGGGGAGTAGAATGCCCATCCTCCATACAACACAGTACAGTACCCACACCTACCATATCACACTTGTCCCATCTTGACTCCTTATCCCTGTGTGTTGCAAGTTTACTCTAGCTAGACCATCATCGTCATGTTCTCTAACCATGATGTTGGGCTTCCTTTGTTGAGAAGTTACACAATACATTAACTCGACAAATAGAATCTAATGTAAAGTAAACAACAATCTAATCTATATAAGTGGAGGTTAAACAAACATATACTATGTGCTATAACAGTTTATTGAATGTGAAAATCACTTTACAAAGGACAATCATAATCTGCAGTGCAAGGAGTTAGAATGAAATACCACAAACGTCAGAGAGAGCTGCTGAGTGTCAATGTGCCAACAACTAAGACAAACCTACAACCTCATCACACAAACCAAAGATGTTAAGTTGAATTAAAAAATCTAGAAACAAAAAAACCAATATAACAATAACCTAAATATCTTTACCCAGTACACACTAACATCTGTACATACATACATTCACATATACACACACACACATACTGTAGTGTACATACATCCACATTTTTACCAACAAAATCTTGTCCACCTTTAACCATGACATTAACATTGTAACTAAAGGCTGAGGAAAGTGTATCTATGCCATCCTTAAACTTGCATTATGGGTGTACTAATTATTATTAATCAAAGTATCTTAACAGAGAACAAAGTCACTAGGGTAAATAATCTAATGCTGCATCATAACACCAAGACAGATTAAAATGACAAGGCATTATAACATGAAGCTATACTTGGATTGCTATAAATAAATTCAGGACATTTTATATCAACTACATCAAGATTACTATACAGCAAGGAGCACCAAATACATTCTATACTCCATTACCAGTACAGTATTGTGTATCCAAGGTGTGAGTGTGTGTGCGTGATACTCCTCAGTCTTCAGCCTTCTTGGGTAGAGCGGCTATCTCTGCTTTTGTCACCACCTCATCCATCTTGATAAATGTCTCTGTGAGGATATTGATCTACAGAGTCTGTTAAGGAACATAACACTGGGTAATTACAATCAAATGATAGTAAAGAGTAAAGAATGGTGCTGATTAACCCTTCGTCATCAGGGTCGCCTCTGAGCAGATCAAAATCGCCTGGCACATTTCCTTTCTCCCAATAACTCGTACCATCTTATTGAGAGGAATTACTGCAGATGAGGAAAACCTAAGTGTTGTTAAAAAAGTGAGGAGGGTGGGGACAAATTTAAATAAAATACTCTGAAAAGGAAAGAGTAATTTGTAATACATATAGAAAGTTTTTATACAATTCTATACTGTACTTGTTTGAAAACAGGAACACTGGAGCACAAACTAAAATGCAAAGGGAACTAGAAAATGTAATTTCCATGGTGCAATCTTGCCTTACTTACACAACTAGTGGTCTTACCTGTAATACTCATCTACCATAAACAGACTTAACCTGGATATGGCACAGGTTTGATTATTTATCTTAGGAGAATTTATTTCCCACCTGCTGTTCTACCTTCCTCAGATGTGTATGATAACATTTCTGAATTAATACGTGGATGGAAGGTTGTTTGTTGGAGCCACGACTTGAAGTTTGTCACAGTATTCTCAGTTAAACACACCACATAATTAATTACCAAGTTTAAAGAGGTTGAAAATGAATCAACTAAGATTAAATATAAAGGTACAAAAGGTCTTTCACAATATTTAATATATCCTAAACTGCTAAATGTTCATTATTCAGTTTAAATAAATGTTTACACCACATACTTTACAAATAAGACTTACCGTTTCTTTTGCAGGTGACATGCATGCCTTTCACCTTCAAATACTTGTTTCATCTCTCATGATCTTTAATAACAAAAAACCCTCTAGTTACTGCAATAGTCTCACCTTCTGTTACATCAGTGCTAGCTAGAGTTTCACCTTATTCATTTCTTCAATACCCTAGTGATATGCTCCCTTATGTCAATTAATGTAAGACTTACTCCCACAAACATGTACTATGCACTCACTAGTAATTCTCAGATACTAGTTATCCTCAGGAACTTGTGAATCCAGAAAACAGGAACGCCTATACGGGAAGGGCAGAAGCTAAGACTAAACAATAAGCACTTGTAACCTATGTAAAATAAAATCAGCATATTGTCTTGTGCATTACATGGAAACAAGACCACATGATACAGAATACAGTACATATACTCATTGCTGAAATTGACCTTTGACTCCAATACTTTAGCTTGACTTTTGACTTAAATTTGAAGTAACTATCCTGTACTTCATCAATTTATAATACTGTCTACATTTACCGGAAGCTTCACAAAAGTACCTTCAATGTTATTGGAGTTAATCTATAAGCAAGCATGTCTACAGGCACCCCGATGATGGGTCTGTTCCATATATCAGTTCATCATGTGGAGTATAAAGCTAAACTACCTCCAACAGGGTCAAGTAGCACAGAAATCTATGAATCTATTAATTTGCTGCAACTGTATTGTGATTACACAATAACAAAATGAACATGTGCAAAGTTTGCTCTTCCACCCCTTCAGCTCTGACCCTTTATGAAAATGAACAACAAAAGTAATTATTACAGTACCAATATTTGTGGTTTAAACAGAATTCCTTTTCAGAAAAATCTTGGATATAAATGTGTTACAAACTATGCAGAAATAGTATGTTTTCATTTACCATTACAGTATTTATTTTACAGTCTTACCATACCTTTGCTTCTTATATGATAATAAGGGAAAGATAATTTGAAGTCTCTTAAAGTACTAAAAAGGTTAGTATTAGTTACAATACATGAGGGCTATGATGAAAACTCATATGCATGAGTATCTAACATATGCGTTATTGATTTGTAGAAAATAAAGTATTTGGTTTGGACAAGTCATGCAATTTGGGACACAGGAGATATGGTATGAATTATTTTTTGTATTTATTGGGGTAAAGGACTTGGTGAATATCTTGTACAAATTATAGTGATGGTGGTGATTGTATCTACCTGTTCAGAGCTGAAGGGGATAATAAAAACCAAGATCTAAACTTTCATATTTATGCAAATATTGTCAGTACAAAAAGTTACAATTACTTATTGAATGCAGCATTAACAGTGACAAATTTTTGGAATCCAATAAATGTAAAAGTGGTCTCTTACATATAAATTTCCAAAAGTAACAAATTCATCAATTGTACAGTTAGCTGGTAAATTCTGTCCATAATATTTCCATGACAATATAAGAGGATCAGTGCAGGAATGAAGTTAACAGTTTTTAATGATGTAGAATATCCACAATGTTAATCAATATCTAACACATACACCTTCGTTATGTTATCATACATTTACCCTAGAGAGCAATAATACCTGTTGTGGTAGCCATTATAAATGTAAGTAATACTTTCCTAAATATATATAATCCAGTCTTATAGTTAAGGATAAACACATGTAAAATTGGCTTATAAAATGGTTCACTATTCATCTAACCACAATTTACTGTCCAAGTTGTAACAGCAACAATAAAATCACAAAAAACTAAGACACAAACATTATTATGAAAGTCCTAGAGATGTTCTCCTCCAACTGTCTAAATAAACTTCACACAGACAAGAATAGAAAATCAATTAATATTCAGACTGAACAAACTGGAAATTTAAGAAAAATATAAAAGAAAAAATCATGAATAAATCTGCAATTCCCAACAGCACAAACCAGTTATTGGACTGTGTGAAGTGTAAACCAACATCACAGAAATATAAGAGAGAGATGTAAAATAACTTATGGTACCTCACAATCCTACAGAGATGTTAGGTGTATTTCTTCCAGCGTAGGCACTCATGTAGCACAATTACAGTTCTAAATAACAGCACATCATCAGACACAATGGTAATACACAGATAAGACAGTAAAACATGGTAAACTTCTACTAACAAATACAAACAACAATACAGTAAGATGGCTTGTATCACACACACACATATATAAGAAGGTATAAATTAAGTACTATACACTGTGAATGTGTCATATCTAACTAAATATTCGGGGTGTTTGTATGAATTCGAACACAGGTTCGTCAAAATTTCGTAACCAAGCCCTTCCTCCATAACCATGATTAACTGACATTCACGATCATAATTTTATGCACTGATTCGTACTCTAACATCACAATTATCTTAAAAAAATAACACCATCAATATTTTAGCCTTAGCTATTAAAACATGCGGCAAGGAACTGCACGGTCAAGAGAGGATGGCGCTACAAACAAATATCTAGTAAGGCCTTCTTCATATTAAAGGATACAATAGCATTATACTGGTCTAGCATGTTCTTAATCTGCACACTCTGCTGAGAGGCTGCTTCTTCATCTTGGCTGTGTCTGTTGGCTATTTGAATCAACTCATCCCCCAGGTTGGCAGAATCTGTAAAAACCATTAGGAAATTCTGGCACAGTAGTAAACAGCATAATTGGGTACAATAGTTTCTAAAAATATTTATATCACATCCGGCTACTGAATAATGGTGAAATTTATATTTTTTATCGAGACAAAATTCTTGAAATCCTAACAAAACAACATGAAAATTCTAAACATTTCCCATCCCTGAAAAAACAGTCTCTCCGACATTGGGGATAGTGAAGACTGATAAACTACCGGATATCAGAAGAATAAATCGTAACTTACCAGTAATATGCTGAGAGTCTAAGACATTCTTAAGAGAATTCATAGTGTTGAGATGCTGATACTGGTTACGCAACTGCTCCTCTCGGGCTAACACCAAGTCGAGCTTTACATTGTCCGACAATTCAAGGGACTCCCCATATGATGGATCCAAGTAACGTTCTAACTCATCAACTGTAAGAGATGACAAACTCTCATCAAAACAGTTTCACCATAGGAATGTATACCTTAACCATTATGAAATACCTTCTCTAACTTCTTACCTGAAATAACAATTATTATCTCACTGTAATGGAAGTCTTTCTGGAATATCCCCGATGACAAAAATATAACTCCATACTATTCAAACACAGTGAGAGCATTTATTAAAGATCTTTTACCCAAACCTTACAAAGATTAAGGCAACTGATGCTGCTTGTGGGTGTCTGTAGGAACCTTTTACCAAGCAAAAAAGTCCACCCACACACAACAATCCAACCGTAACTCTTCAGATTCTTCCATCAATGCACTGCTACCTATTTAATCCAGCTCCACATACTATTAATACTATATAATATTTGTTTTCCTCTAACACTATGATCACCTCACAGATATAAGATTAGTCACACTCGCCTCAGTGCTTCATTTTAAGACCTTGACACCATATAGGTCAACATCAACCTTCTGGAATTTCTGAAACAATTCTATCAGCGAGTGGAGTTCAATCACTTACCACAAAGCTGCATGTTATTACCTTACAGTTATATGCAATAGCTGTACTGTGGGTGGGTATCTCAAGGTCAAATTGCAAGTACAGTGCTGTAACATTTCATCATTTGCAACATTATGGTATTACAGTATTTATATATCAGGATCTAAAATGTACAAATTGTTGCCCCTTAAATTATCAACTATTTATATATTTTGTCTGATTTTTAATGATACAAAATTTATTTTACTTTCCCAAGGTAATGTACCTTCTTAACAATGGTACTGCAGTTCTTATATTGTGGTTCAGTTATCACATTACCTCCCTCATGCTGTACTGTACTACCATAGAATCTGAACAGAGCTTTACAGTTAGTTACTCACGTCTTTTCATGACCATCATCATGCGGTCACGTGTTCCAAGTGCACTTCCCAGTTGGCCACCTAATGAAGCCAAAGTCGACACAACCTGGTAAAAAAAACAATAAAACGTTAAACATAGTAATAAAACACCAAATATAACTGCCAAAGATTAGTTCTTCTTACAAATATTTATCTTAATTTACTCTATATAGCAAATACAGCAGCATACAGTAAAGTAGAGTAAGTTAAAAAAAAAAATTGTGGGTTTGTGTAATCTTGGGAGGTTTACTAGAAAATGATAATATCTGACCCACTACAGCAACTACATACATTATGTGTTGCTGGTGAATGAAAACAAACCATTGATGAGCTGTATGATATTAATAGCTACAAACCACTGAACACTGCAAAAAAAAAAAAAAAAAAAAATTAAATCACTACTGTAGTTTGTTCCAGCTGAAATGAGACAAAGTTTAATTCGGGCACATTTTACGACACAGCTCAGGCAACACATATACTTGCAACTGTAGCATTGAATCTAGGAGAAAAAAGTGCCCAGAAAAGAAAAAAAAAAAAAAAACACCTTGCCAAATATTACCCACATTGTGCCTTTTCTGTTATCTTTTCTTGTGACATTCTGCCCCCAACAACTCCTTAATGGATTATGCACAATATCTCATAGTGAGGTTCTCGTCAGTTTATTAATACGTAGTGGATAAAGGTGCGGCAGCCGCACGCCAAAAATCACACCGGATACAGGTATGGCATCCGTAATTATAATTTGGTCCCCCATCAAGTTGGTAATTTTCTTCTTTTTGTACAAAACTGTTATCTTAGCAATTTTATCATTACTAGAGGTATTTTTTATAATTCTAAAACACTTTTCTTCTTTGAAGTTTCCCTCGCAAATGACCTAACCTATCCAAAGCAGGGGGCTCTGCCCCCCCTGGACTTCCCTCGGCTTATATGTCGTTTGTAAGGGAAATGTCATAGAAGAAAAGTGTCGGTAAATTTTTAGTCTTACACCAGTCTTCCTCTCGCTGTTTTTAATATGTATCTCGTAATGTTTAGACAATTATAAGACATTTTTCTTCAATGATATTTCCGCCGGAAATTAAGGATAACTGAGATATTAATGTTTCAATATCATTACAGTTCCTCAGTCACAAGTGTTGCCATTTGTTTTTTTACATCTCGCGGAAAAGGTCTGACCCCCTTACACAGTGCCGACATTGAGATAAAGATTATTTTCCGTCAATTGCCGAGTTTCATCAGAAAAGTAGTGAGGCAATTTTTTTTTTAGAAAACAGTGTATTTCCGAACAACATTCTTTGTCCAAGATGTGGGGACATGAAGAAAGGGGGGGAGGGGTAGGTTAGGTTTTGTTGGTTGGTTGGTATTTCATTTATGTGATTTACTTTAAAAAAAATTCCAACTTTATCCATTAAGTTTGTTGGGGGGGGGGGGCATCTAAAAAAGACTAGTGATTGCGGCAGAAATGAGTACAGTATCAAATTCGTTGAAGACTCATCAAATACCATAGAAAAAACATATTTCTAATATCAAAAGAAAGACCGATGCCAGATGTAGACAACACATGGCAACACTTGTGACTGAGGAAATCTAATGATATTGAAACATTATTATCTAGGATATCCTTAATTTCCGGAGAAAATATCATAAAAGAAAAATGTCTTAGAATTGTCTAAATATTAAGAGATACATATTAAAAACAGCGAGAAGAAGACTGGTGTAAGACTAAAGTTTTACCGAATTGTTGAAAATAGCTATAGTAAAGGTAAAATTTCTTAGATTCCCGTGTTGTTTCAAAGTAAAATAATACCATTGTCTTTCTGTATATACTTATATATACCGTATAATCTTCTTTGAAATATGTTAAACCGAGAATAAAAGGAAATAAATCGTATTAATATGACCCAACTGTATTACAGACCAGAGCCACAAAGGTTATATTTAATTATTAGGTAAGAGTAGTGGCGTGTGACTCATCTTAGTTACAAGGCTTTACAAAACACAAAACTCGGGGTCAACATTTATCAGCTTCTCTCTCTAACTCACAGCTCCTAGACGGTACCTACTACAACCAAGATGCTTCCTCACCTCCGGATACTCAGCATCTTTAGGTAAGGGGCCGAAGATCTTCTCCTCCAGCTTCTTAACTCTCTCCTCCAGGACGTGTAGACTCTCCACCTCCGCCGCCATGTTTACATCTGAGTCAACAGAGCCGTTCCCGCACCCCTGGATTTATTGCTTTGGAAAATTATCCACATCAAAGGTCTTCTGTATCCGAGGGCTGAAATTTAATTTTTATGACCATTACTGTTACATCCTAATGTGTTTTTTACTTTTTTACTGTAATTAGACAGCCTACATAAGCTAAAATGTGGCAAGTTCTCCCACACTTATCCACGAATCCGGATGGTCTGGCGTGTTGCGTCATGTTAATGGAGCCTCTGGGAGGAGTTTAAACATTATGTACACAGATGCAGGCCATTTAAATGATCATTCCAGTGAACACTAGTTGATATCAACCCTTTGACCCCTTTAAGGATCTGTTGTCAGAAATGTGATATCTCGATTATTTCTTGCATAAATGTAAATGACTCGTGGAATTTTTAATTACTTTTGCAATGCTAATTAATTACTCGCCATCTATGGTTTTTCAAGGTCACTTTTTGGTGTTTGTGTGTTACTTAAATAGTTAGACATATTAAATTTCAATTCTGAAACCAATTTTTTGATTGCCTAAAGTTCTGTAAGGGGTAAGACTTAGCGTTTAGTCCATAATCTTGAAATTATCGATTTTGTTCAAAATCTCAGTGTAGGTACTCCTGAACATGTTAGAAATTCGATATCTGGTGTTGTGTGTGTGTGTGTGTGTATGTAATGCAGTTAGTCTACATTCTCTTTTTTAGGTCCGCACACACACTTAGGGAGATCTCGCACTCAGGATAGGGGTGAAAAAGGAAATAACAATTGCCTAAACTCAACATATATTGTATGTACAATGCTGTAGGATGCTGGAGAGTTGCTTTGTGGTTGAGGAGCTTCAGGTGAGTTGGTGTTGGCTGGAGAGGACGTAGTAGAATGACCTTCCCAGCGAGGCAGGTGGGTATTTATACAATCCTGCCTACTCAAGGACACGGGCCGAGGTATAAAAGGAACCGCTGATTGGCTAATGGCGAGGCCGGCAGTGGCCAATCAGCGAGCGAGGGTGGCGCGAGAAGGAAGAGCATTTGTAAGGAGAGTTAGCCACTACTGTACACTGGATTAATACTTACATAAATGACTGCATATATTTTTAAGTACTTTTGCAATGCTAGTTACTCGCCATCTATGATTTTTCAAGGTCACTTTTTGATGTTTGTGTGTTATTCTGGATATACTTAAATAGTTAGACACATTAAATTTTGGGGGCAAAAAAATTTTGTAAGGGGTAAGCCTTACCATTTGGCCTTAATCTTTACCTCACTGATTCGGGGAAATATTTGTTCGGTAGATTATTATCATTTTATGGTGCCTTTTATAAGTGACCGTCTTTTCACAGAATTTAACTTTTCAGTAAAATCCTTCATTATAATGTTATGTTATGAGAGTAAGTCAAGCGATGCTATGTGTAGTACAAGTAAGCTTCTACTCACCAAAAAAATTCACACAGGTACAAGTACTTGTCTTTCAGTTCAGTCACCTTCTTTTGTCTTATAATCTGATTGTGGCAACTAGAAGTGACTTAAATTTCTGTGCTTGAAAATATAGGTTTGACACTGATGATTATATATTATATCTATCAGTGGCCATCAATGACTAATATTTTCTAACTGCTTTTGGTACTGATTTCTTAATTACTGTATTTTTTAATCGGGCTTCTTCCAGATGTTTACTTTCCTCTCAGTTATATGCAGGACACCCATAATTTCTTTAACAAATAAGTAATTACTACATCTTCATGGAAAACCTTATTCTTATATTGCACTAAATTTAGGAAAAGACAAAATATCATTTAATTATATAACTAATATAATAACTTTTTCTACAATGGTGGTAATAAAGATAATATTTGCTTAGTGTTCTCCTGATGGCTCTCATTGAGACTGAAGAACCGAGTAGAAGATGGAATTTCTATTGGAAAGTAGTTCTGTTGGTCGTCCACACTCCACCACTTCTCCCTCACTCATCACCAGAATTCTGTAAAATTCATGATTTAATGAGTGCAATCATGTAGGTCCAACACATGTATGATTATAGGGGAGGAAAAGTCAAAAGATTATAGTGTCTAAACTAATGGAAGAACACCCCTCAATGCCCCAAAAAGGCAAACTTTTATATTATGTGTCTTGAGCATTGACACTTGAAACTGTAGAGATGAGTAACTTAAATACAGTACTGGGGACAATGTTGTATGAATCATTCTGGTTTCATAAAAGGGAATATTAGATAAAACGGTTGACAAGACAAAATATTTAGTGGTGCCATGAGCAGTTTCAGTTTGCAGTTATCAAACACAGTTACTTATCAATGACTTAGCCCAGTAGATTAACTCACCTATCACAATCCCGGACAGTGTGCACACGATGAGCAATAATAATGACGGTCTTGTTGCGGAAGGCACTGCGTATTGTTTGCTGAATCTGCTCGTCGGTTTCATTATCCAGCTGCGACGTCCCTTCATCTATACACACAATCTACAAAACATTTGAATGTTTTGAGTAATGAAGTGTTTATCAGGAAATATCTTTATTTGTAAAACTTACGAATGAAGGATAACAATTTTAATATAATTTGAAGAAAAAGAACACGACTGTACTGTGAATCAAGGATAGAACCAGCCAGATGAGTCTAGCACTTCAACAGGCAGAAAATTTGTCATTTGTAGTAGGGCCTCTTAACCTTTTAAGCCTGTTTAATATATCTTTTGGTGGAGCGTTAGTACTTGTGACAAAATCACTGAGGAACCCCAAAATATTAGCTGTGGAAACAATAGTCTTCCTTATACATCAATAAATTATGATAAATAACTTAATTTTGTGTCATAAGTTCACAATATTGGGTCATGGTAAGACAAAGTGGACTTAAGCTTCAAGGCCGAGTCAAGTCATTAGGTGATTCAGATAGTATTGGGAGCACACAAGATGCAACCTCCATAGCACTCTTAACTTACACTTCCAAGTATTCTTTTCTTTAATTTACTTTTAATTGAAAATAGATCACCTGAAATTAGTCCCAGCATTTTTCACCTAATGATTAAACGCCCTGACTCTACCTGGGGGAGTGGGGTTAGGTTAACGTTAGGTTGTTTAATCATCGTTTGACATATGCTAGGGGCCTAATCTTCAGGTGATCTGTGGAAAAACTTGAAGCAAGAACATTATAATTAGACTGCTGTGAGGAAAACTAACCAAATTGGTACAAACGTGAATCAGACAAAACTTACATAATACAGATCATAATAAACTTACAAGTATGGTCTACCTTGTACCCAACTGGTATTATATTTAAAGACAACAAACTGATTTTCCAGCGCTTACCTTGGTGCGGCACAATAGAGCTCGAGCCAGGCAAAACAACTGCCTCTCCCCTGCTGACATTGCCCGTCCTGCTTCCTCTATCCTAGCCTCCAGGCCACCAAGGTGTTGTACCAGTGTAGTGAGATGACACGACTGTACGGCCTGCCATATCTGAGTGTCGAGAGAGTCACTACAGGGGTCTAGATTCTCCCTGATAGTTCCACTGAACAGGAAGGCATCTTGTGTCACTATGGCCATGCTGGATCTATATGTAATTAAGTAAAGATATTATCATGCAGCTGAGTACAGGTACATGGGTGTATTACAAATCTCAAGTTATTAATGTCTTTCAAGGTACCATACTATGAAAAGAATTACCAGGAGCATAACCATATCCTTTTTAAGATATGATGATAATATTAATATTACAGTATATACAATCTTCTGGGTATTAATAAGGGAAAAGCACCAGTCAGGTTGGATCTCTTAAGATGATGTATCATAAGAATAAATCATTTTTCAGATATAATTAAAACTTTCATTCTCTTGGTAATCCAATTCACACTAACTGACAGTGACATTATATCACAATTAATGGTACATGAACATTCTTAACAATCTTTGCATCTACTCAAAACAATAGTACTAAAATTATATAATAAAAGAATATTTTCTTTGGATCCCCTGAGTATTAGACACCCCAACTTATTTCATCTGAAGATTAACCACCCTAACTTAATCTAACATAACCTACTGTACCTTAGTTTCTTAAGGCTCAGCTTGGAGATGTCCACATTGTCTACAAAGATGTGTCCCGAGTTCAGTTCCACCAGACGGAACAGTGCCAGAAATATGGAGCTCTTCCCTGCTCCTGTGCGACCAATTATTCCAACCTTTTCTGATGCACCTATTTCGAAGCTTACTTTTCTCAGTGCATACGGATTATGAGCCCTGAAATTTGAAAGATAAGAGCAAATTGTTATGGCTATCAAATTATGTACACCACCATAGTAAATGTCTCACAAGAGCCAGAATGCTCCCAACTGAGCTATGGAGGTATGAAGAGTACAGACGTTTAAGTAATGTATGTCAATGATAATTAAAATCAAATGAAATAAGATTCCTTTATGGATAAACCCGACTTACAACTACGTAATGCATATTCATTCCCATCTAAATTTCCAGTATTTTGTTACTTACTAAATAAATGAAGATGCAAACAGGTACTTACTGATATCTCAAGCAGACGTTCTGGAACTTAATAGAACCATGGCTAAGCCAGCCAAAAGGGGGAAGTATGGTGCCCTCCCGCCGTTCTGGTTCTGTTCCTTCCAGATATTGGTGGACGCGCTCAACACTGACCAACTCCCTCTCTGTCTCAGTGAGGGAACCCACTACAGAGTTGAGGAAGTTGCTCACAGTCAGAGCATACGAGACCACCAGACCAACCAGACCTGTTGTAATAATTAATGATAAAAATACTGTACGTACATAACACTACATACACAAATTACCATTATCACAACATCCATATTCATAACTATGTATTAATATACAAAAATGGAATTCAATGCTGTATCAGTTCTGTAACAAACTGTAATTATCTCTATCAAAACATAAAACAAACATACAGTATACCAACGTCTGCAATGTACACATGCATAAAACAACTATTGAAAAGGCTAACCACAACAATGCACTCACCAGCATCAATAGCATCAAAGTGATGTTGAAGGAGGGCAAGAGTTGACACACCAGCTAGCATTGCCAGCCCGATCAGTTGCAACCGCAAGTTGAGCCACTGTGAGGCTACCTGAATGTCAAACTGTGCACGCTGGCTTACCTCTAAGAGGCTGTCTGCTCTTGCACTAAATCTGGGTAGATCAAGAGGGGTATTAGGACTGTCTATCTATCTGTATCAGTAATTATAACAAAGCCTTTTTGCACAGTCACAGTAGGAGAGGCACACATGATGAACACTCAAGATATTTACAGTAAGTCAATTGTTTATACAATACTGCACAGTACTTACCTATGTACAGCCCGCATGGCACGGATCACAGGAAGGCCCTGCAAAGTCTCAGTGAAGTGTGCATACAAGGGCGAGAGAGAAACTGCGTGCAGTCGCTTCAGATCTCGAGAAGTGTGACGATAAAAGCTCTGGACGGTGTAATACACAAAAGCTAATGGAATGTAGAGCAACAAGATCCACGGCATACCATATATGGTCACCACAACCGAACCTGGGAAGAAACATTTAATGAAGGAATAAAGAGTAGATCTTTATCACTCAAATCCACCATCATAACCTAATACAGTACATTAATTAAATTTCTTTATACAGTACTGTATACTTTTTTGTGTCACCTTTTAATGGTTAAGTGATATATATGTCTTTTTAAACACTGAAGTACTACTTATTCATTTATCCTCTTGTTCATTCAGTGTTTTATTGTGTCACTCTGATGGTGTCTAATGTTTTTCTCTGCCTATTTAATTGTTTAGAACAAAATTTTAATATTTTTGTTCAATGATTCCATGAGAAAAATATCTATCAAAACATTTACATTTTCCCACATTATACAAACACATTTACTGACCTAATAGTCCAAAAACCTGAGCAAAGAAAATGTTCATCTGGAAGGGAAGAGAGTCATCCACGGTGTAGAGATCTGATGAGAACCGGTTCAGGATACGGCCGAGAGGATTGTTGTCAAAGAATGAAATCTTTGCCTGTGAAGAAGAAATAAAGACATCAAAAAAATGCATTAAAATTTCCTGAGATATTTTATTAACCATTTTGAGAAACTTGAGGAGCATTATACCGAGGACAAGGACTTCAACCCATGTTGTTTATAGTACAGTAACTTATTACCAGCGTACATTCTTGTAAATCTTTCCTGACAAAAATGTAGTGCTAAAAGAGTGTTCCTACTCCAGTACAGTATTCATCAGTTAAGAGGCACAGATGGTAGAAGAATATAAGAAAGCCATCATACAACTAAATATTATTAAACTTTCATTAAAATCGTACACCTGATAAATACATCATCTATTTTCTAATCTTGATACAGTTCAACTTTTAAACATTTTCACAGTGATAAATGAAACTTACGTAAAGAACAGCATCCAACAACTGTTTGTGAAGGGCTTTAGCAGCACAGATACCTCCATATGCAAACAAGAAAGCTCGCATTAGTGTGAAAATTGTGTTGGAGGCTGCCAGAATCCCATACACAGTGAGGTAGAATTTGGTGCTGGGGTCCACTACCGCCGATACATCAGACTCGGGAAGTTCTTGTACCGCCAGAAACTGTATAAAAATATTCTTATTAATCTTTTTTATCAATCTATACAAATTACTACAACCTTTCTGTTATAAGTTCATTACTATGTATTGCTAACACCTGTAGAAGGGTGGTTTGGTGCCACTCTATGTAATTAAAATGTAGTTTGAACTCAAGTGTTTTCCTCCTAGTAAAAATCCTGTTTATCATCACCATGTCTTTATATATTTTCTCAGTTATCATTTGTCAGTAACACCTCGAGCACATACATTAATGCTCATACCTGATGCATAGGGTTGATAGAAGAAAACCACTGCATGCTATCAGTTAAAGCAGTGGCCATTTTGGGGGGATCAGGCCTAGTTCCTGCACCCATCCATGGTGTTGTGTCTTTATCAACAAGTGCAGTTAATCCAGAGCTGTAAAGATATTAAACTTAATGAATCTTGAAGCCTTAAACATGAAGAATATTTCTGAAATACATAGAGCCTACATTCTACCTAATATGGATTGCCCACAACTCTTACTATTATGGATGACACAAAACTGTACATGATGGTCAGATGAAAAGACTTCCTTACTCCAATCAAAACAAACCTTAATAAAATTCTACAGCCATAAAATACAGAGATATGAATAAATACACCCTCTGTATATTTTTTGTGAAATGTAACAAGAACAAAGAAGACAGAAGTGTTTGAATATGCAATGATGAAATGAATAGTGAGCGACAAGAAATGGTGAATCAAAGAAATCTGCACATCTTGGCTTGGAGTGAGACAAGCTGAAGGGCAGAGGAAGTTTAATCCAGGAATGTCTGAATGAGTGAAAGTGTACTTGGGGGGAATTGACAGAAAGGCAATAAGATGAGAACTGAAAATATACACGACAAATGGAAAATAAGCGAATACATTTTGGGTATTAAGAGCGAGAGAAAAGAACTTGCTATAGTGTGTCAGGAAGGAGAAATAATTCGTCCCAGTAGATGGAGTACAGCAGTAAGAGAGGTGAGGGTACGAGTAATGGATCATGTACAGGTTGTAGGGAGAGACAGGTAATCTAGATGGATATTTTGGGAGGCAGTGTTAAGTAAGAACAACAGCAGCAGCAGCAAGAGAATGACCTGACAGTAAATAATACAAGCCATCCATACCTGTTTCTCCCTGTGACTTGAGACACCCAGTAAGCCAACCACATGTCAGTTAGGTTTCGGGAACTCTGCATTAGTATCATGGAGAGGAAGATGGTGAGCGAGAGCACACTGCCCAATGCCACTATGTACGTGTAGTAGACGGAACTGCTCAATTCCCCATAGTCACGCTCTTCCTCATTGTCACCCTGGGAACAAAAAGTGTAATACTATTTAGAAATTATAATAGTGTGTTATTAAATGGGGGAAATTACTTATCAGTCGATGGGGTAATAGGTGGGGATTGTTTTTTGGCTTCAGTTGCCTGGATTCACAAATACATTTCAGTAAGGTTGTGAGATTTGGTTAGGCATTCTATCTCCTATCAACCACGAATGAAACAAACAAAAACATAACACATAACCACATACAGTACCTAATTCTCTCATCTTGCGTCCAGTTCTCAATAGATTATACAATAACTAGATCTGAGAACAGTAAAAACAAAACAAAAAATATGACTCTCCACCCCTCCTGCACCACGTCACCCGAACACCTACGAGGGGTCTTACCTTACGTATCGAGTCTGTACTCTTGCCGTGTCCCGTAGCGAAGATGTCCAACGATGGCCTCCGCGAAACGGCCCCTGACGACTTGGTTTCCACACTCTCGGTCTCGTCCCACCAGTCATCTGAAAGTTCCTCTGCCGACAAGAGCTTTGGCAGGACGACTGATGGGGGACCTGTAGTAAAAATTATGTTTAGCTGAATACACTCCCACAGATATCAAGTGATGACAAATAAACTGTAGAAAGTAATGCATTTCCGACTTAATATATGGTGACAGATGCGAATTATTATTAGTGTTATTATTATTATATACAGTAAAGATAAAAAATACTACAATACTACCTGTATATATAAAGATACAACATAACCAAATAGAGCACAACAGTCCTCTACATTAAGGTCATTAAACATTAAGATACAGAGAGAGAGAGAGACTACAGTACAGTATCTAACATCTGTCACCATTTCATAGACTATCCTTGTAAAAAATCAAATATACTGTAATAGATTCAATAAGTTTTGTAAAATACTTCTGTATGGATACACACATGAATTGACATACTGAGAAGAAGAACTTGGAAGCCCGTGCTAGAATACTGTACTGTTGGATTTCAATGATATGGTGAAAATAAGAAAATATATTATAAACTCATTTTCCTTTCTGATCTTTGTACACTTTACAAAAAATATATCAATCTAAAGAGTACAATATGAACAGATAATTTAAAACACTACAGAAATGAAAAATCCATTAAAGAAAATCCATCTTACCTTGAGAGTTTATTTCTCCATTCTGTATACTGATGACCCAGTCTGTCTTGGTGAGGAGACTGACAGTGTTAGTGGCAAGCAACACTGTTCTGCCAGCCAAAAACCCATGAATACATTTTTTCATGATGTGCTGTGCCACTGGTCTGTCCACAGCCGACAACACGTCATCAAGGAGGTAGATGCTCTTGTTCTGATGAGGAACGAAATAAAAAGATTAAAAAATATAGATTACTATTTCTAGACATTTTTTTTATTTAACATATTAATTTATAGACAGTAAGAGAAGTAGTAATGTACGTAATAAAATATACAGAACACTCTACCTGATACACCGCGCGAGCCAGAGCAACACGAGCCTTCTGTCCACCACTTAATGAGGAGCCATTTTCTCCACACATTGTGTTATCCCTCAGAGGAAGCGCATGAAGATCCTCATCCAAGGCACAAACAGACAGTACTGACCTGGAAGATTTTCATTAATTTATTCACCTACTTGTTGACAATTACTGTACTGGTGTAGGAGTACTGGATGATAGCGACCAGCAACACCAAATGCTCGGATTATTTTTAAAAGCCTTCTAACTCTCAAAGTTGTTCCAAACATTAAACTACTGCATCCTATTTTGTGCTGAAAAATTATTAATCTCTTCAGTATAACTGGAGTACAATTCTTGAAAAGTTTTCAATTAAATAGATCAAGTTACATAATTACTTGTATCGGCTGATATCCAAGCTGCTACCAAAGAGAATATTGTCTTTGATTGATCCATTTTGTATCCAAGGAAGTTGTGTTGCAAGACCAAAACCTGAAAAATAAAGTTGTACACTACATAACTGTAACTGTACATTTTATACAGTCCATACAGTCACACAACTTAAAACTTTGATGACATATAATTTACCCAGGACATCCAAACTAATTTTCATAATCAATTACCCTGCAAGATGTTATTTATATTGTATATTTAAATCATCACCTTATGAAACATAAGATTCCACAGATTATTATCATGACGTACAGCAATAAAATCAATCACAAAAACAAATGTGAACTGAAATGAAATGAAACGTGGAATGTTCCTAAAAGTGAGAGTGAGAATTATGAAAAAGGAGCTAAGTACAGACCAATGTAATCTGGTGTACTATAATCTAATACAGTTACCAGGTATACATAAATTTATATATATATTATCATGAGGAAGACAAGACTAATGGTGAGATGGAAGGAGAAAGAAAGAGAGAAGTTGTTTGGGAAGGATATCCTGCTAGAAGAATCTGCAGAAAGGGGCAAAGTTTATAGCACTCTATCAGCTTCTGTTGAGCAAGAGGTTATAGCTACCAAAGGCCCGACATTATTCACCGTTCACACTGGGTATTCTTTCAATAATATTTACATTTCTGGCATCTGCTACAGGATTTTCAGTGTGTAGATAATACTGTACAGTGTATAGTTTCTACCTTACAATCAACTACAACACATCCATTTTATTTGGGACATAAATCATTCTTAATCACAGCACTGCTAAATATTTCAATGGAGGATCATCAAGTGCCAAGCAAAAATGAGAATACCCCCATCCACCCATCTAAAATAGGGGGCTTATCACTGCTCTTGAACCAAACAAATTCCTACCATTTTATACAAACTGACATAAGACATAAATATAGGTAAGCAGGTACATAAAGATAAATAAGTAGATGCAGAAAAGAGATATTAAGCCTTTATAATATAAATGGAGACGAAGTGTACTAAAAGTAACTCCCTGACACTTAGCCAAACACATACCATTATGAAGTGCAGCCACTGCCACAACCCCGTGAGTTTTGGTCATCTCGGCCAGTATTGCATTAAGGACTGATGTTTTTCCTGACCCAACACGACCCACAATAGCCACCACTTGACCCTGAATTATAAAGAAAAAACAAACTTAATTTCCTCTTTTTTTCTTACATTTTTTTTTGTATTTTCTTCAGTCTTTAAGGATCTTTACCACTATATTCCAAACTTATCAAAAACTAAGAGCAAAACACATATTATCTTTTGTATGTTGTCGTTCATTCACTCTTATTGCTGGAACATCCCACCCCCCAAAAAACACTCAACACCCTGTCCTCCGTAACACACCCAGTGCTTCCTGGATGGCTCAATCTCCCCTTAAGCTTCTTGAGTATCCTTCACCCCCTATTCTTCCATCTTCATATTGGTCTTCTTTTCCTCTCCCCCTCATCCTATTTACCTCACATATTAAATTCAAGGACATTATTTCTCCCATCAGTTCCACTTTGTCTCCTTTGGTGCCGTTCTCCCTCTCTCTCTGTCACTTTCTCTCTCTCTCTGTCACTTTCTCTCTCTCTCTCTGTCTCTCTCTCTCTCTTTCTCCATACACTTATCAATGAAATTCTGACTATCTTTCCCTCTGCTATCACTAATTCCTCCACTCACTTCCCTCCCTCCACTGTCTTCATACATTCAATTCTCCCTATCTCCCTTGGTCATTCATTCTCATCACTTTACCTTTGTTCACATATCGTATAAAACTTCTCATGATATCACTCTTCAAGTCATTCACCTCCAAACAGTCAGTCACTTTCAAAAATTAGAAAAAAATCATTGACATAAACAAAGCAATATTAGTCTATATCAAAAGAAAACAGTCACCAAGACACTTTAAAATCCCCATGTGTATGAGAATGAGAGAGTGAGTCTGCATTGCTTTTAGTTCTGACTCCACTATGTTACTGTGAGAAAAAGTGTACAAGAGTATTTAAAAAGGTTGGTTATGAGATAATTAACAAAAACAAACATTACTTGATAGAGTACGGTACGACTTAGCCCTGACGTTATCATATATAAGCAGATACGTCAACACCTCTTCTGACCTTGGAAAGTTGCAAGTTGACTCTCTTGAGTGTTGGAAGTATTCCCTCATCACCGCTGCTCCCGTTCAGAGAGTCGATCAGTGACATGTTAGAGCCTGTGGGTGAGCTCCTCGAGGGCCTGCTTGCCTCTTGATCTTGTTCAGCGACCACAAATGCACCATCCCAAGTGAAGGTTCCGTTGGTTATTAGGATTTGTAGTTCAGAGTCCTTGTGACCCATCTCTGGCACCACTGTGTAATAGTTTATCAAGTCCTGTTCTGGAAGCTGAAAATTTTAATAAGTTTACAACTCTGTTAAGGAAATAATGTCATAAAAAAAACAAAAATTTCATTTTGTAAATAAATATATATATTGATGTTATTTTGAATTGGCATTATGTATGTGTTATGCCTTGCTATGTGAGCACTACCTTCACAGTGTTCCTATACCTGACTCAGCTAATGATGGGGGCAGTCATGACACAAGAGTGATGTACTGTAATACAAAGTTTCATATACAGCTCACGAGACTACTGACTTGTACCACTAGTTCTATGTAAAACCTGATTATGTGAAAAAAAAGGCAACAACATAATAATAAAGCAGTATACCTATATGTACTATATAACCTTTACTATCCCTTTTAATAAAATAAACTCTGCCTTTATATTGTCTAGACCTAAGGAAGATGCTACAATTTTAGGAGTGTCTGCTCAACCCTTATTTACTAACCTCCATCAAACGCTCAACACGCTTAAGAGAGACCCATGCCTCCACAATCCCATTCAGTACCCAGGGAAATGCATTGAGAGGCATTATTAACATGTTGAAGAGTGCTACTGCTGTAAACACACGAGCTGGCTCCAATGGATTACCTGAAAACAAATTTGTCATTTTAAAATCAATTCTTTTCTGCATGACACATAAGGAAATGTAATGACACCTAAAATGGTCCCACACAGATTAATAGGCTGTAGTGAACTAGTTAGCCTTAATCATCCAAGGAGCATCACAGCCAAGGTTGCAGTACCTGTCTTCAAATGGTGTCTTTTTAGCAGCTTCACAGTGCAGGGTAAACCAAACTCTGGATCCTAATATCATAAATTTCACAAAATTCACCAAAGACGACAGCTAAACATTTCTCCGTCTATATTGTTTCCGGTGTTATTCCTCGTTTACTTACCACTGTCATCCTTGTGAAACATTTTAAGAGAGCGAGCAGTAATTACCAAGAGCAATGTACACGGTGAAGGTGATAATAGGTATGAGAACTGGCGTGGAAGCCCAGAAGTAAACACAGGCAGCATCCAAGTACTTGCGCCCAGCCAACGCCTTCACTTCACCATAACGCTCGTCTGGAAGAAAAACATACAACATATAATGGTCTATGTTAACCTGATTACAGTATACTGGTTCTATTGGTATCAGGTGAAATTGGCCACAATATCAATAAAAGTCAGAGGTCAACCTATAATAAAGTTAACATTTTTGAGAGGTTGAAATCCATGCCTATTTAGGGGAAAGACCAATGAACTTACCATACATTTAAACAAAAATTAAAACTGATCCAGGTAAGTTACACCCTGCTTTCATTAAAGTAACTTATGTAATGATTGGAGTTTAGGTTATTAGATTCGTGTGAGCAAATGACAAACAGTTCATACTAGGTAAAGTTTAATAGGTCAGTGTGCATTGCCCTTCTGTCATAAACTAGTAAAATCAAAGTGTCTGGGGAATATTGTCTAGCAGGTCAACTCATCTACAAGCTTAGAAATAAATGTTTAAACTTACCATTGACACGGTGCTTAAATGTTCCTTCCCAAGCATTCAATTTCACCATCCTGATCATGCTCAGGATCTCAGTCATAAGACCCACACGGCGGTCCTTGTACGACATCATCTCCACACTTAGACGACCTACAAAAACCACAAAAGAGGATATAATATTCTCTGATCCCTTCTGCTTGTAGGATAAGAACAAATCAAAGGATCAAGTAACAAATGAGCAATGAGCTGTTGAAACAATGGCTGTGGGAGATACTGTACACTCATGCAATATATAGGAGAGATAGCAAGGCATGTAATGCGTTAAAGAATTGGTTATACGCTGAGAAAAATAACACTGTACCAATAAAAAGATGAAATGGTTAAGCACAAAAACAATACAGGTGATGACTTGTTACATATATGAGATAAACTGTAGAATAAGTTACCAGTAGAGATCACAGAGAGAAACACAAGTAATGCAGATTCATAGAAAGACACAAATGTTCAGAGTAAAGAATTTGGATGCAACATCGCTACTCTAGAAACGGTATGACTGAATTAAAAGCTGTACTTGGAGTCAGGAATCATACAAAAGTAGAATATAATGTGACTTTATTACGAAACTGAAGTCAAAGCAAGAATCATTACATTATTGAGGCTATTTACATACAAACAATACGGTACCAGTAGTAAAACTGTTTTCAGCAACAGTGGAAGTAAACACACTAGACTGTAAGCTTTGAAGTGGATTAAAATTAACACAAAACTACATATTGACGATACAACTATTGCAGTACAACCATAAAATGTTACACAGATGCTGAAATCCCTCTAAAGACATTTCCCAGTAAATATTTTGAAGTGTCTTGGTACAACTGTGCTAATATGTGCTGGTTCAGTGACTCAGGTTTGAAGTTACCACACAGATGGACAACCTATGAATTATGTCCACTATCTTATTCCCAACACGGGACATTAAACTGAGTGCTAGTGAGTTAATCCTACCTAAAAGGGGAAAAAAAATAATAACAGGGATAAAAACTGTCTACCAATAGGGAAAACTATATACTAATAGGGAAAAAACTGTAGACAATTACAGAAAGCCTGTACAGTATACTATACCTATTTTTGTGGCCAGCCACTTGTTGACTGGAATCAAGATGATCGCCACACCAACACCTGCTAAGAAGGCGATTCCAATTTGTTGGTAGAGCAGGTAGAGTGTTATGCCAAGCTGTAAAATATATACCATTCATACAGATTACATATTACAGTACTGTATCTTCATATCTATAACAAAAATAACTTAGACCCTTTTCCTTACCTATACTACATACAGTTCTCAGTTTTTTCTCCATGTAAGTCATATTACTATTTCCTGCACTCGAAATACTACTGTAAGTATAGAATAGCAATAGTGACTATCTCAGCTCAGATCAATGTTCAACTTGTACTGTATGTTTTCTTATGGGGATAGTACCATGCTGGATGTGTATCCATTTTGCCTGACATAATTATCTTATTATCTGATAGAGGAATGCTGAGGCTATGGACTGACAGAAATGGGAAATTGAGCAATCATGTGATATGACCCTTGCTATTCTAAATGCTCATATGCTGTACAGTAAGTATTTATAAAATGCCTCCCATTTCCATTCTGTTTAGACTGCTAGAAAGTTTTATCAATATACAAAGATAGACAAGAGTGATATTCAAGTGAAGATGAAGATATCTAGGTTATGTTGAACCAATTCTCTTGCTAATCCATCATTAAACTACCTGGTAATCCTTTTAAGATTACTTAATCAAACCTGTAGTAGGCAATAGATATCTAAGAACTGACACAAGACACAAAAGCTTCCCTGCACTGAACAATAATATAACTGATGATGATGACGACTGTGACACCAGAATACTGCTATCACAACTCACCTGAAGAGGAAGACTCCACAAGGCATGAAATGACTGGCAGAAATTACCAATTCTGTCAGTGTCTGTACTCATTAAATTGACAACTTCACCCGTTGAAAATCTGCTCAGGTTGGCAGCACTGACCTGTATCAAATAAAGTTGTATAAATTCAGAGTCATTACTTACAATGTGCATTTGACACTGGACAAATTTTATTTCTCCAAAATGTAAGGTACCCAGGATTAAAACACAGAAGAATATAGGTACAGTAAAATAAAACTGGGAATGTAAATAAGAAAAACTGAAATTTGTCACACTACTGCAACTGTATGTTAAGAAAAACAAAACACAAACACACACAACCTGAGTCACTGATAACACAACTTTGATCTGATGCTGTGATCTTGACCACTGTGACAGAGATATTATTCTAGTATAATAAGCCATGAAACATATTGGGAAAACCAGGAACATCGCCAACCATAAAGATAAACTTGTGCTCACACTTACCTGGAGGACCTTTCTATAAACAGTAGATATTACAGCAGCACGGATACGAAGGTTCACCTTGGCCAATAAGTAATTGAAGTGAATACTGCAGAATATTGCTGGAATGTAAATTAATGTATTACATGTCATTTTAATTTTTTGGGTAGCAAGGATAGATATTATCAATAATTGCAGCAATATTATTTCATCATCATCATCATCATCATAATCATCAATGTTTATTGCCATTTTCCATACCTGTGTAAGTTAGCAACAATTACCTGATGGCAGCTCTCCATGCTGCGCAGTCTCTCCTCATGTTCTTAACTCTAATGTCATTTCTTACAACCTCTCCCCATATTATTCTTGGCCTACCCCTGGCTCTCTCACCTTCAAACTCATGCACCTCTTGACCCAAGTAGTTTCATCCATTCTCTCTACATTTCAAAACCATCTCAGCTTGCCTCTATGCAGAACTTTACCAATACTGTAATCACAATATCCAGCTGCCCTCTTAGCTCTGAACAGGACCCCGGATCTTTCAGTCTCACATTGAACATCCACCTCACCATTGCCATTTCAGCTCACTCAAGCCTACATGTCATCCTTTTTAACTGGCCATGATTCACTGTCACACAACATCACATTTCTCATGCCAGTCACATAAATTCTTCTTTCACTTGCAGGGAAAGTTTTCTTCCCATCAATAAAAGCAGCAGCTACTATCTGTTATTAGATGTTATCAACAGGTAGAGAAGCACAAACTTACCCACAAGAGCTGCTCCACACAGACCTCCTGCATATGTATATCCCTTCAAGTCATCCTCATCTTTTTTCTCAATAAAGATGACAAGCTCATGTAACAGAAGGGGTCCTGCAAATCCCAGAATATCACCAAAAAGCTTCAGCAGGCCAATACTGTAGAACTGGACCCCATAACATTTATGTATGGCTTTTAGGAAGGCATATTTTTGGCGACGAGGTCTCTCAGATTCATCACTGGGTAGAGGCTGGCTGATCATCATTGTTCTATGAACCTTAAAAAAAAATGTGATTTGTCAGTAAAGTAAATAGTATCAAGAAGAGTAAAGTACTTCAGCAGCTTTATAAGAAGGCCACACAAGTTAAATAAAGTTACTCATATTTGTCAGCAGCAGCAAGCAGCATCATAACAGGGTACTGCTGGGTTAAGGGAAGGGAGAGTAATGAATCCAATGAGAAAACTGTATGTAAATAATAATCTGCCTGGTGATGCATCAAGAAAAACATTATTGCTTCAATAAACTGTATACAATAAACCTGAATCTACATACTACAGCGCTAAATTGTTCACACAGGTATAAGGTGACTTTAGTGTGAACTACAGTGTGTTCAGTACCGAGTTCTCACATGAATAAAAGATAAAATGATGACGAACTGAAAACTAATTAGAAGACTTAACAACATTGTGAGTGTTAGAGAATACTGAAGTAAGTTAGTGAGAAAAGTAATCATATTATGGTAAAAGAAACTGTATTAGTTATCACATTCTCACTATTACAGTACAGAGATACTCTTCAGACGAAATAAAAGGAATATAAAGGTACCGTCTGAGCGATGACATCAGTTCGCATTTGTATAGGAAGGTCGTGCAGATCATCCTGAGTGCGTAAGTTACCAAGTGAACCTTTCTCCATGAGTGCGTTCACCCAGTAGAAGGTGAGGTACGATAACACGTTAATTCTCTCTTCTGCTATGCCCAGATGGTAGGGATCGGCTGCCTCGTGGAACCTGTAAGTAAATAAATAAATAAATATACACCTGCATTCAATATTACCCTGTACATCAGACGAGAAAAGTAATGCATAAAAAGGAACTATATTCACATTAACGACGAAATCAAACCTAATACACAGTAGATGTACACAATCAAGAAAGTATCTTTAGGGAGGTGCCCGATGAATTTCAAAATGAACACCGTGACTCCTGTTGTCTCGGCACGGTTGTCATAATCCTTCATGTCCCAAGTGGACCAAATACAAGAAATACAACCATTGCCCCCTGTATCATAACACAAGAATACAGTACTGACCCACTGTAATCATTATATGAGGTCTCCATGAGAGGGGTGGTCTCAGTGGCCTCCCTGTGCAGCTCATGGTACTGGGACACTCCTGCACTACCCTTTGGGAATAGTGTAAACAGATACACAGTCTGAAAAATATAATTAATACATATTAATAAAAAAGTAAGTAATTGTTTATGCAGTTTTGTATTTCCACAAAGTAAAACTCTTTCCCCAGTTTGGACATCCTACCTAGCTCATAAGGCAGTACAGTATATAGTTACAATATACAGTACTGTAAGTATGTACAACAGCACAACAATATTTACTTAGACCTCATTAAATCATATCAAATTATATTGAGATCTCTCTAATTTTCAGGGAAATAAACAGTATACAGTAGGTATCAGTTAGTTTTTCATAATGTAAATTGAGCAATAATTTATATACCAAACCATAATGTACCTCAAGTGAGAATAAGACAAGCAATATGTTAACACTTACTTGTAAACACATCTGAGTTAAAGCCATGAATCTCATTATTTTTTCAATCAATTTTGATATTCCATTTTCCTCATACCAAGTAGTTCTTGCCAGGTTGATAGTGCAGAGGAAGGTCAACAGCCAGGCGAGGATGATGGGGGTTGGGCCACGTGTCCCAACACTGAGCCGGGTCTTAAGAGAGGTTAAGTAACCCAGGTGCACCAGCCATGACAGTGACTGCAATACACACCAACACTGTATTATACGTAACTCTTTCAGCAGCAAACATTGACACAATCCTATAAACTAAATGGCTGGTTAACCTTTCATAATCTAAAATACCACTTCCAAAACTTAATAATCTTAGATTAATGTTATTGTATTCATAAGAGTTCTGGTGATGAAAAGATAAAATGAAAGAACCAATAAAACTGTAACAACACCTTGGCACTTTACCTGTACTCCAACAACAAGGCCATCAACCCAGTAGATTTTGCTGTGGCCAACGAAGAACAGAAGGATCGGCTCTATCACCACCAACACCAGGGAGAGCACAGTCAAGACAATCCTGGTGTAGATTATTGCCATCTGCTTCCGTCTACGCACCACCCACTCTGACTGCCTCCCTATGTAGTAAGCTGACACAATGGCCAAGAGAGCAAAAACTGGCACAGTAATCACAGCCTTTTGGAAACACAAGCCTAAATTGAGCTTTTGTGTATCCCAGGAAATAAAATCCATTGTGCCACAGAAGGCAGTTGTGTTGAAGAAGATTGGATCCATGGTGACTGGAGATGTTGTGACACTCACTAATTTATGTCAATAGGTAACCAGTTGTATAGGTGTGCTTCTGTTAGCACAGTTTGAGAGCCACAACCATTATCCAGTACTCATAAAGTGTTCTTACCAATATTCATCAATGTAGCATCTAATAAATCTAAGCAACAGTTTTTCTTTTGACATTTCATCACTTTCCTTCTTCATATTATTTTATATGATGATGACACAGCCTTTTCAATATTTGTCACAATTTTCTTCAAATGTCCTGTAAACAATTTTGTCTTGTCTTTGTTCCATCCACTCTTCAACCAACCAGGTACTGTTCTCAAGAATGCTCTCCCTCATGCTGCTCAAACTGTGCATTCTCCTGCAATACATAACAATGAGTAGACCATACATGTTAGTGCTCTATCTTATCTTATCTTATCATGAGACTGACTAGTAATTCATTCTCATTTTTTCAACAAATAAAACACCATTAAACTCTCATATACAGTACAGTATAATACTAAATAAAAAAAATATTCCATTGTACAGTAGACAAGCCATTTCTCCTGAAGACAATAACTCAAGAAGATGTTTGATGTTAAGGCAGTATGTAAAACAACCTATAGCTAAGGTAATCTAGCAATATACTGAAAAAGTATCACAGTGCCTAGTTAACCTGCATATTTTCCTGGGGAATAATTTTCACAAACTGTATAGAGTAATTTCTTAATATTACTAACTACAGCATATACTAGTACTATCTATCAATTTATATAAATATGCTGTACAACAACATATTACACACGTTAAGCCACGCAAAATATATTGTTTTGTAAAAAAAACATCACACAACCTGCCAACCTCACTGTGAGAAAACCTGGCCATGACTGAGCTAGAGCACAGACCTAAACAGGGAACTGTGTCACACTTCTTCAAATTCTATATACCTGTCTTTCCATCTCACTACAGTATATATACTCAACAACCCAAGAGAAACGACAGGTAGGCAAATAGAATGTTATTATTTTAATGCTTACAATTTCAGAGGGAATCATCACCCATCCTGTACTGTACTGTGTTAAGCCTCCACTCACGTGAGATGGAAGGTGACTCTCCCCCTGTAACATGATCCTTATCCACACAACCTTTAGAAAGTCCAGTGGGTTCTCCCAGACCAGTGGAAGTGGAGGATATCTTGTCAAATGTCTTAGTGATTTACATACACAAAATGTATAGCTTTTTATTTATATTTTATACTTACTAGTTATAAAAAAAACATTTTTACCAATGTATTACAGTGTACAGTACAGTACAGTACAGTATAGTAGAGTACAGTATTACTAATGTTTACTATAAGTACCATATATGGGGAAGTCTTTGCAATAAATGAAACATCTTTCATTGAACCATTAATGGCATTAAATAACTTTTGGCACATAAACATCACATATTGTACTAAACTGTACTTCTTATTCTATGGAATAAAACATCGTGTTCAGGGACAGGTCATCAGCTTATATCTTTAACCCGCTGTAATGTACTGTACTATGAAATATAAATGCCTTAATTTTCAATACAGGGGTCCCTGACTTACGAGCGTCCAACTTACGGACGCCCGCCAATATGAACGAGGTTAAACTTGAAATTGACAAAATTTTATATACCCGGTGACTTATTTTTTACTTAATTTACTGTATTTTGTCATTCTATTTCTTCTTTTCTCTTAAATTAAGTGATTTTAGATGTATATAAGGACTTAAGCTATGATATAGTGGGATTTTAAACATTGTTCTGTAAGTACGGTAAGCACATAACATGTGTTCCGACTTATGTACAAATCCAACTTAAGAACGTCCTCAGGAATGGAACCCTTTCGTGACCTGGGGAACGCCTGTACTAGATTCATCGTGATTAACAGTTAAAATAAAAGGCCGAGGTTAACTGTATCGACAAATACTATATCATCACAAGTCTCATGATGGCCAAAAATTAAATGATACCTGAGAAACCTAACCTAACCCCAAACAAGAGAAGACACAAAGATAGCAATTTCTTAGCCATCGCGAGAGAAGATACGAAGACATTTTTCCATACAATTAACCACAATACTGTATAATTAAATGAGTGAAACATTTTAGGATTATTAATTTTAGTATTTTCTAAATCAATTTTGTGGGAAATAATTGACATTAATGTATAATCACATTTAACACACATACAAATAATCTACTATAGTATGCAGTCTACCGGGATATTTACACGGTGGTGTTCATTAACCTAACCTAACCCAAATATCAAACTGTACCTCACAAATGCTGATGAGTAAGACTATAGTAAGCTGCTGATCAAAGATAACACGAATCAAACACACTTGGCTTAACTTAATTACACTACAACAATAACTTAACATTACTAGATTATATTACATTCAGGAGCAGCTCTAGTAAAGTAAGAAACAAGTCTTATTCTACCAAAAAAAAAAATTTCCCTAAGGGGGTTCTTTCAAGGAGTCTGAGGTCTAAATTATTATAGAATTTATCCAGCTGTGCCCCCAGGAGGTTTAAATACCCACTAACAGTTTACACCTCTACGGGTTATGACTGAAAATGTTGCACGAGACTTTTGATGAAGAGTCAACTACATATATATTTGAGGTTTTACGTTACATTTCCAGATAAGGCACATTAGTTGTAATCACACTGTAATCTACTACAGAAACAACATAAATATATTACCTTTAAAGTTCACATGAGCTTCATTTAAAGGAAAGAGTTAAATCAACACATAACAGAGGCCCGCACTGAGTGATCTGTCCTAGCCACATACTAGAGTACCATGAGGCTGCTAACGTTATCAACAATACCATTACTAATCAAACTAGACCAAATTTGAACAAATATATTTGACTGACCCTAACGTAATATGCTATAATTCTAACTAATTCAAATGGTCTTATCCAATTTTAAGTCAAAAGGTGTGAAAATAGGTGAACCTTCCCCCAGGAGACATTAGTGCTGACAATGTTGTTGTGGACAGCTGACCACAGGTGCCACAAGCCCTTTAAATTTATTCACTTGATCACAATCTCCAATCAAGGTCAGTTTGGTTTCCCATCAACATCATAGAATGAATATTGACTGATTTAACTTAATATTATGTAAAATACTCCCTTGTTTATCTTGTTCGCGTGTTTATTTACTGTTTTACATTTAAATATGGCGAATGAAGATGCTCGAGATCTTTAAAAGTCACGTGAAATTTGATTCATATACGTGTACTTAACGAACCATAATGGATGTGTACTAAAGACTGAGATGAAGAGTAAGAAAGAATACTCAAGAACCAAGGAGAGAGTACAATATAGGGTGGTACAGCTGTAACATGCTTGTTCTCAACATTGTAATACCTGGGTTTAATTCCCGATTCCCGACAGTCACACGTGACATAGCTTAAGATAGGTATTCCTGAAACAGTGGCCCTGAAAATGGTGTTAACCAGTGTGACCTCACCTAACACCGTAGGTTATCTCTGGATGTTTCGGTGTCCTCGTGTGCTAACGCTGAACTAATCTGACTGACTAGGAAGCTGGTAAGTAAAGTGAATGAATTAAAGGAGAAGGGAAATACCTGGGCGTGGTGGATGACAGTCAATTGTCGTTTGACGGTCATATCAACAAAGAAGTCAACAGGGAGAGCCAGATCCAGAGACCGTTAACATATATGAGGGGAAATTCTTGGTGGTGTACAAGGAAGCCTTGGCAACCAACGCAATCAAACGTGTTCAGGGAAGGGCAATGAAGCTGGTACCCGGGGCGTTATAAAAACCGCTAAATAAAGCACAGTAACGTGAGATATGATCGAGACGTTCATGATTGTTCAAGAAATACACCACGAGGAAGTGTGCCTGGGGTTCATTCTTAACATGAAAGCAAGACACCTATCGTCACATTGATCACGGGGTCTACCATAATACTTCTGATTTGTAAACAAAATCTAAGCAAAGGACTGGTGGGAATAAGCTCTGATGCCTTTGTCGGTTATCCTCGGTCAAATTGTCTTGTTTTTTCCTATTGTATACCTGCACTGTCTAGGTGTGTTTACATTACCTTGAAAACTGTATACATCGACTCTGGTCTATGTACTTTAAATCATACACATGCTGAACTGTCCGCCTGCATAATCAATATACATTAATGTCAAACCAATTGTGAACGATGATTTAACTTAATAATAATAATAATAATAATACACGTGCACAAAAATGAAGCATAATGACGTCTCACTGTACAGTATATTATGGAAGCATGGAAGCACTCGTGTTGACGTAGAGACGACTGGACACACACAGGGCAGATCACGATATCATAATACTGTACAACACAGATCTTGAAATGCATATACGTAGTAATTTCTTAACAATCTTTTCATAATTATTACCCCTTTTACTGCAAGGACTGAAATGAGATTAAATCAGAGTATACAGCATGTGTATTATTGTTAGTTAACTGAAACCAAGCTGGTCTGAGCCTACCAGCGCCTGGATTCTCTTAAATTCAGTGCAGTATTGATTTTGTCCCGTAACTGCTGATAAGGGGATGCATCCAGTAAGACACTTCAGTTTATTCCACCTGTATATTAGGTACCCCAGCTTATTTTACCTGAATATTGACACCACAGCTTATTTTACCTGGAGATTAGACGCTCCAGCTTAGTTTACCTGGAGATTAAACCCCCAGTTCAGTTTACCCCCATAAAGCTACCTGGGGGCTTAGGTCAGGTTAGGTTAGTTCTAGGGTGGTTAATCTTCACGTGATCCCATTTTTTCTAAGATTTCGACAATGACTGAAAGGATCATTATAAAGGACTAGATTCTTAACACCTTGAGTATGATGACTTAGTCATTGAGTACAGTGATATTACCCTAGAGTACGTTAACTTAAAACCCCTTGAGTACGTTAACTAAAAAAAAAACCTTCAGTAAGATGACCTAACCCCTAGAGTACGATGAATTAACCCTTTCAGAACGATGACTTAACCCTTTCAGTACGATGACTTAACCCCTAGAGTACGATGACTTAACCCCTTCAGAATGATGACTTAACCCCTAGAGTACGATGACTTAACCCTTTAAGGACGATGACTTAACCCCTTGAGTACGTTGACTTAACCCTTTAAGGACGTTGACATAACCCCTTGAGTACGTTGACATAACCCCTTGAGTACGAAGACTTAACCCTTTAAGGACGTTGACATAACCCCTTGAGTACGTTGACATAACCCCTTGAGTACGCTGACTTAACCATTGAGTAGTTAACGACTTCCTTGCCATCGAGCGGCTGGTCTGTTCTTTTGTTAATTTGGCTACGACACCTAATTTACCCATAATATCCATCCCTACACACCATCCAGCTGACCTTGGGTTAAGAGGTAGACGGGGGAGGGGGGAATTGCTATCCATTGTGAGTTTGTGATACTGGTTTCCTCTGATGCTAACACTGGATAATAAAGATCACACGTTTATAACAAAGTAACAATGGACAGACTAAACCGTCCCCGAACGACAAGTAAGCTAAGTAGAGAAAAGAAATTTGATAGTTATTGCAGTGGTGGGAAAGAAAAAACGCTGACTAAGAAATTATCGCGTGAGGTTTTCATCACTCTCTTGCTGGGACTGCATTGTGACGCCTCATACGCTTAGGCTAATTAAGACTCTGTTACGGTACACTTTTGTTTTATTTTTATCCTCTTCGCCACTGATCGGCTCGTTAGCAGCTTGGACGTTCGGTCACTTCTATGTATGTATGTGTGTGTATGTATGTGTGTATATATATATATATATATATATATATATATATATATATATATATATATATGTGTGTGTGTGTGTGTGTGTGTGTGTGTGTGTGTATATGTATATGTACTGTCAATGAATATGATGCATCTCTTTGTGTACGAACCTCTGTCCTGCATGGCAGTGAACAGATTTTTTTACAGATTCCCCACGAGGGGGCTAGTTTATTGGGCACCCCCTTACATCCTGTGCAAGGTGAAGCGCAGAAGCGTTTACAGTGCCCAACTGGGAACCATGCGGAGTTCATGCTTGCCTTTATGACTCCTGCATTAAGGGCGTAAAAGGCCTGAAGGATCATGGGTTTTGTCAGCAAGTTACATAAAGTGACAAAATGATGAGTGTGTGGGGGGAAAATTCCCGGTGCAATTTATCTGTTTATGGCAAAGTGTGGCAGGTCCCTAATAATGTCAAGTGCCAGGCCTGTCACTAGGAGGAGGGATATCTGGTCAGGGAGGGAAGAGGTGCCACCCCTGTAGGGGGAGGTCATAGGGCAAATGAGGATGTGGTGAAAGAGGGTGTGAGAGTCTGTTGACCACAAAGTTTACAAACAGTGCGGCCAGGCTCAGGGTTGCCAATGTACTAGGCGTGGCGAAGTACAGTGGGGGTGGAGGTGATATGGTGTGGTGGGGCAGGTACAGTAGGGGTGGAGGGAGGCACATAGGCATTGACAACATTGAGGGACACACCTTTTAGTGTATTGTGATGGTGTGTTCGTCGACATGTCGGTGGGGTACAGGTAGCCGGGGGTGGTGTCCTCAGGTCCAGGTAGCCCTGGTGGAGACAGCTCAGACACAGGAGCGGGCGCGGCTTGCGGTGGGTGGAGGACAGGTTGAGGCACCAAGTGTTGTGAGGATGGGGCAGGACTTCGCTCGGGGGCAGCAGGACACACCAGGGCAGGCCCGGTAGGCACTACACCAGTAGTGAAGGCCGCCGGCGGTGGAGTAGGCCGTGAGCAGGGGGGGCTCACAGGGGGACCAACAGCTTGTGTCAAACCAGAAGAGAGGAGTGACTGGGTGGCAACAGAGGGCAGGAGTAGGTGGGAGATGGTGGTACAGAGTGTAGCGAAGAGTTGTTCAATACGGTTGGTAAATTCTTGGAAGAGGGATATGATCTGTGTCATGTCACTGGCGGGGGGTTGTGGGGGGGCACCGGTGGGAGCACAAGGCCTGACAGCCTCAGAGTAGAGACGGGGAGGAGGCCCAGTAGTAGTTGAGTTAGGAGACGGCCGGGACTGCTGTGTTGTAGCCAGATGAGGCCAGGCAGAGGCAGGTGTTGTTGAAGAAGGCGTTGCTGGAGACACAGGGTACACAGGGGGGTGTGGCCCGGAAGACTGGGGGGGGCGTGTGGTAGACTTGGCCTTTGGGGGCGATTGGGGCATTGCCTGAGTCAGCATTGTGCAGGCCGCCACAGTTACAACATCTGGGATTTAGCCCACCCCACCACTATTAAGGTGGTCTTTAATTTTCTGGGCACAGGCCGCGGAGTTGTGGTTACGTGAACAGAAGCGACATCTCGGTCGATCTATACATATATAGCTGTTAATGAATATGATGTATTTCTTTGTGTATGAACCTCTGTCCTGCGTGGCAGTGAGAAGTGATACCACCCTCAGTGTCAAGACCTGACTGAATTACTCAGAATAGGCAAACTGTACTACAAGCTTTGCCAATAAATTTGTTAAACTAAAAACATATCTGTTACGCACTGTTGGCAAGCTCAGAGGTCATAACCCTTCATTATGTTTCTAAGTAATGTGGATGCAACATTAAGTGGAAATTGTGTTGTACGATTTTATATATTTATTTTTTCCCCACTAATCATCTTCTATAATTGCATTGTGCATTATTGTTAAATAAGAATTTATAACGTAAACCAATTTTTTCCTATAAACGAAAGTCGCGAAGTAGGAGAGAGCAGAGATCGGTGGCAGTACGGTACGACATCTACCGAAGGAATATGAAAAATTCGAAGTTATATTCGTGATATCTTCGGGTGAGATGATACGGCGTATAGAGCTACCGTGGTAAGGAATTGCAACATTTATATTATCTTTAAGAGCAACTATTCGTTATCCGTTTATCGCATCTTTTCAAGCGAATAGCCAATGCATCTCACGTCATCAGGGTTCATTAGCCAGATGCCGCCTTGGTCTTTACTGTATTTTATTTTATTTTATTAGATTAAATACATTAATGGCTTTTATTCAACTAAAATGAAAAATATGCCATTTTAAATTCCTATTTATTTTTATTTAAAGGTGCCTTATCTTGTGACAAGTAGCTTAATAACCTTGGCATCATTACACGCGTTTTTTATCGTACACAGGCAGTAGCGTAGAGGAGTTCCTAGCTGTCCTCAGGTTCCTCACTTAAAAGACTTGCTTTGTGTTGCTGAACCTGCGGAGGTTCGTCGAGTGCTGAGGAACATTCTCATAACTAGAGGTAGGAATGTTAATTTGTTCATCTGAAAAGAAACTTAACAGTCACACGAATAAACCAGAAGACAATACACTGTACTGTTCACTATTCTTAGCTATCGGCCTACTACGCGATAAGGCTGGAACGGGGTGATAATATTGACAATATTTACCTAGATTTTGCCAAGGCTTTCGACAGAGTACCCCATGAAAGGCTGAAAATGAAACTGGAAGGGTACGGAATTCGGGGAAATATCCTAGCGTGGATAGAAGACTTTCTACATGAACGCAAGCAGTGTGTGGTGATTAATGGCACGAAATCGTCATCCGTACCTGTCACAAGTGGGGTACCACAGGGAAGTGTATTGGGCCCGCTGTTGTTTGTTTGTTTCATAAATGACATGCCTGACGTTGTACACTCCTCCATACAAATGTTTGCCGATGACGCTAAGTTATTTCGGGAAATTAAGAACCAAGCGGACTGTGAAGAACTTCAGAAGGACCTCTGTGGGCTTCAGGAATGGTCGAAGGAATGGCTGCTGAGATTCAATGTCACGAAGTGTAAGAGGATGCACCTGGGGCGTACCAACGGTAAGGAGGCGTATCATATGTCCCAACGGGATGAAGAAACTGCACTAATTGAGACTATGTGAGAAGGACCTAGGTGTGTATGTTGACAATGAGCTGAAGTTCTCGAGCCATTACGAGAAGAAGGTAAATCAGGCAAATAAATTATTGGGTCTTATAAGAAGGTCGTTCAGATATCTAGACGGTCCGTCCCTCGTAACGATCTTCAGGAGTGAAGTGCTTCCCCATCTGGAGTACTGTCACCCCATCTGGTCCCCGAGATATGCTTGGGACTGTCAGTTGGTTGAAAATGTTCAAAGGAGGGCCACCAGACTGGTGCCTGCACTTCGGCACCTCAGCTACCCTGAGAGATTGTAGCGCCTGAACTTGCCTAGCTTATACTACAGACGGGCAAGGGGGGACCTAGTTGAGGTGTATAAGCATTTTAGAGGGCACTACTCAGTTGAGTGTCCTAACTTGTAGCTGGCGGACGCTCGCCCCACAAGGGGTCACAGCTCAAGATTGAAGAAGCCGCAAGTCCAGAAAACTGTGAGGGCAAACTTTTTCGGAGTGAGGGTTGTAAACTCTTGGAACAATCTACCAGAGAGTGTTGTGACGGCACCGAGTGTGAGCTCTTTCAAGACAAGACTTGACCAACACTGGAGCGGGTTCAGGTACATTTAGGAGCCGGTGCATGCCCAGTATTTGCCAACAGTACGTGACAGAGACGTGACCGATCGCCCAAGCGGCTAACAAGCCGATCAGTGGCGAAGAGGATAAAAGTAAAAAAAGTAAAAAGTTGCCAGGCCTAAAGATACCTGACTGTTAACAAATTGAGCTGTAGAACATTGGTCGTCATCAGGGTGGTCCTTTACCCTCAAAATTAAACCATTTACAACAAATCAACTAACAATGTATCAATCGTACGTATAGTTTGAGGAAGTTTAGCTAATAACTGATAAATAAGTTTAACTTAACTTAGGAAGGAGAATTCTGTGGAAAACATAAATTATTAAGTTTAAAGTGAACATAAAAAGGGTGAAAGAATGACTGAAATTTTTAGCCAAGAATAAAGTAATATAAAATAAGTTGACAACGAACATTTATTCTTTTTATTTTGCATTGAAGAATATAAAAATCTATTGAGGGTTATGTGACAATTAAATCGAAATAAAAAATGTAAAATAACCTAAAATTCGCGAACGAGATCAAAATAACACTACCGGAATATACTGAAAACTTTTTTATCTTTTGACAGAAAAGTGTAATTCATCAACAACACATCAAGACGACCTCACACACCAGCGACCACAACGCCATGACGGATACGTCAGGAACTATAAACAGAGGGAATGTTGAGGATGCTCATACCACCGCTCGGGGCGCTGGCGGCGATGAAAACAAGGAGTCTGAAGAATCCTGGGAACTCCGCCCGCCAGATGGAGGATGGGGGTGGATGGTAGTACTAGGATGCTTCTTAATAACCGTAAGTAACTTGTTATTCATGTATTGATTTGCTGTTGATAATTCCTACTTATCAAATGTGATGGTTGGTTCGGTATGCTTGTCTGTTAGCATTGGCGACATTTTGTCAACACATCGTTTTATAAAATTTTGAAATTTCTACAGCCTTATCGCGTAGTAGGCCTATAGCTAAGAGTAGTGAACAGTACAGTGTATTGTCTTCTGGTTTATTCGTCTGACTGTTAAGTTTCTTTTCAGATGAACATATTAACACAAACCACATTAAATGAAACGCAAATATGTACAGACAAATTCATTTATACGTTCGCACGAGTTTGATTTGTGGAGGGGTGTGGCGGCAGGGGCATTCAACATTGCTAAAAGGACATTGTTCAGTTCCTATAGTTATGATAGTTTTAACATTCATGATTCTCTGTAATAATTTTATTTTTAATTAACACCGTGGAGGCTCTGGCAAGTGCCCAGTTTACCTTGCCTTTAATTCGGCTCTTACCTGCTGCCAACCAATGTCACAAAGTTATCTACTGTGTGTCTAAAACTACACAAATGTTTAGTGGTATCAAGTCCACAAGTAGACCAACTTTCCCTTTACACAAATATACCCTCCCCCTCCTCCTCTTCTCCCGTCCTTCCCAGCTGTTACATCCATTTCAGATAATATTCAGAAAGGGCTTTATCAACTTCCTACAGAACGCCATATCAATACATTACTGTCTTCCATAATGGTCTACTGTCGATAGTGAACCAATGGAATGACATTAACTATTGACCAATGACAGTGTGAAGCGTTTGTTGATTGACCTCGACCCACGATCTGTACAGCCAGGCTCAGGTTAGGTACTGTATCTCCCGTGACCAGACGCTATATTCTCAGAGTCGTATTATAAACATTTCATTCTCAGTCAGGGATAAATACCACCATTACATTTTACGGGGACAGGAGTTTTATTGTTAAGTTTGACGTCATTTCGGTCGCCATCTTAGGTTGAAGTAGTTAGATAGATAGTGAGTATTGAGGTGTGTGGCGTGTGTGTGTGTGTGGTGTGTGTGTGTGTGTGTGGCGTGTGTGTGTGTGTGGCGTGTGTGTGTGTGTGGCGTGTGTGTGTCGGGTATAAAAGGACGGCGTCACTTATCACGATATTATTATCTCACTATTCTTGCTCAGTGTTCACCCCATACTTTTATTCCGCGGCTCTTTGTCAACACATGGCTGACTCGTGTCGACACCAACGCATAATACAACAAAATGTGTAGTTGAAATAGTCTGGGAAAATGCTTACCCTTTGTAATTATTGCTCATATAAACACTGAGTGAGGCACAACCAAAGTTCTCTCACCGAAGGAAAAAATAAAAGATGGTTGTTGGTGTTATAATGTAGTAATACGCTTCAACAACTAAAGTCTTTAACCCCTTCACTGCAGGGACGCCAGTTTTAATATTTTAGTTAAAGGCAGACGAGTTTATTAAGTACGGTCACTTTATAAAGGATCGATATGAAATCCTTTTACTGTACTGGGAACACTCTCACGGTCTCACCTGAAGCTCATCCATCAAATTCCAGTCATTGTTGTGATGGAGTAATATTATTATCAGACTACCTCGTGTACATATTTGACCGTTACCAGCCAATAACCTCACTCAGTCTTCCTCTAGCTTACACATCCTGATTTTTTTTTCATTACCTACCTCAGTCATGTCCCCCATGAGTGCCTTCGACCAGGTGAAATAGTACAATATCTTCACACATGTTCGTCCAAGTGTCTCGGCCTGCTCCTATGAGGATCTAACCCCGGCCGCTTAGAACAACTAGCATCCAGAGCGAAACAAGACTTATTTTTTCTATTAACAAGTTTTCCTATGTGATATCGCAAGACTGGGTTGTTATGAAATCGCAAATGTGTTGTTTGAAAATGTTCTCATGTCCTGGGTGACGCCCGTAACAGTGGTATTCCTCCTCCACCCAGGTACTGATCCCCATGTTAGCGCCCTGTTTTGGGATCTTGTTCGCGGGGCTGTTGGGGCAGACAGGGACGTCGTCAACAGAGGTGGCGTGGATCTTCAACACCTTCATGCTGGTGTGGAAGTTGATGGTGCTGGTGGTAGGCCCCATGGGTGAAGAGGTGGGTATCAGGAAGGTGGCCTTCACGGGGACACTTCTGGCTGCCGTCGCCGTTATGCTGTGTTCATTAGCCAATTCCACCGTCTCTCTCTTTTTCCTGTTCTCCATCGCTGGAGGTGAGTCCAAATTTATCCGCCTCTCTCTGTATGTACTGTTTGTACCTCCATCTTTTACTTCTGCGCCTGTGTGTCAGTCCATATCTCCCGTGCGTCAGCCTCCTCATGTGAATCACCACCACCATCACCATGCCTTAAAATGTACTTACTATTTAACTAGATATATTCATTTAACAACTGTAAGGAGATAAGATTAAATTTGAGAATATTTTTCGAAGGCTTGGTATAATAGACTAATGTGATGTTTGTGGTGCAGGTATAGGCGGCGGGCTGAGTGTGGGCGCCTGCTTCCCGACCTTGGCCAAGTATTTCGATCGTCATCGAGGCCTGGCCAACGCCTTCCTCATGGCCGGCATCAGCGCGGGACAGTTCATCAACGCCCCTCTAATTCGCTACCTACAAGACGAGTATACATACAAGGGCGCCTCGCTCATAGTGGGCGCCATTATTCTGCACGCCTGTTTGGGGGCCGCCCTCATGCAGCCAGTGGAATGGCACATGAAGAGGGTTCGCTGTACGGTGCCACCTGAAGGAGCTCACCCACTCCTATCACAGCCATCATCCAGCCGAGGGGAGGGTGTAGGTGAGCAGGACTCTGGTGTATCACTAGACAGTAATCAAGAGAATGCTGTGTCTGTGGACGCCGCGACTCCAAGACGGCCTTCGGATGTCCACTTAATAAACAACTCCCACCCGTCTCTCCCGTCTTGCAAACACTCCACCCTCACCCTCGCCTCCATGGACTCGGAGAACCTTGCTGCCATCACCTCCACCGATGAATGTATCCAAGAAGACGAGGAAGCCGAGAAAGACTGCTGTGTGCGTGCCGTGTGGAGTTTGGTGGTGCGCGTAGTGACCAACAGTTTGTGTGACTTGAAAATCTTAAGGTCGCCTCGTGCACTCATCATAGCTCTCATAGGTGCTCTCACCCTCAACAGTCACTTCAACATCATTATGCTGGTGCCCTTCGCTATGAAGGCAGCAGGTCACTCCTTGTCAGCGGCCGCCTGGTGTGTGTCTGTGTCCGCCGTCACCAACACCATCAGCCGCATCTTGGTGTCCACGCTCTCCGACTACTCCTGGTTCAGTATCAAATATTTCTACATGAGCGGCATCTTTGTCCTCTTTTCCGCTACAATAGGTTAGTAATGTTCTCACACACGATAATAAACACTACTTTGTTTATAACCCACATTATGACCAGGACTTAGACCCTTTTTGTTTTTCTCCCTGACACACTCACTATGGTCTTTGTTCCTTACAGTATGGAGTTTGATACTAAAGGGGGAGCTAGTATGGTTAGTGGTGACGATGGGGGTGTGGGGGATCGGCGTGGGGATAATCATGGGTCTACACAACATAGCCATGGTGGAGTACTTGGGTTTGGACAACTTGAGGGCCATGTTCGGCACAAACAGCGCCATGGTCGGCATCGGCTTCATCATCATCGGACCTTTAGCTGGTAAGACTTAACTTAAACATCTTGTTTATTATCGTCAATCTTCGACTAGTTATGTCTAATTAGATCTTCCATTGTAATTAAACGACTGACGTAATCTGAAGGTTCATAACAGTACCAGAAAGTATAAGTATATGAACACATAACAACATACGTGTCTTGGCTGGTGGTGGTGTACTTACAGGTGTGATACGGGACGTGAGTAAAAGCTACGCCATCAGTTTGTGGTTCCTTGCAGCCATCATATTCATCACCTTCCTGCTGTGGGTCGCTATGCCTGCTGCCGTTGCCTATGACAGGAGGAGAGAAGCAGAGTTACAGAGCGACAAGGAGCTACAGCCGGCATTATCTGGGTAAACAATACTCCTAACGTCATCCACAAAATCAAAAAACAATTGAATCTCGCATTTTGTAGATCTTGTTCTGTTACAGTAGGCTGAGAGACTGGAGTAAAAGGGAAAATATGAATAGGCCTATGGAAGAAATATGTAAGAAAAAAATACTAACATGCAAAGATTCATTTTAAGTTATAATAATTCAAAATGTAATTCATGTGATTTTATCAAAACAAGAATTCTAATTACAGTTTCATCTTGAATATTATAATACATGTATCATAAAATTGGTTACTTAATTCTACACTTGGTATAAATACGGGTCTGCACTCGATATCTGGGAACGAAGATATGAATAGACTTTCGGAGGTTCATGTGTACTGTACTTACCCACTGAACTACTACTGGCATCGTGTTATTAGTACATTTATTTACCCTCATATAGCTTAAGGCAACGATGATCACCAACATATCCTGATAATGCTTTTAACAGCCCAAACCTATAGCTATTATTGTTATTCATTACAACAGTTACTAAAACACCACAAGTGTAGCTGTTTTTACTAGCTCTATAGTACCATGCTCCCTCTAGTGTAGCTACTGTACCACCATAGGTAGTAAATGATACCTGTACTGCAAGATTATAAGTATACTGTATAAGATATCCAGTTTATCAATTCAGGTGATATCTCTTGGGTAATAACAGCTATCAAGTATATAGGTGTGGTAGAGGTTCTATTGATATATAAAAAGATACAAGTGCTTTTAGCTGTGTTAGTTGTGTACGTGGTTGTAACACAATCACTGTCATGAAGATCAATAATTCCTGGTGTTACCCTACCAATGTGTGTTGTGACGCCGCCCTTACTGTACTGCTTACATCTGTTACAGCGTATGAAACCAAAGAATAATGTAACGTAGAAATGATTAGCGTACTTGGGTGTACTGAATCCATATCATGAAGCAATAAAGTAAACCCGCGTATATTGTGGGCAAACATCCTTGATATAAAGTATTTAATATGTGTATAAAAAGTATTATATTTGGTTTACTGTATTAAATTTTCTACGCCCAGATTAACTAATAAAGATTATGTCGTATTGCTGTATTATAATCCATGGTTTTTTTCGGGGGGCGGGGGTTGTTTTTCACCTGACAAATAAATAATAAAATATATTACTTACATACTGTATAGGAGGTATGTAGCCACTGCTCACTGCTCTAATACATTATTTGTATTTTTCTTCTATCTTGACCTCCAGCATCTTTAGAAATAAAAAATCTGAGATCAGAAATACCGTATACAACTACAGAGCCTTCAATATACAGTATGTTTACCTGTGGCGTCACTAGCTCTCCTGATTCAGTACTGGAGATACAAACTAGACGCCTTCATCCAATATTCAAATTTGTAACATCAGGGACGAATCCAGGAATATATCAAGGGGGTCCAAGACGTCGTGGGGGGCAAGGAGGGCGCAGTAAGCCCATCTGTCTGGGGTCCCCCCCCCCCTGTGATTTTTTTTTAAGCTGACCAATATCATGTGCATTTTGAAGCCATTAGCACTTGGTATTAGGAGATATTCTGAGACTATACAAAAACGCCTGAGTACAATACTGCATTAAAGAAGTGTATAGGAATTTTCTGATGAAAAGGAGGGTTCCGGACCCCCAGGACCCCTCCTAGATCTGCCCCTGAACATCAATATGCAGGAAGAGCAAGGTATGATAATTTATATGAGCCAAAAGAAAACGGCGGCGTGTTGTGTTGGTTTCTGCTGCACATATGAGTTCCTGTTGGAGTGTATCACCCAGCTGCCGCTTTTGACGAAAATTTTGGCGTTCCCTTTAATTGTGCGCTCTCAGTCCAGACAACATAAAGAGAAATATCGTGATTTACGTCAACGGAAACACCCTGACATCTTACCTGTTTTGTCTAGACGAAACCAGTGATATTATTTAACACGATTTTATAGCAGGGAAAGATTTCAACATAATGGCATTCATAAAATTAAACTTTGCAATCTTACTTTAACAATACAAATACGATGCAAATTATATTGTGAATATTGATTGTAAAGCTCTCAAAACTCCCCCAACGTTTCACAAAGTTACACTTACACAAGAAGTGTGTGAATACGTGAGACACCAACAGCGCCCCATAATGCCTGTGCGCTGTAACCCTCCCGTGTAGTACTGAGGCGCCTTTTACGCTAGCATGCCGTACTCTCATCTGCCAATATTTACTCTGGTATCTACGTGTCCTATATCACATGTCCAAACTCGTCTTTAAGCTGATTATATGGACATGTGGGTTCTCATGAAGATCAGGAACCATATTTTTTCACTTCATATGAGGAGACACTTTAACGTTAAATGGGAGGAGGTAAGTTATAGATGGAATTAGGTTAGGTTAGTGTAGGTTTGTCACCGTCACTGTCAACGTCACTGTCACCGTTTCTGTCACCGTCAGTCACCGTCACACTCATCTACACTGTCACCGTCTCTGTCCCCGTCTGTCTTCCTTTCCAGGCTAATCCGCCCTCGCCGTCTTTTTTTCTTTCTAAAAACAGTTAATAAATAAAAAATATATATAAACACTTAAAAATAAATATCCAGGTACAGTATCGGTGGAAGAGTACTCCACGATATATGGTTCAGCAGGAGATGTTGAGTGGACGATGGGGAGTAATTCACACAGTATCACATCTTGTCCAGTTGAATCACTATTGACCGCGAGCTTTAGTCTTAATGTTTAAACTTAACAGCTGTAAACCTTCGATAATTATAGTGTAAGGTGATAAACAGCTGCAGGCGACCATTAGCTGAAGAATTGAATGTGATCAACAGATAAATATGATAACTAATTTTTTACAAAGATTTACTGATCATTTTTCATATTGGTAAGAAACTGTTGAAAGACTTTGGGAATTTTATGTTTTAGACCGTAAAAATCTGTATCCGGGACTATTCTATATATATTTTGTATCACCTATATATACAAAGTAACAATAATACCGAGCTGCATTGCCAGTGAGCGATATCTGGCAACCAATCAGAGTGCAGGAGTATTGTTGAAGTACATTTTGATTGACTAAGCACAAAGTTATGAGAGATAGCAGGGCAGAGGCTACAAATACGCTGTGGCTGTGCGTTAAGTCTTTAGTCGTCAGTGCACCTCAAGTAAGGAAGGTAAGTTGCTGTTGCACAAGGTAATCCATATACAGTATGAACCATTAAAACTCTAACTATATTCAATCTTATCTTTTAATTACAGCAGGTTAAGCAACATCACGAGAAAAGCAAAATATATAAATACCTGTATGCTTCAAGTACGTATAAAGAATGTGAAGTTTTTAATACTGTATCCCCTATGGTTCCACTCACTCAAATATATCTAAAGGGAAACCTAGCTATTATTATTTACGTGAGGTGTTTCCCCGTCTGGAGTACTGTCACCCCGCCTGGTCCCCGAGATATACTGGACTGACAGCTGATTGAAAATGTCCAAAGGAGGACCACCAGACTGGTGCCCGCACTACGGCACCTCGGCTACCCTGAGAGATTAGAGTGCCTGAAATTGCCTAGCTTATACTACAGATGGACAAGGGGAGATCTAATTGAGGCGCATAAACATTTCAGAGGGCACTACTCAGTCGAGTGCCCTTACCTGAAGCTGGCGGACGCTCGCCCCACAAGGGGTCACAGCTCAAGGTAGAAGAAGCCACACGTCCAGAAAACTGTGAGGGGTAACTTTTACGGAGAGTATTGTGACGGCACCGAGTGTGAGCTGTTTCAAGACCAGACTTGACCAACACTGGAGCAGGTTCAGACGCAGTCAGGAGCCGGTGCATGCTCAGTACTTGCCAACAGTGTGTAACGGAGATGTGACCGACCGCCCAAGAGGCTAACAGACCGATCAGTGGCGAAGAGGATAAAAGTAAGTAAAAGTTAAAGTATTAAGTGATGTGTGTGGGTGTGTGTGTGTGTGTGTGTGTGTACTGTTAGTATGTGAAACGTATTTGACATTTGTACGACACTGGGCTGAAGCAAAAACAGACCCATTACTCTCAATCTTCATTAAACGATAATCATGTCGGTAATTGTGTGATAATTCACTTTCATAAACACGATAATTGCCCTTGTTAATGTGAGGTAGTAGATGACTAGTCCCTGATAAACAATACACTTTATTATACAGCTGTACACCACTGGAGCCCTTCACTGCACCACAGTACATCTGCACGGTACATGGGATACACAGTGCCTGGAGTGATAGTTGTTTAGAATAATTCAAGTCCAGGAATGAACAGGAATATTTACTAATCACTTTTTATATAATAATTGATGCAACTGCCAACTGCAGGCAAGTACAACATAATAATTCTTGGTCGTAAGTATAAATGAACTCTTCTGAAGACTGACGCAGCGATTTTATCTGATTGAATTCCCATGTGGAAGAACTAATGATTTCACGTACCCAAAACTGTCTTTGGTGTAATAACTACCGTGATTTGCCCTAACCCTTAAGGGAGACACGAAACAACACCAGATTATCATAAGAATAATAATTTCTGAGATTTAAGAATAACAAAAGTAAGAATAACTCATATGATTCCAAACTTTTGCATTACCCTGTATATTGTTCATCAAGATTATTTGTGTATTGTGATAACACCCTGTATTAATCCTACCCCTTTTCCCCAGGCAGAGACCATGGCGCCGAGTTACCTGCCCACACCTCTACTCTTCTTCGGTAAGTTTTAAGTTAATACACTATTATGCTCCCATGGCGGCACACACTCTAGCTACGCCACTGGACACCAAGATGAGGTAATAAGTGATGTTAAGAAACTTATGTTATTACTGCGCCTCAACAATGAAGGTCTTTAAACTGGTAACAAGGTTAGTACATTCAATTATGGTAAAGATTCATTTTAACGTCCCCTTCTTTTTTACAGGGAAATATATCTTTCTGTTGTATTTTGGTTTCCTTTGTTTAAATCTGGCCTTCATTTTCTTTGGACAATCCCCATTTAAGAAACATTTAAGAAAACACTTATTTTGATATCAGGTACCAATGACGGCAAATTTTTGGGAGGAGTATTTATGGTAAATAACCAAAAATGTTAAATATCTCGCTTACATGTAATTTAGGCCGAAAATGGCACAAGAAACATGACTCAGATGGTTGACTTCCACCTATAGCAACTATTATTTGTAAAATATACCCAAACCAAGCTATAAATACGTGTATATTAATAGCCAAGAACTGAAGTATTTTACAGTTTTAGCTGAGAGCTGAACAATGGATGTTTACTTTCAGCTTGTGTACTGGCAGTGGCGGTGTGCGGGCCTGCAGAGTCTTATAACAAACTGTCTGTTATAAGACTCCATCAGTCTACTCACACACCAGTCCTTCCACACATGAAGACGGACACACACTCCCTCCACCACAACCGCTCACAACGCCCCCTGCCATCGTACAGCCTCAGGTACAGTATTATTCATCCATAAGTGGTTTAAAACGTGAGTCTGGCATATTAACTTTCCTTCCGTCTTGTATCACTCATGTTATCCTTCCTCTACCGGTCCGACTAATTACCCAAATGTACCCAAATGTAGCCAAATATAGCCGGAATGAAGTCAAATAATGGTCCTAGATGAATAAATCGGACTGCTAATCACTTCTCGACTGGTATTTGGTGTCAGAAAGTCACAATAAACTGGAAAACTTACTTTAATCTGAGTTAATAGATCGCGTGCATGTACCGAGGGAGCGAGGAATTACCCAAATGTACCCAAATGTAGCCTCAATGAAGTCAAATGATGGTCTTACAAGCGTAATTCGGGCTGTGAATCACTTCTCGATTATTATTTGGTGTCATAATGTCCAAAAAATTGGTAAACTTAATTTAATCTGAGTTGTGTTAGGTTAGGTTAGGTACATGCACTCGATCTATTAACTCAGATTAAAGTAAGTTTTCAAATTTTTTGTGACTTTCTGACACCATATACTAGTCGAGAAGTGATTAGCAGTCCGATTTATTCATCTAGGACCATTATTTGACTTCATTCCGGCTATATTTGGCTACATTTGGGTAATTAGTCGGACCCCTAATACAACTGATTAAATTGACACGTGTAGAGTTCACCTACGGAAGGGTGGTTACATGTGGCAGATACAAGTATTTCAAGTGGGGAGGAGGGACTTGGTACACAATGAGCCAGAATATAAAAAAAAAAATCCGTAGAAAATTAAACAATAGGAAGGAATTTGGAGGCGTAGCATGTGCGTGTATAGGCCTACTGTGCAACCACCTGCCTTCCTGTAACCTTCTGCCTCAAGATTATGAATGATCGGTGGAATAATTGATTAATTTGAACCCTATGTTGGATGTTGCTAGTACAGTATAGTATAGTACTGTGTTATGAGGAATTAAGCAATGAGCTAATATTCCATATTTTTATGATCTGAAATTATGAACCCACAATGCGTTCTTGTATTAAGTTTCTCATTTTAATATAGTCAAATTTATAATTTACTTGTTTATTACAATTAAGTTTCTCGTCATTTATGGTGTACAGCGTGACAGAAGCAGGCCGGACGACCGAGGAAGGACTAGCTGCATTTTTGTCCTATGCCGCCGTCGAAGTCAATCTCTACCTGCTGTATGACCTTACAAACTATGGTATGTCTTAGCATTCCCAGCAATAATTATTTATTTAGGAGATGAATACCGTATGAGAACTCGACTGTGAAAATGGTGTCCTGGTTTCTATTAGGTAAATTTAAAGTATATTTTACAGCTGGATGCTCCTCCTTTTGCCTGTCTTGTTAATGATATATGTATTTTTTAATTTTAGACTTACGTAAAGTTATTTCAGGATTAAGGCAAAACAGTGAGATTAAGTTGCTTTTACACTAGGCTTGTCTGCTGTTGATGCATTGTCAGCATTTCAGAAGTGGACGAGTTAGTCAGGAACCACCAAGAGAACTACAACATGAGTAAATCAGTGACGTTGATACAGTACTCTGAGGATCTGTCCTACCTAAAGGAGGTGCTGACGACTAGAGCCACACACCTGGGCACCAGGCACATGCTAGTTCTCTGCTCTACACAACACACCATCAGGATCTTTCAATATGTAAGCTGTGTGTAGAAGGTGGGGGACATGGTAGGTATAGTGGGGCAGTAAGGTTGGAGAGAGACCATAGATACTGTATATTATGAGAAAATAAATAGGGAAAGAGAAATACAGTATGTAGTAGTAATCTACCCTCTTATGCAATAGAACACCATTCTTGTGTTATGGCCCCTACATATGCACTGGTACTTTGCAACCTTGTACTTACTGTACTGGCTCTACTTGCTCCCCCTATCTTGTGTACAATTTGTGTATCACTAAACTGTATTGACAGGTACGTCAGAAACAACTAGAGTCGCCAAGTATATGGTGGTTGGTGGTGGGGGAGACAGATGTGTTACAATCTCTTCAGCCACTACTGTGGGAGGGCTCCCTGGTGAGTCCTAACTTGTGCTCCTGCTTGTTTTGCAGTGTATGGTTGCTTATGTAGAGAAATTTAGCCTCCACATGGTATATGATTACTTTTACCCTCTTTGTCTTATATAATGGTTTGTCCACACACAATCGAGGATAGTATGTTTGTTTATGGTGTAAAAGTCGCCACCAACAACTACTTGCACAGTTAATGAGCTGTGAAACCCAGTGTCAGTGGAGAGCTCAGAAAAATTTGATAATTCGTCACTCAGTTTATATAAAAATCTCCAATCACTGCTTAGTAAACAGAGATTAATGGCGCAAAGGAAATTGCTGTTGCATTAGTTCCACCCTGCCAGGGGTTGAACCTAATTCTTTCTGCTTTCAAGCCATTACTTACCTACCACATTTACCTAACAGTCACCCTATACCGTGGGAAGAAGGCCAATGGCCTCTATAGGATTCCTTCGTTGTTCTTGGTGGTTTACTGTCTTGTCCAGTGATATTTTGAGGCCCAGTGCTGTTCTCACTTTCACAGCTTGAGCTGGTACACTGTTCTATAGGTCTTTGACATATGATTTTGATAAATTTATTCATTTATAAAAAAAAAATATCAGTCAGAGCAAACTAACAAGCTATAATAAGTGTATGTGGACACAGAATCAAAGGGATATGAGCAACTGATGTCATTCAAACAAATTTGCCACTATATTTTTTCTTTCCTTGGAACTTATGAATGTTTATGACATGTGATGTAACAAAGTGTTGTGTTTATAGGTGACACTGGCACTGAGAACATCACCCACCACCTCTAACTTCATGGTATCAAAGGTTGACCACACTGGCCTCCCTATGTAAGTACTGTACTGTACCTTCCACACTCTCTGTCATGCCCTCTACCTCATACTATACCTAATACCTTCAGCACATTCCCTTAATATCTACTGTTGATGATTCATAGTCATAAATATTGGTGTTCAGATTCTCTTTGTGATATTAAGTTAATGAATATACTGTAGTGTTGTTTGTCATATATATATATATATATATATATATATATATATATATATATATATATATATATATATATATATATATATATATATATATATATATATATATATATATATATATATCATGTAAATCCACAATAAAACGTGATAAGATAAATCTTGATAAAATCACACGGAAAATGGAAACAACAGTACCTTAGCTTTCGTCTTTATTCAAGACATCTTCAGAGGCTGAAGATGTCTTGAATAAGACGAAAGCTAAGGTATTGTTTCCATTATTTTATCAAGATATATATATATATATATATATATATATATATATATATATATATATATATTGTTACGAGTTGGGGATTTAGAATATAGTTAAAAGTCTACCCAGATCCCAACAGGTAACAACAATAAAAAAAACAAAGACAATCGGACTATAAAAGGGTAGACAAAGGATGCGAGTTTTTGTTGTGTATAATAAAGTACCATAAATTCCTTAACAAAATATTCAGCTATCTATTACCCTTAACCAAACTTAACCTAAACATTAACAGTATATACATATTAATAAAACATAAAACAATCGTGAAGCAAGGTGAAGGTGGGAGAGGCAATACAAGATTACAAATACTTAAGTGAGGAGCTGAGATGGCTGACGAGTAAGACTGAGTATTGTAGAAGACGGTAGGTAGTCACTGTGCCGTAGGTTTCCAGGATAGGTGATCCTGTGGTCACTTCCCAGAGCCAAGTGCTCTCTCCTCGAATTGGAGCTCACAAAGAAGACTTGGAGGAAGTGACGCAACAACCAGGATATGGAGAAGGGAAACCCCGGAGTGTTAACTAAGACGAGTCATACTCGTGTCTCGTCCCTAGATGGCGTTGCTCGTGGTGCTGGGTAGGTAGATCAGGACAATAGATGGCGTGGTTCGTAGTGCTGGGTGGAGGGGTTCGTAACAATATATATATATATATATATATATATATATATATATATATATATATATATATATATATATATATATATATATATATATATATATATCGCATTACCTTTCTTCCATTGGCTACCTGTGCTCAGTAGTCTTGTCCACACCCAGACCTCTTCAGCAAAGATCAGTTAAAAGATTGACACTTTAATCATTAACACTTTATTTCCAGGCATCCTCCCCTCCATATTTGTTGTTTATTATCTCATAACTATACTGTAGTTAATGGTCTGTGCTCTGTTACCTGTAAACAATCATGTCATAACTTTAAACCCAGGCGTTCTGTTCACTACCTGTATACCACGAACTTTACACTATCAGTTCTCTTTTGAATAAGTGCCATATAAACAATATTTAAATTGTCTTTTATCTTATTCCTCACAACACAGTACTGTACTGATATAAATCATATTATAGTGTTGTTATTCCCAGCTAATTTCAGTTTATGAAGCCAGAGGATGTAATCAAAATATATATGAAACTGTGAGGGTTTCTATGAATTTTGTAATTTATGCAAATGCCATGGTTTGGATGGCTTCAGTAAATGAAGATAAGATTGTCTTGAATGTTGTATTTTAATTGTACATTATTTGTTACCCCTTATCTTAACCCTTGTATATATGGGTTCCCCTCTGAGGTGAAAAAAATCATTTATCATTAGCCAAATAAAATATCAAGTATCACTGCTGTAGCTCCAAGTGTTCATTATAAATAATCCTTCTGAAGGTTCGTACCGGTCGGGTCCTGGACACTGACGCCCACGGGCCCTGTGGTACAAGTACAAGAACCTCTGGTGCCAGATCCCTTGAAGCTGTATGCAGACATGAGTGGACGGCAGCTGATTGTGACGGCCAATAACAACTGGCCATTCTTTGGTCTCAAGAAGCTTGGGGATGGAGAAGTGGAGGCAGAAACTGGCATTGACATCCAGATTATGAACACTTTAGGCCAGTTCCTCAACTTTACGTGAGTAGAATGAGACAGAGGAAAAGAACAAGAGTATGAATGAAAGATGGAAATAATCATAGTAGAGGGTGAATGAGAAACAAGAAGGAATAATTGACATAGGAAAAAGGATAAATATTTAGGGTAACTGTATCTATCTTATGCCATTACAGGTATTGTTTTTCTTGTAAGGGTTGGAAACACTGATTAGAAAACAATGAAATGTTTAATGAGTTGCAACTAGTTTGGAATATATAGAAGGACCTTTGTCTAGCAAATTACTTCCCAGGAACCCCCTCCCTCCTGCCTGTTCCATTATTTCTTTTGGGATTAATTGTTCCAATTGTCACCATTTCACTTAGTAACATTTTAAAGGAACGCAACTCTAATGTTAAGCGAGGACACTATTTTTAATGTTGTGTTGTACCAGAGTAAAGTGCTGTGTTTAGTGATGTGTGCCAATAATAATAACAATATTTATTCAGTAAAACCATCATACTGGTTTACTATTGCTTTGGCATAAGTATAGACTATACAAGCATACAGTTCAGCATGTGTATAGACAATCCAGGTATACAGTGTACTTATGATGTGGAGGTATACAGTTTCCAGTGTACTTGGGCAATGCAGGTAAAGAACAATAGTAAACCGTAAGTAAATTTAACCAAGAACAGACGACAAAGCCACCAGATGCTTATTTCCAGGAGAGTCCAACTTAACACATCATAACACAGTGAGGGAAAAGTGAGAGGTTGAGGGAGAAGATGAGAGAAACAAAGAGAATAAGAAATAGAAAAAAGATATGTAAGAGAACAAGGCAGTAAGGTAGCAAGTGACCACAGGTAAGATCCACTCCCCAGGTACCATGTTGTGTCCCCGGCAGACGGTCAGTGGGGTGGTCCTCTCCCTGATGGTACAGTATCAGGGCTCATAGGCCAGGTGGCTCGCCGGGAGGCACACGTGGCCATCTGTGAGATCACCGTCACAGGTAAGAGACCAGCTGACTCCTCACAAAAGTCACTGATTATCGGAGTTGTATGGAAGTCGATGCATTGTTGTTTTATATTTTTTCACACCTTCCTAGTTGTTGTTACTCCCACCACTGAAGTCACACGAGTAGGATGACCAGTGCTGTCTGTATCTATATATATGTAACTGTCTAACTAGCCATATCAACAACATACCCCAACCCAGTTTAAATCAGTCTAAACAAACATAAACTAGGATACACACTCTTCATTAACCTAAATATATTAGTGAGGATCATGTCAAATAAGTTCAACAATTAAGTTGTTGGATACTATTAATGTTTTAGTAAACCCAGAGTAGGGCACTGCCAATGGTGCAGTATACCAGAAGGGATACAATAAAGATGAACCTAGGTAGGACTCCGTAAGGGTGCAGTATCCTTAGGTTAGAGCTTTGTTGACATTGTTTAATGATACTGGTTGTATGTTGGCGGTGATGACAGAGTCCCGTGAGACTGTGGTGGACTTCACGTTTCCTTACTACCTGGAGAGTATGACTCTGGCATCCCGCACCCCAGCTGAGAAAACCAGGGCCTTTGCTGTCTTCTCTCCCTTTACCCTGAAGGTGAGTGGGAGGTATAGAGGGAGATATGAGTGTTGAGGTACATGCCCCCAGTGTTAGTCCTCTCACTGTTCTAAGTCATGGCATGTCATGTTAACTTCCAGTTCTTCCTGGCCACAGTTGCTTAAGTCAAATTTTTACCTATCATCCACCTTATCTTTGCTGTATATTGATGGTTTCATTGCCATTATACCTCTTAACAAATATTTTCTTTTGCTGCAAATAATTTGGGTGTTCCTGATTTTCTTCTAATGTTTAATGTTCCTGCTTTGTCTTCATCTCTCTTGTCTACATGAGTTCTGCCACAGTTAGAGGTTAGGGAGGTGTCTGTTGCTGCACCTCATCCAGACCCAAACATTATACACCGTAACTGTCTAGTCTAGGTCTGCACATCTCACACCTCAGTATATCGGATACCAATCTTCTTCCTGCTATTTTCACTGAACACATCTTTGTCATTTGCACCTCACTCTTCTGCCTTTTGTCACCTTCCCCTCTGCTCTTATGATTTTTGGCCATCCTGTTAAACCTCTGTACCTCTTGATCTTCAGCAGGAAACTAAATTTTTTCCTTCTGTCATTTGGGCAGGTTTGGCTGTGCATCACAGTGTCGACGGTGGCTATTGGTCCCCTCATGAGTCTGTTGGGGTTGATGCTGTGCGTGAGTGGGCATCCCCACTACCAGTTGCGCGACTACTCCTTCAACATGTTCCGTAACATGGTGACACAGGGTAACCTCCTCACCACCCCACACTGGCCACTGAGACTCATGTTTTTCTTCTGGTACCTCTTTTGCTTCTACATCTGTGGTAAGAGTTTTATGCTGTGCCTCTCAAGCCCAGGTTATGTTATATTAGGGTCTCTTGGTAGTCATAATCCTTCACACCTTTAAGAAAGTTGATACATGTACAGTACCTGGAATTCATCCCTATTTTTCTGCAGGTCAACATATTCTCAAGTCTTGAATGATAAAAATCAAGAAGTATTCATTACCTCGTGGTTATAAAGGTCTCTGATTTCCAGCAAATGAAAAATTTAACTTAAGTTTAAACAGCACAGGTTGACTCACACCCAATATGAAGGCAGTTGCTGTCTCTGCAACTATTGGCACTGAAAGATCTACAATAAGATAATTGCAGCTTGTTTTATACAACCAGTGATATAAACACTGTTGCTCCACAGTGCTCTACTCTGGAACACTGACAGCGGTACTGGTGATGCCGGCCTATGAGAAGCCTATTGATAACTTGGAGAACCTGGCTGGTGCCGTGGCTGATGGATTCGATATTGGCACTGTTGGGTCTACCAATGTTGAGTTCGTGTTTAAGGTGAAGTAGATTAACCTCATATTCCCTGTCTATGGTTCCTCCTCTTAAGAGTCCCATGTGTTTATTCACCATTTTTCGTATCTCCCATTCACCCAATTATCTCCTTTCAATATGTTTGGAGAATATTATCTCTTAATTGCAGGAGGCCACAGGAGGCATCTACAAGGAGGTGTGGGGGCTGTTCAATCACAAGGATCGATCAAAAAGTTTCTTTGATACACCTGACATGGGCTTTGACCAAGTAAGTCGACATGGATGCTTTAGCTCAGGCAGGAGCTGGGAGTGGGAGACTTTGTTCTGGTCAATATTTGCTTTGGTGTGTAAGTCTTTTAGATTGTTTAATATCATAATTATCACAATTATGTTACCACAAAGTCTCATGTCTGTCAACTTAGGGGTGTTTAATCATTGGAGATGTTCCCAGAGGCCAGATTGGTGAGAGTGAGGAGGACCAGTTTGGTGATATATCTCTGACATTCTTGTCTTTCTCTAGTGTCCACTTCTGGATACAGTACTCTAGAGGGGGTCACACATACAGTCATAAATGCCAGGGCTCAAACAAAAACACAAAATTTATAATTAGATTAATGAAATTCTTGGGTCAACAGATTCTGAAGGCAAAGTTTGTGATGCTGAACCCTCGGTTGAACTCTGAGGTACGGGCTGCCAAGCGTGGACGACACAAATTCTACTTGGGTCGTCAGTCCTACTACCCACAAAACTATGGAATAGCCTGTAACAAGGGTGCACCCTTCATACCTAATTTCAATAAAATGTAAGTGGTTTCTGTGCTTATTGCCATATTTACTGTGTCACTTTTCCTCCATTAAGTGGGTGTGCCAAAAATTTTAATGGCACTTGTTAATTTTATGAAAGTGATTTTTCTGTACAATAAGCCTGACACAGCAATTAATGGTTAGGTTAATGTTTAGATGCTAGGATAGGTTAATGTTAATTTCCTGCTATTTGCTATAAAACATTGATGGTGATGAAAGCCTTCTCCTATTGCCAAAACAAAAAGAAATAAAACAAACACTCATGAACACTATAGCTGGATGCAGATGGTTTTCATATTTTTCATTTATTTTACTTGGTCTTGAGACAGTCTTTGGGAGAACTATGCAGTAATTAGAAGTCAGCATTACACTATGAACCTCTCAGTACTACTCTAATGACCCCAAATTCAGTTATATATTAAGGACCTCTAACTGAGTGTGACCTAAAGAGACCTTTACTCCTGGTGCAGGTTGATGCGTATATCACAAGCTGGACTCATCTTCCATTGGAAAGAACAGGAGATACAGAGGGTAGCTACCTCTACCCAGGACTCAGATACTGACAAGGGGCCTTCAGCCATCACCCTCAAGCATCTGCAGGTGAGTCAAGTGTTCTTCAGGTTGTAGATTTATTCTGTACTTTTACCTTTTACTTTTATCCTCTTTGATACTGATCAGCTCATGAGGTGCTTGGGCAGTCGGTTACATGTGTTATGCACTGTTGACAATTACTGGGTCCTGATTGTATAAACATCTCAGGGGGCACTACTCAGTCGAATGTACATACCTGAAACTGGCAGATGCATGTCTCACAAGGGGTCACAGCTCAAGGTTGAAGAAGCCACAAGTCTAGAAAACAGTGAGGGCAATTTTTTTCGGGTTGAGGGTTGTGAACTCTTGGAACAATCTGCCAGAGTGTTGTGGCGGCTCCAAGTGCGAGCTGTTTCAAGACCAGACTTTACCAACACTGGAGCAGGTTCAGATGCATTCAGGAGTCAGTGCATGCTCAGTACTTGCCAACAGTGCATAACAGAGACTAACGAGTTGATCAGTGGCAAAGAGGATAAAAGTAAAAGTAAAAATACAGTCAAGTTTATTCAACCATCAGACCATAAGAAATCCAAGATATCAGTGTAGCAGACTTTATTTCCCAATTAACAAGAAATAAGTGATCATATAGAAAAAATAGACAGCACTCGAGTCCAATTATTATTGACTCCAATTAAGGGACATCCAGTTAAGGGACACCTTAGTTTAATTGTGATAAAGTCAATTAAGATTATGGTGAATCTCATATTTATTTTACAATAATGGTCATAGTAATGTAATTGGTGATGTGAGTTTTATGTTAACCAGGCAGCCTTCTTTATCCTGGTGATGGGGTTCTTGGTGGCCGCAGTAGTGTTTGGGCTAGAACACGCTGCCAGCGTGTTGGTGTTGTCCAAGATGAGTGAGTTGGCCGAGTCTCATAGTAACAGCCTCTAGTTGTCCAAAGAGACTGACAGGTTAGCTCTACCTCTCACATTACAGTATTTCATATTCCCTTTTCACACTTATATTTTCATGTAAAAATATAAATATTCCTCGTTCACTCAATGTTCCTGTAAATGTTAGGTTGTGTATGATATTTTCCAGCTGAAAGAGAGGCTCAGACAGGTTTATCCTCCTTAAAATATCTACCACGATGTGTTGCATTTTTTATCAAAATACAAAAGATTGGCTTAAGAAACTAAATGTGACACACTGTTTACCACATTGTATAAACAGCCTGTTTGTGGTATGAATTCTTCTTGTAAAATATTGATGCAAAATATAACATTACTTAATCCTAGAGTTAAGCAACACTTCCCCTTACAATGTGTAAATAACCTAATGTTATACTTTACTTTATCCTTGACCAACACTGGAACAGTTTTCAATATATTCAGGAGCCACAGTACATTCTCAGTACTTGGCAACAGTGCGTAACCGAGACGTGACAGATCACCCAAGCGGCTAACGAGCCGATCAGTGGCAAAGAGGATAAAAGTAAAAGTAAAGTGTTTTAAAATTGTCTAGTAATTAAACAGTTAATTAGATTAGCTCAGCTGAAATTAGTGTTGATGTTGATTTTAAGTTGTGTTCATATTATTGTCATCAACTTTGTCTGAATAATCTTTAATTACCCTGCAAGTGCTACAAGAGGATGGTGTTGTATGTGAAGTTTCAGTAGAGTTTATTGATAGCACTGGTAACCATTTACTGTACTAATTGAGACATACCCTATAGTTGCAGTCCGTACTGTACTGTTTGTTCTATTGAATAGTTAATTGTATGTGGCTATTGATTAACACTTAAGAGTATGAGGGCCTGAGCTGCCACCATTTATGAGGGCTGCTACTGCCACCATTTATGAGGGCCTCTGTGTGCCAGTAACAATTCCTTTTACTCTTATATTTATCACCATTGGTAGTGTGACGATAGGAGGCTCGTGGGTAGGTGTAATGATAGTATCAAGCAATAGGGAAGAAATAACGGTAAATACTGTAGGTAAATAATAGACACAATTATACAAATACAAAGTTTATTTAAACATGAATATGAAATTAGAAGAAAGAATTGGTTTGTACTAACAGACGAAATCTAGTACTAGGCCCTCAGGCTCAACATACTCACACCATTACTGGGTGGACATATTCAATACACTTCCAACCCTACTGGGTGGACCTACTCAATAGCACAACTATGATAGTCACTTAGCACCATAAATACTAGGGCAACTGCCACTACAACACTCAGTCGTCAGGTGTGTTACTCAAGCAACAGCCATGGGGTCCAGCCACCATGGAGTACTATCCGACGAACTCTGGAGATCCCAGTGGATTAATTCCACCACACAAATATAGCCCTACTGAGTTAGACACTCATCCACCAATGATGGGGGCTGGTAGGGGTGTGTGGCTTGGTGATCCGGCGTCACCTCGTGGACCGAGCGTTAGGGCCAGACGAGCCAGCTATGGGGGCTATAGGTGGTCTGAAGTGTCTGACGGCCGGGTCTCACGAAGGTAACAGATCCTACTGGACCTAGGACATCTCCCCAGACATAGTGGATACAACCTCCACGCTATAGACACGGCCTAGGCTGCGTTAGGGACCTGTATGGATGAAGGGACGGGCACTTACTAACTGGTGACAACAACATCACGTTTCAGGGGACGTTAAAGACGTAAATATGACTTTACTCAGAGCATATCAACTACGTTACTGTAACACTTGCACAATCAACTATTAATTGGGTCAAATCACTTAAAGAAGGGCAAATTACAACACAGCGTGGAATGGCATACCTGTATGGATGAAGGGACGGGCACTTACTAACGGTTAAAATGCCCGCGGCGCCCTCACTCAAACTAGGCCAGGGAGTCCAGCTACTCCTATTCCGATGAATTAATTTACGGTACACTCTGACGTTGAAATTGAGACTATGAACTCATTTTCATTCTCTACTATTATCTTCACTAACAATGCTCTGACTCAGCTATCGAAAGCAAAATTAAATTGATTACAAAGGATTGGCTGGCAACAGGTCCCAGCATACAGCGTCTGCTCCCATAGACAAAGACGGGGGAAACAGAGAAAACGGGGGACGTTTCCACTGGGGGACTCGGAAGGTTTTGTGGACGTTTGAGCGTAATATGAATCCTTAAGGTTTTCAGGTTAGCTCTTATCATGACCATTACAAGAGTACACAAGTCATCTGCAAAAATTTGTCAAGCTTTCAAAACAGAAGTACAGTATACTGTACAGTAGCTACTTTAGAGTAGTGTCTCGGAATGCTGCTGCCATTGTAGGAAGCCTCATGAATATCTTATGCACCAGATATGTGACACACTTTTCCACACTCTTAGGAATTAACAGCAGATTCCCATGTAAAGATGTGAATATACACTTGTTGTGATGTTTTATATTTACAACTTGATGTAGTGGAAAGCTCTTGTTGGCTGTTTAATACATTTAATCAAAGCTTCTCCATATATGACCGTATTATTTATCATTAAGCACTTGCTAAGTGCCTTCTGTATCATGGGTGGCCATAAACTAGATGTATTTTGAGAATTGTCAGAACTACTGCATATGGATCATGACCGATCATGCAGTTCTGAAATCAATCAAATGTTTTTATCTTCTTCAATTGTGTAAAACAACATGAAATATCATGAAGGGGTTTAAGTATAGTATTTATAGTGAAAATAATATGGCACTGATCAATAAAGTTACAATGAACTGGATGACTTGTTATATTCCCACCAGGTCATTATCTATCTAATATACTATAGGAATAGCCGTGTGTCTGTTCTGGGCAGCCGAAACGGCACAATTGTTTTTCATCAAACTTGGTGGAAAAATCACAAAAAATTCGTAGAGTGGAACAAACCTGGTCCCATGTCGATGGTTTCTTTAGGAAGGCATTAATTAACCATTTTATTTACGCTGGAAAACAATGTCGCTGTACGCTGTCAGCCGGATGGCGGTTGCGCGCTAGCCAAGCACGAGCGTTCAAACTTTCACCGGGCACGAAGAGCCCACGATCACTTGTCATCTCTAGGATCCTGAGAGGGAAGGTGGTGGGGGTGGTGCTATCTCACCCATATAAACATTCTATAAATCAAAACAATTAGTGAGAATCCTGAAGGAAATCCAAATGTAATCATTTGAGATGAAAAGACACTTCAACCATATGGAAAAATAAATAAACAAAGAATAAGTTTCGATTACTCATCGGTAGCCATTGACAAGACCCATTTTCTCTTCCAGTATAATAGATTCTGGGTCCTGGGAAGCCTCATTAATAAAACTCAATGAAAACCTGTGTAAGTGGACTCATCAAAGTTGTTCCTCCAACATTCTTTCACTGAAATTCTTTCCAGTGTGGTCTTCAATACGAGATTAAAATATTAAAAATTATACAATGGTCATACAGTAGGTGGTGCTGGACTCATTGTGTGTTGGTCAATATATGCTTTGCCAATATGATTTTGGCATCATAATAACTGGCTCGTATCCTTTAGTTTATAACTTAGCAGTGTGGGGGTGTCAACTTTATTCATTTCTAATTTATAACTTTTTTGTGTATGGAAAACATTTTTCATCTGCTCAACATTATAAAATGTGATAAAATGTTGACTAAAAATAAGGTACATTTGATAGCATACACAGACGGTCACTGTTACACACTGTTGACAAGTATTGGGGCATGTAGTGGCTCCAGAATGTATTTGTACCTACACCAGTGTTGGTCAAGTCTGGTCATACCATCATAAAATTAAGATGTTATTTTTACTACAACGTACGTATTGTGTCGGAAAAAGGGTAGTCTGGGGTCGGCCCACTCTCTTTTTCAATTAATCCCACGTGTTCTGTTATTTCGTTTACGCGTTTCTCGTTTTACGCGGACCTCCACTGGTTTAATTGACCGCGTAAACCGAGACTATACTGTATATATATTAACAGGTTTATAATCATACGGTGGAGAGAAAGAATTACACATTTCTAACATACAACCAGTGAAAGTGAATATAAAGACAGAAAAAATACTGTACTACTACTGGCTTACTCTACTCTCTGAATACTGTAATCAAGAAATTGTAAAACACTAAAAACTTAAACACTAAAAATAAAGATGACTACAAACATGAGTGCAAAACAAAAAGCCAATCTCATTACAGTGCTAAGTCACATGTTGGCCATGAAACACAGATTCAGAATTAGTAAAAAATATGACTTAAAATGTACAGTATAAAATATATGCATGAAAGACAAAGCTGATCTGTTTTCCATGTTCACCTGCCCACCAACGATGAGGTCATGCGACACGGGCAGGACCGGGGTTAATCGTCCCAAAGGAGCAAGTCCTTTGGTTTATGGAACCCCAAACCACAAACCTGAGAATTTCTCTCAGAGTACTTCGGGATTTATGATGATAGCTAGGTTACCACCATGAATCTCTCACCTGATGGTGATTTGTGTGTTGTTTTTGTTGCCTACCTGGATACCTAATTCTCATCTATCTAACCCCAAGGGGGGCACCTATGACAGCAAACCTTCCTAGTCTGTCATCCTTAGTGATATACAGTATTCCTAATTTGTAACACCTGGCCACCTCACCAAGAAAAATCCTAATTTTAAGCTCTCCATCCCACATGTGGCAACTTTTTTTGGACTCAAAAGCCATCTAACATCCCTATAATTAAACCAATTCAAACATAGTATAGCAAATGCATCATGACTGGCTTCTTTAGCCATCCCATATCTTCTTCACCCATCTCAAGCCATTCCTCTTCAAGCATTCTTGACCTTGTTGGCCATCCCATATCTCTAATACTAAGTTGCCTTACCCTCCCATGTTTTGTCTTATGGACCACACACCCAGTATACCTGGCCTTCTCAGCCATCTCAATATCACCATATAACCCACCACATTCAGTATATACCACCTTGTCCATCACTCCATGTCTTCTCGGCTTTCATATGCCACCTAAGATCTTTTCAGCAATTCCACACTATGGCTCTCCTGGCCTTCCCACATCACCGTAAAGACTTCTACACAATTCCACACAATAGCCATCCGATATTTCCCTACACCGTTCTTAGACATTCTTCCCAAGTACATCTCGTTCCTGAAGAGCATTCTTAAGAATTCTCCACTGTTATACTCAACAGACTCTTATCACACATCCCAACTCTTCTCTTCACAACACACTGGGGATGACAGGAGGGCGGGAGGGGCCAGTAGTCTCCAACACTGGGGATGACAGGGGGCAGTAGTCTCCAACACTGGGGATGACAGGAGGCGGGAGGGGCCAGTAGTCTCCAACACTGGGGATGACACTGGCACTGGGGATGACAGGGGGGGCAGTAGTCTCCAACACTGGGGGATGACAGGAGGGAGGCCAGTAGTCTCCAACACTGGGGATATGGGGGGATTAGTCTCCAACACTGGGGATGACAGGGGGCAGTAGTCTCCAACATTGGGGATGACCGAGGGGGGCAGTAGTCTCCAACACGGGATGACTGGGGGGGGTCTCCAACACCGGGGATGACAGGGGGCAGTAATCTCCAACACTGGGGATGACAGGGGGCAGTAGTCTCCAACACTGGGGATGACAGGGGGGCAGTAATCTCCAACACTGGGGATGACAGGGGCAGTTCTCAACACTGACACTCCAACACTGGGGATGACCGGGAGGGAGGGTCTCCAACACCGGGGATGACAGTGGGGGTAGTCTCCAACACTGGGGATGACAGGGGGGCAGTGTCTCAACACTGGGGATGACAGGAGGGCGGGGGGGCCAGTAGTCTCCAACACTGGGGATGACAGGGGAGTAGTCTCCAACACTGGGAATGACAAGGGTGGAGGGCCAGTAGTCTCCAACACTGGGGATGACAGCGGTGGAGGGCAGTAGTCTCCAACACTGGGGATGACAGGGGAAGAGTGGTCTCAACACCGGGGATGACAGGGGGCAGTAATCTCCAACACTGGGGATGACGGGGGCAGTAGTCTCCAACACTGGGGATGACCGGGGGGCGGGCAGTAGTCTCCAACACTGGGGATGACGGGAGGGGGTGCAGTAGTCTCCAAGACTGGGGATGACTGGGGATGACAGGAGGGAGTAGTCTCCAAGACTGGGGATGGCAGGGGGCAGTAGTCTCCAACACTGGGGATGACAGGGGGGTAGTCTCCTCAAGACTGGGGATGACATAGGGGGCAGTAGACCTCAAGACGGGGGATAACAGGGCAGTAGACCCCACGGCTGGGGATGACGGGGGGGGCAGACCCACGGCTGGGGATGACAGGGGGCAGTAGACCCCACGGCTGGGGATGACATGGGGGCAGTGGACCCCACGGTTGGGGATGACAGGGCGGGGAAGAAGACCTCAAGGCGAGGAATAACAGGGGCAGTAGACCCCATGGCTGGGGATTTCAGGGGGAGGCATTAGTCTCCAAGAACGGGGATGACAATAGACCTCAAGGTGGGCGATATCGGGCAGTAGACCCCACGGCTGGGGAAGACAGGGTAGTAGACCCCAAGGCCGGAAATGATAGGGGGGGTAGTCGTCTCCCAAGACAGGAGTTGACAGGGGGGCAGTAGTCTCCAAGACTGGGGATGACAGGGGCAGTAGACCTTAAGGCAGGGGACAACAGGGGGCAGTAGACCCCACGGCTTGGGTTGACAAGGGGGCAGTAGACCCCAAAGCTGGGGTTGACCATGGGGCAGTATACCTTAAGGCTGGGGATAACCGGGAGAGAAGACAGTAGACCCAAAGGCAGTATACAGTACAGTACAGTCTTCATTTACGCGGTCAATTGAACCCATCGAGTTCCACGTAAAACGAGAAACGCGTAAACGAAATAACAGAACATATGGGAGTAATTGAAATAGAGACTGGGCCAACCCCCAAACTACACTTTTTCCGACACAATTCGTACGTTGTAGTAAAAATAACACCTTAATTTTATGATGGTATACACACACAATTAATATTTATGAGAAATATCAATAATATTAGGTTTTTTAACACTTACGTTACTAGAAAAGATGGCTGGGCACACGGGGATGGAGGGTTGGTTCCGAGGCAGAGGGAAGATTATTGGCCCTCACCTGTATCACTTGTATCACTATCCACCACAGAGGCTTGCAGGGCCTCTTTGTCAAACCCCTCAAAGTTCATATCCTCACTATCACTGACTTGGGCCGGCTGTGGTGGGTGGCGGGTGAAGAACTCGGTAATGTTTTGTTGACTGGGCGATCTCGTGCGCACCCTCCCCCGCACCGCTTCCCTCGTAAATGATGGAATGAACCGTGTAAATAAAAATTGTTCGTCTGGCAAGGTGCCGCGTAAATGACCAAACGCGTAAACCAAATCCGCATAAATCGAGACTATACTGTATATATCTTCCAGTGATGGTCTGACATGATAAGAACAGCCGTGATATTGTAAATGTACATTTTGAAAATATACCAAAGAAGCAGCAAAGTATATCTGGGAATAAACATTTTAAAAGTACCTGTTCATCAAAAAAGTAACAAAGTATATATGAGAATATAAATTTTAAAATCACATCAATATATAACAAAAGATATGTGGAAATAAACTGTTTAAAGTACACATAGAAAGCACCAAAGTTCTCCCGGGAATAAATAGTAATAAAGTACAGTACACATAAAAAGTAACTATAACTTGGAATAGAAATAAAGTCAAGTCATAGAAATGAATGTAATTAACCTGTAATGGAAACTGCAGGTGGAAATTAGTAAAGACAAGCAGTATGCATTAATAAAGGCATACAATACATGTTATATCAGAGTAATCAATTCATAACATTAATAATAATGACAATAATCAGAATGATACATTATTTTTTCATAAGCATGTCATGTTACTTAGATAATAATACATGATTTAGTTAATTTGCATGTGCCTCATGCCAATGGGGAGAATTCCAGATGTTAAAACTGTATACTGTATAGTACAGTACAGTACAGTATAGTATACTGTATATCTTCCAGTGATGGTCTGACATATGATAAGAATAGCCGTGATTTTGTAAATAAATACATTTTTAAAATATACCAAAGAAGCAGCAAAGTATATCTGGGAATAAACATTTTAAAAGTACCTGTTCATCAAAAAAGTAACAAAGTATATAAGGGAATATACATTTTATAATCACATCAATATATAACAAAAGATATGTGGAAATAAACTGTTTAAAGTACACATAGAAAGCACCAAAGTTCACCTGGGAATAAATAGTAATAAAGTACAGTACACATAAAAATTAACTGTATATCTTGTTATAGAATTAAAGTCAAGTTATACATATGAATATAATTAACCTGTAATGGAAACTGTAGGTGGAAATTAGTAAAGACAAGCAGTATAATTTTCATGTGGCTCTTGCTAATGGGTAGAATCCCAGATGTTAAAACTGTACAGTACAGTGCAGTATATATATTTCAGTGGTGGTCTGATAGACAACAACCTTGAACCTGTAAATATATATTTTGAAAGTATACCAAAAAAGTGGCAAAGTATATCTGGGAATAAACAGTTTAATAGTACATCTCCGAAGTATATATGGGAATAGTTTAAAATTACATCACCAAAGTATACAGTATATGGCAATAAACATTTTAAAAGTACCTAAAAAGTATCATCATATATCTTGGAATACAGATGTTAAAAGTACAAAAAATATATCTTGGAATAAGCATTTAAAGTACACATAGAAAGTAATACAGTACATCTATGAATAAACAGTAATAAAGTACAGTACACATAAAAAGTAACTGCATAACTTGGAATAGAAATAAAGTCAAGTCATAGAAATGAATGTAATTAACCTGTAATGGAAACTGCAGGTGGAAATTAGTAAAGACAAGCAGTATGCATTAATAACAAAGGTATACATTATTATACATGTCAAACATTACAGGGTTCTTCACATGTCACCCACCACAGCCAGCCCAAGTCAGTGACAGTGATAGTGAGGATATGGATTTTGAGGGGTTTGACAAAGAGGCCCTGCAAGCCTCTGTGGTGGATAGTGATACAAGTGATATAGGTGAGGGCCAATAATCTTCCCTCTGCCTCGGAACCAACCCTCCATCCCTGTGTGCTCAGCCATCTTTTCTACTAACGTAAGTGTTAAGAAACCTAATATTATTGAGATTTCTCTGAAATATTAATTGTGTGTGCATACCATCATAAAATTAAGATGTTATTTTTACTACAACGTACGTATTGTGTCGGAAAAAGGGTAGTCTGGGGTCGGCCCACTCTCTTTTTCAATTAATCCCATGTGTTCTGTCATTTCGTTTACGCGTTTCTCGTTTTACGCGGACCTCCACTGGTTTAATTGACCGCGTAAACCGAGACTATACTGTATATATATTAACAGGTTTATAATCATACGGTGGAGAGAAAGAATTACACATTTCTAACATACAACCAGTGAAAGTGAATATAAAGACAGAAAAAATACTGTACTACTACTGGCTTACTCTACTCTCTGAATACTGTAATCAAGAAATTGTAAAACACTAAAAACTTAAACACTAAAAATAAAGATGACTACAAACATGAGTGCAAAACAAAAAGCCAATCTCATTACAGTGCTAAGTCACATGTTGGCCATGAAACACAGATTCAGAATTAGTAAAAAATATGACTTAAAATGTACAGTATAAAATATATGCATGAAAGACAAAGCTGATCTGTTTTCCATGTTCACCTGCCCACCAACGATGAGGTCATGTGACACGGGCAGGACCGGGGTTAATCGTCCCAAAGGAGCAAGTCCTTTGGTTTATGGAACCCCAAACCACAAACCTGAGAATTTCTCTCAGAGTACTTCGGGATTTATGATGATAGCTAGGTTACCACCATGAATCTCTCACCTGATGGTGATTTGTGTGTTGTTTTTGTTGCCTACCTGGATACCTAATTCTCATCTATCTAACCCCAAGGGGGGCACCTATGACAGCAAACCTTCCTAGTCTGTCATCCTTAGTGATATACAGTATTCCTAATTTGTAACACCTGGCCACCTCACCAAGAAAAATCCTAATTTTAAGCTCTCCATCCCACATGTGGCAACTTTTTTTGGACTCAAAAGCCATCTAACATCCCTATAATTAAACCAATTCAAACATAGTATAGCAAATGCATCATGACTGGCTTCTTTAGCCATCCCATATCTTCTTCACCCATCTCAAGCCATTCCTCTTCAAGCATTCTTGACCTTGTTGGCCATCCCATATCTCTAATACTAAGTTGCCTTACCCTCCCATGTTTTGTCTTATGGACCACACACCCAGTATACCTGGCCTTCTCAGCCATCTCAATATCACCATATAACCCACCACATTCAGTATATACCACCTTGTCCATCACTCCATGTCTTCTCGGCTTTCATATGCCACCTAAGATCTTTTCAGCAATTCCACACTATGGCTCTCCTGGCCTTCCCACATCACCGTAAAGACTTCTACACAATTCCACACAATAGCCATCCGATATTTCCCTACACCGTTCTTAGACATTCTTCCCAAGTACATCTCGTTCCTGAAGAGCATTCTTAAGAATTCTCCACTGTTATACTCAACAGACTCTTATCACACATCCCAACTCTTCTCTTCACAACACACTGGGGATGACAGGAGGGCGGGAGGGGCCAGTAGTCTCCAACACTGGGGATGACAGGGGGCAGTAGTCTCCAACACTGGGGATGACAGGAGGGGGGAGGGAGCCAGTAGTCTCCAGGGGGATGACATGAGTAGTCTCAACACTGGGGATGACGGGGGGCAGTAGTCTCAACACTGGGGATGACAGGAGGGCAGGGCCAGTGGTCTCAACACTGGGGATGACATGGGGGATTAGTCTCCACGGGAGGAGACAGGGGGAGGGCAGTAGTCTCAACAGGGGATGACAGGGCAGTAGTCTCAACACGGGATGACCGAAGTGGTCTCAACACCGGGGATGACAGGGGCAGGGCAGTAGTCTCAACACTGGGGATGACAGGGGCAGTAGTCTCCAACACTGGGGATGATAGTCTCAACACTGGGGATGACCAGTAGTCTCCAGCAGGGATGACCGGGGAGTGGAGCAGGGAGTGACACCGGGGATGACAGTGGGGGCAGTATTTTCAACACTGGGGATGACAGGTGGCAGTAGTCTCCAACACTGGGATGATGACAGGGGAGGGCGGGGGGGCCCAGTAGTCTCCAGCACTGGGGATGACAGGGGAGTAGTCTCAACACTGGGATGACAGGGTGGAGGCCAGTATCTCCACTGGGGATGACAGCGGTGGAGGCGTGGGGGGATGACAGGGGAGAGTGGTCTCCCAGCGGGGATGACAGGGGGCAGTAATCTCCACACTGGGGATGACGGGGGCAGTAGTCTCCAACATGGGGATGACCCGGGGCGGGCAGTAGTCTCCAACACTGGGGATGACGGGAGGGTGCAGTAGTCTCCAGACTGGGGATGACAGGAGGGAGTAGTCTCCAAGACTGGGGATGGCAGAGGGCAGTATCTCAACACTGGGGATGACAGGGTAGTCTCAAGACTGGGGATGACATAGAGGCAGTAGACCTCCGACGGGGATGCCAGTAGACCCCCACGGCTGGGGATGACGGGGCAGTAGACCCTGGCCACAGTAGCCCGGCTGGGGATGACAGGGGGCACTGGACCCACGGCTGGGGATGACATGGGGCCCCCACGGTTGGGGATGACAGAGGGGAAAGACCTCAAGGCGGAATAACAGGGGCAGTAGACCCCATGGCTGGGATTTCAGGGGCATTAGTCTCCAAACGGGGATGACAATAGACCTCAAGGTGGGCGATGTCGGGGCAGTAGACCGGCTGTTTGGAAGACAGGTAGTAGACCCCAAGGCCGGAAATGATAGAGGGGGTAGTCGTCTCCAAGACAGGAGTTGACAGGGGGGGCAGTATCTCCAAGACTGGGGGACAACAGGGGGCAGTAGACCCCACGGCTTGGGTTGACAAGGGGGCAGTAGACCCCAAAGCTGGGGTTGACCATGGGGCAGTATACCTTAAGGCTGGGGATAACCGGGAGAGAAGACAGTAGACCCAAAGGCAGTATACAGTACAGTACAGTCTTCATTTACGCGGTCAATTGAACCCATCGAGTTCTGCGTAAAACGAGAAACGCGTAAACGAAATAACAGAACATATGGGAGTAATTGAAATAGAGACTGGGCCAACCCCCAAACTACACTTTTTCCGACACAATTCGTACGTTGTAGTAAAAATAACACCTTAATTTTATGATGGTATACACACACAATTAATATTTATGAGAAATATCAATAATATTAGGTTTTTTAACACTTACGTTACTAGAAAAGATGGCTGGGCACACGGGGTTGGAGGGTTGGTTCCGAGGCAGAGGGAAGATTATTGGCCCTCACCTGTATCACTTGTATCACTATCCACCACAGAGGCTTGCAGGGCCTCTTTGTCAAACCCCTCAAAGTTCATATCCTCACTATCACTGACTTGGGCCGGCTGTGGTGGGTGGCGGGTGAAGAACTCGGTAATGTTTTGTTGACTGGGCGATCTCGTGCGCACCCTCCCCCGCACCGCTTCCCTCGTAAATGATGGAATGAACCGTGTAAATAAAAATTGTTCGTCTGGCAAGGTGCCGCGTAAATGACCAAACGCGTAAACCAAATCCGCATAAATCGAGACTATACTGTATATATCTTCCAGTGATGGTCTGACATGATAAGAACAGCCGTGATATTGTAAATGTACATTTTGAAAATATACCAAAGAAGCAGCAAAGTATATCTGGGAATAAACATTTTAAAAGTACCTGTTCATCAAAAAAGTAACAAAGTATATATGAGAATATAAATTTTAAAATCACATCAATATATAACAAAAGATATGTGGAAATAAACTGTTTAAAGTACACATAGAAAGCACCAAAGTTCTCCCGGGAATAAATAGTAATAAAGTACAGTACACATAAAAAGTAACTATAACTTGGAATAGAAATAAAGTCAAGTCATAGAAATGAATGTAATTAACCTGTAATGGAAACTGCAGGTGGAAATTAGTAAAGACAAGCAGTATGCATTAATAAAGGCATACAATACATGTTATATCAGAGTAATCAATTCATAACATTAATAATAATGACAATAATCAGAATGATACATTATTTTTTCATAAGCATGTCATGTTACTTAGATAATAATACATGATTTAGTTAATTTGCATGTGCCTCTTGCCAATGGGGAGAATTCCAGATGTTAAAACTGTATACTGTATAGTACAGTACATTACAGTATAGTATACTGTATATCTTCCAGTGATGGTCTGACATATGATAAGAACAGCCGTGATTTTGTAAATAAATACATTTTTAAAATATACCAAAGAAGCAGCAAAGTATATCTGGGAATAAACATTTTAAAAGTACCTGTTCATCAAAAAAGTAACAAAGTATATAAGGGAATATAAATTTTATAATCACATCAATATATAACAAAAGATATGTGGAAATAAACTGTTTAAAGTACACATAGAAAGCACCAAAGTTCACCTGGGAATAAATAGTAATAAAGTACAGTACACATAAAAATTAACTGTATATCTTGTTTTAGAAATAAAGTCAAGTTATACAAATGAATATAATTAACCTGTAATGGAAATTGCAGGTGGAAATTAGTAAAGACAAGCAGTATAATTTTCATGTGGCTCTTGCTAATGGGTAGAATCCCAGATGTTAAAACTGTACAGTACAGTACAGTATATATATTTCAGTGGTGGTCTGATAGACAACAACCTTGAACCTGTAAATATATATTTTGAAAGTATACCAAAAAAGTGGCAAAGTATATCTGGGAATAAACATTTTAAAAGTACCTAAAAAGTAACATCATACATCTTGCAATACAGATGTTAAAAGTACAAAAAATATATCTTGGAATAAGCATTTAAAGTACACACAGATAGTACTAAAGTACATCTAAGAATAAACAGTAATAAAGTACAGTACACATAAAAAGTAACTGTATAACTTGGAATAGAAATAAAGTCAAGTCATAGAAATGAATGTAATTAACCTGTAATGGAAACTGCAGGTGGAAATTAGTAAAGACAAGCAGTATGCATTAATAACAAAGGTATACATTATTATACATGTCAAACATTACAGAGTTCTTCACATGTCACCCACCACAGCCAGCCCAAGTCAGTGATAGTGAGGATATGGATTTTGAAAGGTTTGACAAAGAGGCCCTGCAAGCCTCTGTGGTGGATAGTGATACAAGTGATATAGGTGAGGGCCAATAATCTTCCCTCTGCCTCGGAACCAACCCTCCATCCCTGTGTGCTCAGCCATCTTTTCTACTAACGTAAGTGTTAAGAAACCTAATATTATTGATATCTCTCTGAAATATTAATTGTGTGTGCATACCATCATAAAATTAAGATGTTATTTTTACTACAACGTACGTATTGTGTCGGAAAAGGGTAGTCTGGGGTCGGCCCACTCTCTTTTTCAATTAATCCCATGTGTTCTGTTTTTCGTTTCGCGTTTCTCGTTTTATGCGGACCTCCACTGGTTTAATTGACCGCGTAAACCGAGACTATACTGTATATATATTAACAGGTTTATAATCACTCGGTGGAGAGAATGAATAGCACATTTCTAACATACAACAAGTGAAAGTGAATATAAAGACAGAAAATAATACTGTACTACTACTGGCTTACTCTACTCTCTGAATACTGTCATCAAGAAATTGTAAAACACTAAAAACTTAAAACAATAAAAATAAAGATGACTACAAACATGAGTGCAAAACAAAAAGCCAATCTCATTACAGTGCTAAGTCACATGTTGGCCATGAAACACAGATTCAGAATTAGTAAAAAATATGACTTAAAATGTACAGTATAAAATATATGCATGAAAGACAAAGCTGATCTGTTTTCCATGTTCACCTGCCCACCAACGATGAGGTCATGTGACACGGGCAGGACCGGGGTTAATCGTCCCAAAGGAGCAAGTCCTTTGGTTTATGGAACCCCAAACCACAAACCTGAGAATTTCTCTCAGAGTACTTCGGGATTTATGATGATAGCTAGGTTACCACCATGAATCTCTCACCTGATGGTGATTTGTGTGTTGTTTTTGTTGCCTACCTGGATACCTAATTCTCATCTATCTAACCCCAAGGGGGGCACCTATGACAGCAAACCTTCCTAGGCTGTCATCCTTAGTGATATACAGTATTCCTAATTTGTAACACCTGGCCACCTCACCAAGAAAAATCCTAATTTTAAGCTCTCCATCCCACATGTGGCAACTTTTTTTGGACTCAAAAGCCATCTAACATCCCTATAATTAAACCAATTCAAACATAGTATAGCAAATGCATCATGACTGGCTTCTTTAGCCATCCCATATCTTCTTCACCCATCTCAAGCCATTCCTCTTCAAGCATTCTTGACCTTGTTGGCCATCCCATATCTCTAATACTAAGTTGCCTTACCCTCCCATGTTTTGTCTTATGGACCACACACCCAGTATACCTGGCCTTCTCAGCCATCTCAATATCACCATATAACCCACCACATTCAGTATATACCACCTTGTCCATCACTCCATGTCTTCTCGGCTTTCATATGCCACCTAAGATCTTTTCAGCAATTCCACACTATGGCTCTCCTAGCCTTCCCACATCACCGTAAAGACTTCTACACAATTCCACACAATAGCCATCCGATATTTCCCTACACCGTTCTTAGACATTCTTCCCAAGTACATCTCCTTCCTGAAGAGCATTCTTAAGAATTCTCCACTGTTATACTCAACAGACTCTTATCACACACCCAACTCTTCTTTTCACAACACACTGGGGATGACAGGAGGGCGGGAGGGGCCAGTAGTCTCCAACACTGGGGATGACAGGGGGGGCAATAGTCTCCAACACTGGGGGATGACAGGAGGGCAGGGGAGGGCCAGTAGTCTCCAACACTGGGGATGACAGGGGGGGCAGGAGGGAGTGGTCTCCAACACTGGGGATGACAGGAGGGCAGTAGTCTCCAACACTGGGGATAGGGGGATGACATGGGGGGATTAGTCTCCAACACTGGGGATGACAGGGGAGGGGGCAGTAGTCTCCAACATTGGGGATGACCGGGAGGGCAGTAGTCTCCAACACGGGATGACTGGGGTCTCAACACCGGGGATGACAGGGGGCAGTAATCTCCAACACTGGGGATGACAGGGGGGCAGTAGTCTCCAACACTGGGGATGACAGGGGGCAGTAATCTCCAACACTGGGGATGACAGGGGGGGTCTCCAACACTGGATGACCGGGGGGCAGTAGTCTCCAACACTGGGGATGACCGGGAGGGAGGTGGTCTCCAACACCGGGGATGACAGTGGGGGCAGTAGTCTCCAACACTGGGGATGACAGGGGGGCAGTAGTCTCCAACACTGGGGATGACAGGAGGGCAGGGGGGGGCCAGTAGTCTCCAACACTGGGGGATGACAGGGGGAGTAGTCTCCAACACTGGGAATGACAGGGTGGAGGGCCAGTAGTCTCCAACACTGGGGATGACAGCGGTGGAGGGGCAGTAGTCTCCAACACTGGGGATGACAGGGGGAGAGTGGTCTCCAACACCGGGGATGACAGGGGGGGCAGTAATCTCCAACACTGGGGATGACAGGGGGGGCAGTAGTCTCCAACACTGGGGATGACCGGGGGGCGGGCAGTAGTCTCCAACACTGGGGATGACGGGAGGGGGGTGCAGTAGTCTCCAAGACTGGGGATGACAGGAGGGGAGTAGTCTCCAAGACTGGGGATGACAGGAGGGGGAGTAGTCTCTCAAGACTGGGGATGGCAGAGGGGGCAGTAGTCTCCAACACTGGGGATGACAGTAGTCCCTCAAGACTGGGGATGACATAGGGGCAGTAGACCCAAGACGGGGGATAACAGGGGGCAGTAGACCCCACGGCTGGGGATGACGGGGGCAGTAGACCCCGGCTGGGGATGACAGGGGGTAGTAGACCCCACGGCTGGGGATGACATGGGGCAGTAGACCCCACGGTTGGGGATGACAGGGCGGGGGAAGACCTCAAGGCGAGGAATAACAGGGGCAGTAGACCCCATGGCTGGGGATTTCAGGGGGAGGCATTAGTCTCCAAGAACGGGGATGACAATAGACCCAAGGTGGGCGATATCGGGGCAGTAGACCCCACGGCTGGGGAAGACAGGGTAGTAGACCCCAAGGCCGGAAATGATAGGGGGGGTAGTCGTCTCCCAAGACAGGAGTTGACAGGGGGGCAGTAGTCTCCAAGACTGGGGATGACAGGGGGGCAGTAGACCTTAAGGCAGGGGGACAACAGGGGGCAGTAGACCCCACGGCTTGGGTTGACAAGGGGGCAGTAGACCCCAAAGCTGGGGTTGACCATGGGGCAGTATACCTTAAGGCTGGGGATAACCGGGAGAGAAGACAGTAGACCCAAAGGCAGTATACAGTACAGTACAGTCTTCATTTACGCGGTCAATTGAACCCATCGAGTTCCACGTAAAACGAGAAACGCGTAAACGAAATAACAGAACATATGGGAGTAATTGAAATAGAGACTGGGCCAACCCCCAAACTACACTTTTTCCGACACAATTCGTACGTTGTAGTAAAAATAACACCTTAATTTTATGATGGTATACACACACAATTAATATTTATGAGAAATATCAATAATATTAGGTTTTTTAACACTTACGTTACTAGAAAAGATGGCTGGGCACACGGGGATGGAGGGTTGGTTCCGAGGCAGAGGGAAGATTATTGGCCCTCACCTGTATCACTTGTATCACTATCCACCACAGAGGCTTGCAGGGCCTCTTTGTCAAACCCCTCAAAGTTCATATCCTCACTATCACTGACTTGGGCCGGCTGTGGTGGGTGGCGGGTGAAGAACTCGGTAATGTTTTGTTGACTGGGCGATCTCGTGCGCACCCTCCCCCGCACCGCTTCCCTCGTAAATGATGGAATGAACCGTGTAAATAAAAATTGTTCGTCTGGCAAGGTGCCGCGTAAATGACCAAACGCGTAAACCAAATCCGCATAAATCGAGACTATACTGTATATATCTTCCAGTGATGGTCTGACATGATAAGAACAGCCGTGATATTGTAAATGTACATTTTGAAAATATACCAAAGAAGCAGCAAAGTATATCTGGGAATAAACATTTTAAAAGTACCTGTTCATCAAAAAAGTAACAAAGTATATATGAGAATATACATTTTAAAGTCACATCAATATATAACAAAAGATATGTGGAAATAAACTGTTTAAAGTACACATAGAAAGCACCAAAGTTCACCTGGGAATAAATAGTAATAAAGTACAGTACACATAAAAAGTAACTATAACTTGGAATAGAAATAAAGTCAAGTCATAGAAATGAATGTAATTAACCTGTAATGGAAACTGCAGGTGGAAATTAGTAAAGACAAGCAGTATGCATTAATAAAGGCATACAATACATGTTATATCAGAGTAATCAATTCATAACATTAATAATAATGACAATAATCAGAATGATACATTATTTTTTCATAAGCATGCCATGTTACTTAGATAATAATACATGATTTAGTTAATTTGCATGTGCCTCTTGCCAATGGGGAGAATTCCAGAAGTTAAAACTGTATACTGTATAGTACAGTACAGTACAGTATAGTATACTGTATATCTTCCAGTGATGGTCTGACATATGATAAGAACAGCCGTGATTTTGTAAATAAATACATTTTTAAAATATACCAAAGAAGCAGCAAAGTATATCTGGGAATAAACATTTTAAAAGTACCTGTTCATCAAAAAAGTAACAAAGTATATAAGGGAATATAAATTTTATAATCACATCAATATATAACAAAAGATATGTGGAAATAAACTGTTTAAAGTACACATAGAAAGCACCAAAGTTCACCTGGGAATAAATAGTAATAAAGTACAGTACACATAAAAATTAACTGTATATCTTGTTATAGAATTAAAGTCAAGTTATACATATGAATATAATTAACCTGTAATGGAAACTGCAGGTGGAAATTAGTAAAGACAAGCAGTATAATTTTCATGTGGCTCTTGCTAATGGGTAGAATCCCAGATGTTAAAACTGTACAGTACAGTGCAGTATATATATTTCAGTGGTGGTCTGATAGACAACAACCTTGAACCTGTAAATATATATTTTGAAAGTATACCAAAAAAGTGGCAAAGTATATCTGGGAATAAACAGTTTAATAGTACATCTCCGAAGTATATATGGGAATAGTTTAAAATTACATCACCAAAGTATACAGTATATGGCAATAAACATTTTAAAAGTACCTAAAAAGTATCATCATATATCTTGGAATACAGATGTTAAAAGTACAAAAAATATATCTTGGAATAAGCATTTAAAGTACACATAGAAAGTAATACAGTACATCTATGAATAAACAGTAATAAAGTACAGTACACATAAAAAGTAACTGCATAACTTGGAATAGAAATAAAGTCAAGTCATAGAAATGAATGTAATTAACCTGTAATGGAAACTGCAGGTGGAAATTAGTAAAGACAAGCAGTATGCATTAATAACAAAGGTATACATTATTATACATGTCAAACATTACAGGGTTCTTCACATGTCACCCACCACAGCCAGCCCAAGTCAGTGACAGTGATAGTGAGGATATGGATTTTGAGGGGTTTGACAAAGAGGCCCTGCAAGCCTCTGTGGTGGATAGTGATACAAGTGATATAGGTGAGGGCCAATAATCTTCCCTCTGCCTCGGAACCAACCCTCCATCCCTGTGTGCTCAGCCATCTTTTCTACTAACGTAAGTGTTAAGAAACCTAATATTATTGAGATTTCTCTGAAATATTAATTGTGTGTGCATACCATCATAAAATTAAGATGTTATTTTTACTACAACGTACGTATTGTGTCGGAAAAAGGGTAGTCTGGGGTCGGCCCACTCTCTTTTTCAATTAATCCCATGTGTTCTGTCATTTCGTTTACGCGTTTCTCGTTTTACGCGGACCTCCACTGGTTTAATTGACCGCGTAAACCGAGACTATACTGTATATATATTAACAGGTTTATAATCATACGGTGGAGAGAAAGAATTACACATTTCTAACATACAACCAGTGAAAGTGAATATAAAGACAGAAAAAATACTGTACTACTACTGGCTTACTCTACTCTCTGAATACTGTAATCAAGAAATTGTAAAACACTAAAAACTTAAACACTAAAAATAAAGATGACTACAAACATGAGTGCAAAACAAAAAGCCAATCTCATTACAGTGCTAAGTCACATGTTGGCCATGAAACACAGATTCAGAATTAGTAAAAAATATGACTTAAAATGTACAGTATAAAATATATGCATGAAAGACAAAGCTGATCTGTTTTCCATGTTCACCTGCCCACCAACGATGAGGTCATGCGACACGGGCAGGACCGGGGTTAATCGTCCCAAAGGAGCAAGTCCTTTGGTTTATGGAACCCCAAACCACAAACCTGAGAATTTCTCTCAGAGTACTTCGGGATTTATGATGATAGCTAGGTTACCACCATGAATCTCTCACCTGATGGTGATTTGTGTGTTGTTTTTGTTGCCTACCTGGATACCTAATTCTCATCTATCTAACCCCAAGGGGGGCACCTATGACAGCAAACCTTCCTAGTCTGTCATCCTTAGTGATATACAGTATTCCTAATTTGTAACACCTGGCCACCTCACCAAGAAAAATCCTAATTTTAAGCTCTCCATCCCACATGTGGCAACTTTTTTTGGACTCAAAAGCCATCTAACATCCCTATAATTAAACCAATTCAAACATAGTATAGCAAATGCATCATGACTGGCTTCTTTAGCCATCCCATATCTTCTTCACCCATCTCAAGCCATTCCTCTTCAAGCATTCTTGACCTTGTTGGCCATCCCATATCTCTAATACTAAGTTGCCTTACCCTCCCATGTTTTGTCTTATGGACCACACACCCAGTATACCTGGCCTTCTCAGCCATCTCAATATCACCATATAACCCACCACATTCAGTATATACCACCTTGTCCATCACTCCATGTCTTCTCGGCTTTCATATGCCACCTAAGATCTTTTCAGCAATTCCACACTATGGCTCTCCTGGCCTTCCCACATCACCGTAAAGACTTCTACACAATTCCACACAATAGCCATCCGATATTTCCCTACACCGTTAGACATTCTTCCCAAGTACATCTCGTTTCCTGAAGAGCATTCTTAGAATTCTCCACTGTTATACTCAACAGACTCTTATCACACATCTTCTCTTCACAACACACTGGGGGATGACAGGAGGGCGGGAGGGGCCAGTAGTCTCCAACACTGGGGATGACAGGGGGGGCAATAGTCTCCAACACTGGGGGATGACAGGAGGGCAGGGGAGGGCCAGTAGTCTCCAACACTGGGGATGACAGGGGGGGCAGGAGGGAGTGGTCTCCAACACTGGGGATGACAGGAGGGCAGTAGTCTCCAACACTGGGGATAGGGGGATGACATGGGGGGATTAGTCTCCAACACTGGGGATGACAGGGGAGGGGGCAGTAGTCTCCAACATTGGGGATGACCGGGAGGGCAGTAGTCTCCAACACGGGATGACTGGGGTCTCAACACCGGGGATGACAGGGGGCAGTAATCTCCAACACTGGGGATGACAGGGGGGCAGTAGTCTCCAACACTGGGGATGACAGGGGGCAGTAATCTCCAACACTGGGGATGACAGGGGGGGTCTCCAACACTGGATGACCGGGGGGCAGTAGTCTCCAACACTGGGGATGACCGGGAGGGAGGTGGTCTCCAACACCGGGGATGACAGTGGGGGCAGTAGTCTCCAACACTGGGGATGACAGGGGGGCAGTAGTCTCCAACACTGGGGATGACAGGAGGGCAGGGGGGGGCCAGTAGTCTCCAACACTGGGGGATGACAGGGGGAGTAGTCTCCAACACTGGGAATGACAGGGTGGAGGGCCAGTAGTCTCCAACACTGGGGATGACAGCGGTGGAGGGGCAGTAGTCTCCAACACTGGGGATGACAGGGGGAGAGTGGTCTCCAACACCGGGGATGACAGGGGGGGCAGTAATCTCCAACACTGGGGATGACAGGGGGGGCAGTAGTCTCCAACACTGGGGATGACCGGGGGGCGGGCAGTAGTCTCCAACACTGGGGATGACGGGAGGGGGGTGCAGTAGTCTCCAAGACTGGGGATGACAGGAGGGGAGTAGTCTCCAAGACTGGGGATGACAGGAGGGGGAGTAGTCTCTCAAGACTGGGGATGGCAGAGGGGGCAGTAGTCTCCAACACTGGGGATGACAGTAGTCCCTCAAGACTGGGGATGACATAGGGGCAGTAGACCCAAGACGGGGGATAACAGGGGGCAGTAGACCCCACGGCTGGGGATGACGGGGGCAGTAGACCCCGGCTGGGGATGACAGGGGGTAGTAGACCCCACGGCTGGGGATGACATGGGGCAGTAGACCCCACGGTTGGGGATGACAGGGCGGGGGAAGACCTCAAGGCGAGGAATAACAGGGGCAGTAGACCCCATGGCTGGGGATTTCAGGGGGAGGCATTAGTCTCCAAGAACGGGGATGACAATAGACCCAAGGTGGGCGATATCGGGGCAGTAGACCCCACGGCTGGGGAAGACAGGGTAGTAGACCCCAAGGCCGGAAATGATAGGGGGGGTAGTCGTCTCCCAAGACAGGAGTTGACAGGGGGGCAGTAGTCTCCAAGACTGGGGATGACAGGGGGGCAGTAGACCTTAAGGCAGGGGACAACAGGGGGCAGTAGACCCCACGGCTTGGGTTGACAAGGGGGCAGTAGACCCCAAAGCTGGGGTTGACCATGGGGCAGTATACCTTAAGGCTGGGGATAACCGGGAGAGAAGACAGTAGACCCAAAGGCAGTATACAGTACAGTACAGTCTTCATTTACGCGGTCAATTGAACCCATCGAGTTCCACGTAAAACGAGAAACGCGTAAACGAAATAACAGAACATATGGGAGTAATTGAAATAGAGACTGGGCCAACCCCCAAACTACACTTTTTCCGACACAATTCGTACGTTGTAGTAAAAATAACACCTTAATTTTATGATGGTATACACACACAATTATGAGAAATTTCACGTTACTAGAAAAAGATGAAGCTGGGCACACGGGGATGGAGGTGGAAGGAATGAGACATGGCCCTCACCCGTATCACTTGTATCACTATCCACCACAGAAAGCTTGCAGGGCCTGACAAAACCCAAAAAGTTCATATCTCACTATCACTTACTTGGGCCAAGATTGGGTAAGCAAGTAAAGAACTGGTAATGTTTTGTTGACTGGGCGACTCGCGCGCACCCTCCCACAACCGCTTCCACAAGTAAATGATAGAAATGAACTGTAAATAAAAATTACTATCATAAAAATACAGAATGACCAAACCAGAAACCAAATCAAACATAAATCAGACTATATATCTTCCAGTGATGGTCTGACAAGATAAGAAACAGCATAGATATAAATGTAACATTTTGAAAATATACCAAAGAAGCAGCAAAGAGCATCTGGGAATAAACATTTTAAAAGTACCTGTTCATCAAAAAAGTGGCCAGTATATGAGAAATAAGACATTTTAAAACATCAATATATAACAAAAGATATGTGAAATAAACTGTTTAGCACATAGAAAGTACCAAAACAAATAGTAATAAAGTACAATACTATAAAAAGTAACTATAATGGAAGAAATAAAATAAAACAAATAATAAATGTAAGGAAACTGCAGGTGGAAATTAAAAGACAAGTATGCATTAATAAAGGCATAATACATGTTATAACAGAGTAATCACCATAACAAATAATATGACAATAATCAGAAATGATACATTATTTTTTCCATAAGCATGCCATGTTACTTAGATAATAACATGATTTAATAAAGTGCCTTATGCCAGAGAATTCCAAGAAGTTAAAACTGTATACTGTATAGCATAGTACAGTAAAGTATACTGTATCTTCCAGTGATAGTCTGACATATGATAAGAACAGCCGTGATTTTGTAAATAAATACATTTTTAAAAATATACCAAAGAAGCACCAAAGTATATCTGGGAATAAACATTTTAAAGTACTTGTTCATCAAAAAGTAACAAAGTATATAAGGAATATACATATTATAATCACATCAATATATACAAAAGATATGTGAAATAAAATGAAAGTACACATAGAAAGCACCAAAGTTCACTTAAATAATAATAAGTACAGTACACATAAAAATAACTGTATATCTTGTTTTAGAAATAAAAGTCAAGTATACAAATGAATATATTAACCTGTAATGGAAACGTGTAGATAAGTAAAAGACAAGCAGTATAATTTTCATGTGGTCTTGTTAATGGGTAAATCCCAGATGTTAAAACCGTACAGTACAGTATATATTTTGTGAGTCTTATAGACAAACCTTGAACCTGTAAATATATATTTTAGTATAACAAAAAAAGGGCAAAAAGTATCTGGGAATAAACATTTTAAAAGTACCTAACCAAAAAGTAAAACATCATATATCTGAATACAGATACAGCACAAAATATATCTTGGAATAAGCATTTAAAGTACACAAAAGTACTAAAATATCTAGAATAAACAGTAATAAAGTACAGTACATATAAAAGTAACATATTGGAATGAAATAAAGTCAAGTCATAGAAATAGATATAATTAACCTGTAATGGAAACTGCAGGTGGAAATTAGTAAAGACAAACAGTATGCATTAATAACAAAGGTATACATTATTATACATGTCAAACATACAGAGTTCTTCATGTCACCCACCACAGCCAGCCAAGTCAGTGATAGTGAGGATATGGATTTTGAAAGGTTTGACAAAGAAGGCCCTGAAGCCTCTGTGGTGAATAGTGTACCAAGTAATATGGGTGAGGGCCAATAATCTTCTCTGCTCAAAACCAACTATCCCTGTGTGCTCAGCCTCTTTTCTACTAACGTAAGTGTTAAGAAACCTAATATTATTGATATCTCTCTGAAATATTAATTGTGTGTGCATACCATCATAAAATTAAAGATATTTTTACTACAACATGCGTATTGTGTCGGAAAAGGTAGTCTGGGTCGGCCCTCTCTTTTTCCAATTAATCCCATGTGTTCTGTTATTTCGTTTAAGTTTATCGTTTTATCCGGACTCCACTGGTTTAATTGACATTAAACCGAGACTATACTGTATATATATTAACAGGTTTATAATCACCGGTGGAGAGAATGAATTGCACATTTCTAACATACAACAAGTGAAAGTGAATATAAAGACAGAAAATAATACTGTACTACTACTGGCTTTATCTACTCTCTGAATACTGTAATCAAGAATTGTAAAACACAAACAATAAAAAATAGATGACTACAAACATAGATTGCAAAACAAAAAATCTCATTACATTTCGTCACATGTTGGCCATAAACACAGATTCAGAATTAGTAAAAATATGACTTAAAATGTACAGTATAAAAATATATGCATGAAAGAACTGATCTGTTTTTCATGTTCACCTGCCCCAACGATGAGGTCATATACGGGCAGGACCGGGGTTAATCGTCCCAAGAGCAAGTCCTTTGGTTTAGAACCAAACCTAAACCTGAGGATTTCTCTCAGAGTACTTCGGGATTTATGATGATAGCTAGGTTACCACCATGAATCTCTCACCTGATGGTGAGATTGTGTGTTTTGTTGCCTACCTGGATACCTAATTATCATCTATCTAACCCCAAAGGGGCACCTATATAAAGTACGAAACCCTTAATACGCATCATCCTTAGTATTTCCTAATTTATAACACCTGCCACCTCACGAAAAATCCTAATTTTAAACTCATCCCACATGTGGCAACTTTTCTTGGACAAAGCCATCTAACATCCTATAATTAAACCAATTCAAACATATTATAGCAAATGCATCATGACTGGTTCTAGCCATCCAATATCTTCTTCACATCTCAAGCCATTCATCTTCAAGCATTCTTGACCTTGTTGGCCATCCCATATCAATATAAGTTGCCTTACTCCATGTTGTCTTATGGACACACAGTATACAATAATATCAGCCATCTCAATATCACCATATAACCCACCACATTCAGTATATACCTTGTCCATCTATCATCTCGGCTATATACTATACAAGATCTTTTCAGCAATTCCACTATAAAACTCTCTGGCCCCACATCACCATAAAGACTACAATTCCCACTATATAAATGATATTTCCCTAAACCGTTCTTAGACATTCTTCCAAGTACATCTCCCTCAAAGGCATTCTTAAATTCTCCACTGTTATACTCAACAGACTCTTATCCATCAATATCACTTCACAACACACCTGGGGATGACAGGGGAGGCAGGAGGGGATAGTCTCCAACACTGGGGATGGAGGGGGCAGTAGTCTCAACACTGGGGATGACAGGGGAGGGCAGGTAGTCTCAACACTTGGGGATGACAGGGAGTAGTCTCAACACTGGGGATGACAGGGGAGGCAGGCTAGTGTCCCAACACTGGGGATGACGGAGGGCAGTAGTCTCCAACACTGGGGATGACAGGGGAGGCAGTAGTCTCCAACACCAGGGGATAGACAGGGGCAGTAATCTCCACTGGGGATGACAGGGGGGATAGTCTCCACACTGGGGATGACGGGGGGTGGAGGGGCGTAGTCTCCAACACTGGGATGACTGGGAGGGAGAAGTGATCTCAACACTAGGGATGACCAGGGTGGGGTGTGTTCTACAACAGGGGATGACAGGGGGAGACAGTGGGTCTCACACAGGGGAGATGACAGGAGGGCAGGGAGGCCAGTGTCTCAACACTGGGGATGACGGGGGGGAAATCTCAACACTGGGGATGACAGGGGAGGGCATTTTCAAACACTGGGGGATGACAGGGGGGCAGTATCCTCAACACCGGGGATGACAGGGGAGGGCGGGGAGACAGTGGTCTCAACACTGGGGATGAACTGGGTAGAAGTAGTCTCAACACTGGGGATGACGGGAGGGCAGTAGTCTCAACACTGGGGATGACAGGAGGCGGGGGCCAGTGGTCTCCCAACAGGATGACGGGGGTAGTCTCAACACTGGGGATGACAGGAGGGCAGTGAGTCTCCCAACACTGGGGATGACGGAGGGGCAGTAGTCTCAACACTGGGGATGACCGGGGGGCAGTAGTCTCCAACACCCGGGGATGAAAGGGGCAGTAGTCTCAACACGGGATGACAGGGGGCAGTAGTCTCCAACATGGGGATGACCAGGGGCAGTGATCTCTCCAACACTGGGGATGACCAGGGGGCAGTAGTCTCAACACTGGGGATGACAGGGAGCAGTAGTCTCCCAAACACTGGGATGACCAGGAGGTGGTCTCCCAGCACAGGGGATGACAAAGGGCAATCTCAACACTAGGATGGGAGGGGGCAGTAGTCTCCAACACTGGGGATGACAGGAGGGCCAGGAGGCCAGTAGTCTCCAACACTGGGATGATGGGGGAATAATCTCCAACCTGGGGATGAGGGGGGGAGGGCAGAGTCTCAACACCGGGGATGACGGGGGGGCAGTAGTCTCCACCAGGGGATGACAGAGGCAGTAGTCTCAACACTGGGTAGCAGAGTCCAGATAGAACAATGGGGGGCAGGGGGGGCAGTAGTCTCAACCTGGGATGACAGGGGGGCAGTAGTCTCCAACACTGGGGAAGAAGGCAGGGGTGGGGGCAGTAGTCTCAACACGGGGATGACAGGGGGGGCAGTAAGTCTCAACACTGGGGATGACCAGGTGGGTGATGTTCTCAACACGGGGATGACAGGGGGGCAGTAATCCTCAACACTGGGATGACAGGGCAGTAGTCTCAACACTGGGGATGACCGGGGGCAGTAGTCTCAACACTCTGGGGGAGACAGGAGGCAGTATCTCAACACTGGGATGACAGGGGGCAGTAGTCTCAACACTGGATGACAGGGAGTAGTATCAACACTGGGGATGACGGAAGGGCAGTGATCTCAACACTAGGGATGACAGGCAGTAGTCTCAACACTGGGATGACGAGGGGGCAGTAGTCTCAACACTGGGGATGACAGGGGCCAGTAGTCTCAACACTGGGGATGACAGGGGGGGCAGAATCTCCAACACTGGGGATGACAGGGGGGGGCCAGTAGTCTCCAACACTGGGGATGACAGGGGGGAGCAGTAGTCTCCAACACTGGGGATGACAGGGGGCAGTAGTCTCCAACATGGGATGACGGGGGGAGTAGTCTCCAACACTGGGGATGACAGGGAGGGGGCAGAAGGTCCAACACTGGGGATGACAGGGGGCAGGTCTCCAACACTGGGATGACAGGCAGTAGTCTCCAACACTGGGGAGACAGGGGGGCAGTAGTCTCCAACACTGGGGATGACCAGAGGGGGGCAGTAGTCTCACACCTGGGATGACAAGGGGGGGCAGTAGTCTCCAACACTGGGGATGACAGGGGGGGCAGTAGTCTCCAACACTGGGGATGACAGGGGGGCAGTAGTCTCCAACACTGGGGATGACAGGGGGTGGGCAGTAGTCCCAACACTGGGATGACAGGGGAGCAGTAGATCAACAAGGGGGGGGGGGGGCAGTATTCCCAACACTGGGGATGACAGGGGGCAGTATCCACCAACACTGGGGATGACAGGGGGGACAGTAGTCTCCAACACTGGGGATGACAGGGGGGGCATAAGTCCCCAACACTGGGGATGACAGGAGGGGGGCAGTAGTCTCCAACACTGGGGATGACAGGGAGGGGGGCAGTAGTGTCCAACACTGGGGATGACAGGGGAGGAAAGCCCCAACACCGGGATGACAGGGGGGGGCAGTAATCTCCAACACTGGGGATGAAAAGGGTGGCAGGTCTCCAACACTGGGGATGACAGGGAGGCAGTAGTCTCCAACACTGGGGATGACTGGGGGCGTCTCCCAACACCGGGGATGACAGGGGGGCAGTAGCCTACCGGGGATGACAGAAGGCAGTAGTCTCCAACACTGGGGATGACAGAGGGGCAGTAATCAAACACTGGGGATGACAGAGGGGGGCAGTAGTCTCCAACACTGAGGATGACAGGGGGGGTAGTAGTCCCCAAGACTGAGACGACAGGGGAGGGCAGTAGTCTCCGACACTGGGGATGCTGTAGGGGTAGGTAGTCTCCAAGACTGGGGATGACAGGGGGGGCAGGTCTCCAACACTGGGGATGACAGGGGGAGTAGTCTCCCAAGACTGGGATGACATGGGGGCAGTAGACCACAAGACGGGGACAACAGGGGTGACCCCACGGCTGGGATGACGGGGGGGGCAGTAGACCCCACGGCCGGGGATAACAGGAGAGCAGTACACCCCAAGGTCGGGGATGACAGGGAGGGGGGGGTAGAGCCCAAGACCGGGGATGCCAGGGGGCAGTAGACCCAAGGTCAAGGATGACGGAGTTGCAGTAGACCAAGATCGGGGATGACAGGCAGAACCCAAGGCCGGGGATGACATGGTGGCAGTAGACCCCACGGCTGGGGATGACATGGGGGGAAGAAGACCCAAGGCGAGGGATAAAGGTAGACCCCATGGCTGGGGATTTACAGGGGGTGGGGGGCAGGCTCCAAGACTGGGGATGACAGGGGGGGGCAGTAGACCTCAAGGCAGAGGACAACAGGGGGCAGTAGACCCCACGGCTTGGGTTGACAAGGGGGCAGTAGACCCCAAAGCTGGGGTTGACCATGGAGCAGTATACCTTAAGGCTGGGGATAACCGGGAGAGAAGACAGTAGACCCAATGACAGTATACAGTACAGTACAGTCTTCATTTACGCGGTCAATTGAACCCATCGAGTTCCGCGTAAAACGAGAAACGCGTAAACGAAATAACAGAACATATGGGATTAATTGAAATAGAGACTGGGCCGACCCCCAAACTACACTTTTTCCGACAATTCGTACGTTGTAGTAAAAATAACATCTTAATTTTATGATGGTATGCACACAAATAATATTTAAGAGAAATATCAATAATATTAGGTTTTTTAACACTTACGTTACTAGAAAAGATGGCTGGGCACACGGGGATGGAGGGTTGGTTCCGAGGTAGAGGGAAGATTATTGGCCCTCACCTGTATCACTTGTATCACTATCCACCACAGAGGCTTGCAGGGCCTCTTTGTCAAACCCCTCAAAGTTCATATCCTCACTATCACTGACTTGGGCCGGCTGTGGTGGGTGGCGGGTGAAGAACTCGGTAATGTTTTGTTGACTGGGCGATCTCGTGCGCACCCTCCCCCGCACCGCTTCCCTCGTAAATGATGGAATGAACCGTGTAAATAAAAATTGTTCGTCTGGCAAGGTGCCGCGTAAATGACCAAACGCGTAAACCAAATCCGCATAAATCGAGACTATACTGTATATATCTTCCAGTGATGGTCTGACGTGATAAGAACAGCCGTGATATTGTAAATGTACATTTTGAAAATATACCAAAGAAGCAGCAAAGTATATCTGGGAATAAACATTTTAAAAGTACCTGTTCATCAAAAAAGTAACAAAGTATATATGAGAATATAAATTTTAAAATCACATCAATATATAACAAAAGATATGTGGAAATAAACTGTTTAAAGTACACATAGAAAGCACCAAAGTTCACCCGGGAATAAACAGTAATAAAGTACAATGCACATAAAAAGTAACTGTATAACTTGGAATAGAAATACTGTAAAGTCAAGTCATAGAAATGAATGTAATTAACCTGTAATGGAAACTGCAGGTGGAAATTAGTAAAGACAAGCAGTATGCATTAATAAAGGCATACAATACATGTTATGTCAGAGTAATCAATTCATAACATTAATAATAATGACAATCAGAATGATACATTATTTTTTCATAAGCATGTCATGTTACTTAGATAATAATACATGATTTAGTTAATTTGCATGTGCCTCTTGCCAATGGGGAGAATTCCAGATGTTAAAACTGTATACTGTATAGTACAGTACAGTACAGTATTGTATACTGTATATCTTCCATTGATGGTCTGACATATGATAAAAATAGCCGTGATTTTGTAAATAAATACATTTTTAAAATATACCAAAGAAGCAGCAAAGTATATCTGGGAATAAACATTTTAAAAGTACCTGTTCATCAAAAAAGTAACACATTTTAAAAGTACCTGTTCATCAAAAAAGTAACAAAGTATATAAGGGAATATAAATTTTATAATCACATCAATATATAACTAAAGATATGTGGAAATAAACTGTTTAAAGTACACATAGAAAGCACCAAAGTTCACCTGGTAATAAATAGTAATAAAGTACAGTACACATAAAAATTAACTGTATATCTTGTTTTAGAAATAAAGTCAAGTTATACAAATGAATATAATTAACCTGTAATGAGTCAAGTTATACAAATGAATATAATTAACCTGTAATGGAAACTGCAGGTGGAAATTAGTAAAGACAAGCAGTATAATTTTCATGTGCCTCTTGCTAATGGGTAGAATCCCAGATGTTAAAACTGTACAGTACAGTACAGTATATATATTTCAGTGGTGGTCTGATAGACAACAACCTTGAACCTGTAAATATATATTTTGAAAGTATACCAAAAAAGTGGCAAAGTATATCTGGGAATAAACAGTTTAATAGTACATCTCCGAAGTATATATGGGAATAGTTTAAAATTACATCACCAAAGTATACAGTATATGGCAATAAACATTTTAAAAGTACCTAAAAAGTAACATCATATATCTTGAAATACAGATGTTAAAAGTACAAAAAATATATCTTGGAATAAGCATTTAAAGTACACATAGAAAGTAATACAGTACATCTAGGAATAAACAGTAATAAAGTACAGTACACATAAAAAGTAACTGTATAACTTGGAATAGAAATAAAGTCAAGTCATAGAAATGAATGTAATTAACCTGTAATGGAAACTGCAGGTGGAAATTAGTAGACAAGCAGTATGCATTAATAAAGGCATACTATACATGTTATGTCAGAGTAATCAATTCATAACATTAATAATAATGACAATAATCAGAATGATACATATTTTATCATAAGCATGTCACGTTACTTAGATAATAATACATAATTTAGTTAATTTGCATGTGCCTCTTGCCAATGGGGAGAATTCCAGATGTTAAAACTGTTTACTGTATAGTACAGTACAGTACAGTATAGTATACTGTATATCTTCCAGTGATGGTCTGACATGATAAGAACAGCCGTGATTTTGTAAATAAATACATTTTTAAAATATACCAAAGAAGCAGCAAAGTATACCTGGGAATAAACATTTAAAAGTACCTGTTCATCAAAAAAGTAACACATTTTAAAAGTACCTGTTCATCAAAAAAGTAAAGTATATAAGGGAATATAAATTTTATAATCACATCAATATACAGTATAACAAAAGATATGTGGAAATATACTGTTTAAAGTACACATAGAAAGCACCAAAGTTCACCTGGGAATAAATAGTGATAAAGTACAGTACACATAAAAATTAATTGTATATCTTGTTATAGAATTAAAGTCAAGTTATACATATGAATATAATTAACCTGTAATGGAAACTGCAGGTGGAAATTAGTAAAGACAAGCAGTATAATTTTCATGTGCCTCTTGCTAATGGGAAGAATCCCAGATGTTAAAACTGTACAGTACAGTGCAGTATATATATTTCAGTGGTGGTCTGATAGACAACAACCTTGAACCTGTAAATATATATTTTGAAAGTATACCAAAAAAGTTGCAAAGTATATCTGGGAATAAACATTTTAAAAGTACCTAAAAAGTAACATCATACATCTTGGAATACAGATGTTAAAAGTACAAAAAATATATCTTGGAATAAGCATTTAAAGTACACACAGATAGTACTAAAGTACATCTAAGAATAAACAGTAATAAAGTACAGTACACATAAAAAGTAACTGTATAACTTGGAATAGAAATGAAGTCAAGTCATAGAAATGAATGTAATTAACCTGTAATGGAAACTGCAGGTGGAAATTAGTAAAGACAAGCAGTATGCATTAATAACAAAGGTATACATTATTATACATGTCAAACATTACAGGGTTCTTCACATGTCACCCACCACAGCCAGCCCAAGTCAGTGACAGTGATAGTGAGGATATGGATTTTGAAGGGTTTGACAAAGAGGCCCTGCAAGCCTCTGTGGTGGATAGTGATACAAGTGATATAGGTGAGGTTAGGGACCTAGTTGAGGTTTATAAGCATCTCAGGGGGCACTACTCAGTTGAGTGTCCTTACTTGGAGCTGGCGGACGCTCGCCCCACAAGGGGTCACAGCTCAAGATTGAAGAAGCCGCAAGTCCGGAAAACCGTGAGGGCAAACTTTTTCGGAGTGAGGGTTGTAAACTCTTGGAACAATCTACCAGAGTGTGTTGTGACGGCACCGAGTGTGAGCTCTTTCAAGAGAAGACTTGACCAACACTGGAGCGGGTTTAGGTACATTCAGGAGCCGGTGCATGCCCAGTATTTGCCAACAGTGCGTGACAGAGACGTGACCGATCGCCCGGGCGGCTAGCGAGCCGACCTTTTGGTGAAGAATATAAAGGAAAAGAGACGTGACCGATCGCCCGAGCGGCTAACAAGCCGATCAGTGGCGAAGAGGATAAAAGTAAAAAGTAAAAAGAGGGCCAATAATCTTCCCTCTGCATCGGAACCAACCCTCCATCCCTGGGTGCTCAGCCATCTTTTCTACTAACGTAAGTGTTAAAAAACCTATTATTATTTATATCTCTCTGAAATATTAATTGTGTGTGCATACCATCATAAAATTAAGATGTTATTTTTACTACAACGTACGTATTGTGTCGGAAAAGGGTAGTCTGGGGTCGGCCCACTCTCTTTTTCAATTAATCCCATGTGTTCTGTTATTTCGTTTACGCGTTTATCGTTTTATGCGGACCTCCACTGGTTTAATTGACCGCGTAAACCGAGACTATACTGTATATATATTAACAGGTTTATAATCATACGGTGGAGAGAAAGAATTACACATTTCTAACATACAACCAGTGAAAGTGAATATAAAGACAGAAAAAAATACTGTACTACTACTGGCTTACTCTACTCTCTGAATACTGTAATCAAGAAATTGTAAAACGCTAAAAACTTAAACACTAAAAATAAAGATGACTACAAACATGAGTGCAAAACAAAAAGCCAATCTCATTACAGTGCTAAGTCACATGTTGGCCATGAAACACAGATTCAGAATTAGTAAAAAATATGACTTAAAATGTACAGTATAAGATATATGTATGAAAGACAAAGCTGATCTGTTTTCCATGTTCACCTGCCCACCAACGATGAGGTCATGCGACACGGGCAGGACCGGGGTTAATCGTCCCAAAGGAGCAAGTCCTTTGGTTTATGGAACCCCAAACCACAAACCTGAGAATTTCTCTCAGAGTACTTCGGGATTTATGATGATAGCTAGGTTACCA